CATCCTTCCGGAATGGCGCCTCCAATCCAAGTTAGGAACGCGAGTTGATTACGCTATTGTTATAAATCCCGAACATGACCCCCAACCAGGTGTCCAAAACGCTATCCAGCGCCTGCGATGCACCCTATCTGAAGCATCCGCCAACCACACAGGATCCGCACCACTTCGCCATCGACCTATAGGCGTGAGCATTGAGAAGAAACGATACGGCGGGCACGAGCGTAAGGCGGAGTATCAACTGGGCATATGGCACTCAGCTCAGTGGAAGCTGCTTGCTGAGCAGGCAGGGGATCATATTAATCAATTTATCAGGGAAACGTTATTAATGCATTTTGACAGAGACTCTGGGCTAGTCGGCAGTTTGGAAGCACGCAGACACCGCTCGGGACGTTTCAAGTTGTCGCAGGGGTACGGCGACTGGCTAGCTGGATGGGGATAGAGTTTTGGCCATGGTATAAGACGTATATTTTGCAGCTCCCACCCGAATCCGATCTAACAAGAAACCTGACAGGAGCCCACCGCACCCGGAGAAACTGCGTTATCCATAGAACAAGGCACTTGTGATCACTAGAAGCTGCTAATTTATTTAATATATTTGCGTGCTCCACTTCAATGCTAATAATTTAATATGGCCATGTCCAGGTGAGTCCTCACGTTATTCGTTGTTAATTGTGGTTGATGGCCACGTGTGCCCCGCGCTCTCACTCCTGGCATTATTATTCCCGGCGGTCAAGGTCCAAGCGCTGAGATCGTAGCCAAAAACTGGTGCGAGGTCGTTTGAAGGCGATGACGTTGGCGGCGACGAGGATGAGAATAAGAGAGAAGATAAGGACGGTGGTGCCAGTGTAGGAAGGCTAATTGAAACTAGCATTGGGGCTTCTGCTTCTATACTCAGTTGATTCTCTTTTCTTCTTCCTTGATATGACCTGCGAGTATGCGACCATCTCATGTGCGGAACTACCACTGGTTCAGTGTTGCGCTAACAGCGGATATGAAATTAGCCACTGAGCGAAAATACAGAGCAAGAATGAAAATAGAAGGAGGAAGGCGCATACTGCAAGAGACAACGGCAGACAGCGGGCGTTATCATCGTCTTTGAGCCCATGAATCTGCCCGAGTATTATATACATCTCTTCGCAAGTTCGCTCAACGGTGGCATGATAACTCCCAATTGTAGGGTAAGTTTGGGGTAGGCCGATTGTTGGTCAAAATCAATTCAACACTATACTCGGGAAGCTACAGTCTAGGTAATACAATTTCCCGTTCTAATACTGTAGACACATATAGACTTCCAACTATCTCAATCTCCATTCCTTGGCGCGTCATCGATAATAAGACTTTCCATGTTGATGGTCTGCTGTTGGAGCATCTCTTCTTGAAACAGGAGCTCATAAGGTGGTCCTTCATCTTCAATACCTTGAATAGGTTTGCCGAATTTATCCTTCTTTATGCCCCTTTCGGTACCGTCTTCGGTTTTATCGTGGGCATTTCCCCTCAGGTATGGTAGTTTCTTTTTGTAACTCTCCAGCGTGGTCTCGTAGCTAGGAACAAACCAAGTGATCCTGCCGCTGATGAGTTTACTTGCATTTTCATAGGAAGCTTTTATCGAGCCTTTCAGAAAAACCCTTAAAGCGAAGTTTAGGTTCTCTGGGTTAACCCCCCCTAGGTTATCAGGGCTCTCTCCGAACATGCGATATGATTGATCTGATATCTCTTGGGTGTTTTCCAAAATCCCAAGCCGCCGGAGGAATGGATCGCCAAGCGCACCCATTGCTGCACAAGCATCGTAGGCGGGGAGCTTGGTTTGATCCACAAATTTACCAAAAGAAAGTGGCTCAGCTATCATAGTTTGAAAGGCTGGATTGGTCTTGTCGATACGCATGTGTGTCTCTAAAAGCCATGCCTTGTCAAGATGCGGTTTGAATGGTTTGTTGAGTGCATCCCAATAGAACCCATAGAGTTGGCGAGGGAGCTTCCAGTTAAGATGCTTCCTCACTGGGCCGTCTAGTTCCTTGAAGATACTTAGATCGAGACCTGCAGCCACTGCAACTTCTTTGCCCCAGGCATCCGATGGTATTCCTAGAGTATGGAGGCGATCCGTAAAGGTGGCCGCAGCCTCCGGGTGGAAACTGTTGTTCATCGCCTTCAAGTCTGGCTTGATGGAACTATCCTGGATTATATAACCGCCCTGCACTATGATGTGCCCGAAGTGCTTTTGGAGAAACTCGTCATCCTGTTTACCGAAGTATTCAGAGATGTCTTGCAGCGACGAGAGGCAGAGAACCACTAATTTTTGCGTATCGTTTTGATGGGCAAGTTTATCCAGAGAATGATAACCGGTGGGGTATTCCATTTTTTCTATATTCCAGGTCTGATTCGCGAACGTCAAATTTCTCAGCTCGTGCCAAGAAGTTTCCCGCTCCGCGCCCCCCAAGCCGTCTACCTGAAACGCGGCCTTGTACCTTTTGGCCGAGCCTTAGCATGTACTCTCCAAAAGAGTCAAATGGCCGATGATGCGCATTGTTTACTGAAACAGATTGATATCTTTGAAAGATGTTTTGATCTGCGCGACCAGCTCGAGACTGTTGTCAATACACGAGGTGCGGTGGGAATATTTGCATCGAAGGTCAAGAGCGGGGGCTCGTCTCTCGTATTCTCTTGCAGGAGGGAAAGGAAGGGTCAAGTCATCCGTTGCGACATCAACCGGATGCGCAATTTCAACATGAAGATGCGACCTACCTAGGTGTGGTCGTAGAGGTATTGTCCTCTCAGGACGGAAAAACCTGAGGAGATTTGCGCAAGATTATATTCTTTATTCGAATGGCGATGTCAAACTCGTCATTGGCATTGATGTTAACTATGGAGAGGAGTCCTCAACGGTATCATCGTGGCGTCCGCGATATACTCCACTGGATGACGAGGCATGCGAAATCCTGGATGCGGTGCAAGAATTTCGCACCGGGTACGTTGAGATTCTTTCTAATGTGAATCAAGCTCTAACTGTCGCAGCCATTTCGATCTTCAAATGGGGCAGCTGTCAATCAGACAGACTCCGTATTCATCAACATCAGCGATCTTGCTTCGGATGAAATATCCAGCGCTGATGAATCGGTAATACTAACTATCCCGTTTAGGCGACTGGCTGATTTTCTCAGTCAGGCCGAACGCATGCAACAAGTGAAAGAGCCCAAGGAAGGACAGCCGAGCATCAAATCTAGCCGACGGACAAGGAAACGCAGGCTTTCATCTAGCTCGGCGGAGGAGCTAAGGTCTGGTGATGAGGCCAAATTCCTTGAGCAGGAAAGGCGAATTGCAGATCGGGCCGCAGCGGAAGACGGAGACTTCATGGCAACGGGTGCAAAACGGAGGGGATGAGCCGCAGGTCAATGCGTCCATCGGATTAACAGAGCTGAGTGGACAGCCCCGGCCATCGTCTGAGCCCAGTCACGTTAGTCCCTGGAACAAATCGGTTATATCCTAAGACCACCTTTCAATTTCTAGCTACATTTATCCCATAACTACATGGAGAAGGTTTTTTTTTTTTTTTCCTAAATTAAAAAAAAAAAAAAAAAAAAAAAAAAAACAGCTCTTGCGCCCAGCGTGCTGTGCGTTGTCAATTGCATACCCAGAGTACCTAATTACCAAGTACCGCTCCCTCTTAGTGTATGGTTGGAACACAAATGATGTCAGCGCATGCGCTACCATGTCGCCGAGTCAACGTATGGATAGTTATATCAAAACAATCTACTGATCTAGCATTGCTTCTCTTTCTGGTACCGACTTCTGTTTCGACACTGTTCCCTCCCAAGCGATACTCTGGCCAATCTCTTCCTTCCTAAAAGTCCTTTGTGTGGTAGCGTGACGTCATTCGAGCCTACACATCTTGGAGGTGTGGGGATCAGCCAGTGATGGTCGGTTACCCCCTCTCCTTGTCCTTTCCCTCTTCATCATGCGCATCCATCACAGTTATGTCCGTGGCACCTGAATCAGCTATCATGAACACCAACAAATTCCTAGACAATCCCCTAGAGATATCGGCCATCATGGTGGACTCTCAACTGGCGATGCCTTGCCCTCGCAATCTGAACGTCATGAGATGCTCTTTGAGTGCCTTCGTCCATGTCAAGAAGCTTCCTGAACCACCATTCAGCATATCCCCCTCCATTTAGGATTCCAATTAGATACCTCGATTCCTCTCTTCGCCCAGGCAGACCTTGAGCCGCACAATGCCAAGTGCAACTATAATGCAGCAACAATCACCTTGTACGTCATGCATGGCGCAGCTACGACGAGGAAATCGTCTCGCACGTTAAGTCATTCGTCGACTCCGTCTATGAAATCTACTACCTCCTCCATCTCATCGCAGAACAAGAAGCAAACACGCCGACCCACCAGAAAGCAGACGCAGCAACAGCAGCAGCAGTCGCCTAAAGAGGCATCGGACAATGCAGAAGGGAACAAGCGCACCAGATATCTTGAGCGAAATCGCATAGCCGCATCCAAATGTCGTCAAAAGAAAAAGGAATAGGTGCTTGGCCTTGAAGGGGCAAAGGGAGCCCTTGGGACGAGGCATTTGACTCTCCAGCAGGAGTACAACACGTTGTTGGATGAAATCAGCCAAATGAAGAGCTTCCTCATGGTGCATGCCAGCTGCAACGATCAGAACATCGGCCAATGGATTCCAGGCTATCAGTCGGGTCGATCGCTGTCGGGTCGATCGCTGTCGGGTCGATATGTGGGGATGAATTGAATGAAGCATCAAGGGATAGAAACCGGTGGCATCAAGCCTAAGTAAGCCGTAGAATTTGCAACGTCAGCACAATAGCCACTACATCTCGCCTTACGGTGGCACTACTTAACCACCTTCAGCCGCCCTTAGTCGGGAGAATGGCAACGCCTGCCTGTTAATTGGACAGTCCCACTTCCAGGATCCCCCAGGACAAAGGACCTCAATCTTGGCCGCAGCAATATTCCGTACTTTGGGCCCCTTGGTAAGTAAGAGAACACGCCATCAACTGTGAAAGTTGGGCATGCCTACAATTTAAGGCCGACTAAGAACTAAGGAAGGACCTGCAGGCCCCGCATCACAAGTTCCCGAAAGGTTGATGAAAATGATAGTGAACGAGTCGCCGTTACAACGCACGCACTTCAGCGCCGCGGCCATAGCATGACCTCTGGGAAAAGAGAATAGCCGTCCGCAGAGGGTGGTCGACGCTTTGAACACATCAATTGCGGCTAGTGTATTTAGATATGGATGGGAAATTTGGTTGTGTGTATCACTAGGTACAGGGTAGTGGGAATTGCGTGCCAATCTAGGCCGACCTGGCTACAACAGTAATTCAACTGATTTTCGCTTGCGTAAATCGTTTCTCGTTATGAAGTGCTCTAGCATAAAATGAAGCCGGATTTCACCATCCGTTCGCTAGAAATTCCTTTTTTTTTTATTTTTTTTTTCTTACAAAGATCAAGACCCTGTTGGACTCGTTGATCGTGGCGGCGTGTGCCGAGATGGAGGCTCTCTGTTCCACATCTGCTCTTTTGCAGAGATGATGAACTACGTTATACTGTCCGTTATTTATAGCCAGGAATAATGGCGTCCGCCCCAAGTTTACTCGGCTATTGATATCCCACGCCCTCCAGATCAGCGAGAAAAGACACGATAGCAGTGAAGCAGGGATAAAAGGTCCGGGTTTCGCAAGTCATGCCGCCCGGCGGCCTACTTAAAAGGAGCTGTTTTTCGCAGCCTAGAGAGAAATTCATGCTTATTCCCTTCATTCAATCGGAACCCTAACTTGTGACTGTTGAGTAAATTGACTGTTCAATCACGAAGCCTCGCGAAGCCTCTGTTCAATTGAGGCCGGCTGTGGCCTCAAGAGGCGCTGCGACGAGCGTTTCAAATGCTTCCTTCGTGAGAGATCCCTCTCTTCTCAACCCGTTCAATCTCTCGAGACGAGGAAGGTTTTCGTACGATGAATCACAATGCGGGCGATGAAGCTGTCAACTGACGCGATAACCGCTGTGTGCTACATACCCTTGTGTTGTGTGGTTGTGGGTGTTGTGTGTGTGTACAGCTTCCTCTCTCACCGCTTCAGCAGTATGCCCATATCTGTCGCGTTGCGAGAAAACGGAGATTGGCTGCCAATACAATGGATGTAGGAAGTCGTCTTGCGGCACCCGCTTCTGGACGTCTGCAGCCCAGGATCCCTGACGAGCAGGATCTGGTCTTGGCTTCGGAGCTTCCAGGCTAAAAGAATCCGTTGCATCTTTCTCTGTGCCTTGCCTATATCCAAATGGAACGTTAATTGAACAATGTTCCTTTTAACTACGTTCGATTCCCCACTACATTAACAACTGCAGCATGATATCTCCTGTATCGGCCATTGCTGGTACTCTAACCTGTCTACATCCGTTGCTTACGAAACCAGCTATCGTCTTAACAAAATGAAAATCTACCCGCTACCATCAACATCATCATCTGGAAAATCATCTTCTGTGAGCAACGCTCCCTCTAGTACCTTTCCAAGATGTGTTTTCTCGATTCCCTCACAATTGAATCGAATCTTTGTTAGAATAATCTTCAGAAACTTGACTGGGCTTGTCCCGAAGCCACATGTTTGATCGTGGATGGGCCTCTCGATGAAACCATCCGGCATGACCTTCTCACCTTCTTCGGCTGCTTTCCAAGCTAGGCCCAAGTAGTCACAAACTTTCGTGTACTCTTTGAAGGAACGGAAGTAAAGTTGTCCAGCGAAAAGGTTGAGCTCGATAATAAGAGCCCCCGGGATCTCCTGTCGCGGCACGCTCCCGGGGAGAGTATAGAGATCGAGACTGTCAATGGGTGCAAACCCTTGGTTCTGTCGCGCGGCATAGATGTGACGTATCACAGCCTTTGAGCTAGCTATCTTATCTCGTAGCTTGTTGGCCTCGTAAGGGCTGATGACCACCATTTTCATCGATCCACCAACGGAGCTCGTGAGGATCCATTGGATGTTACGGAGATAATCATCCATGTACGACTTCCGGATTGAGTCTGGTCTGATCGTTCTGGCGAAGTCTGCCGTGACGAGCAAGCCCTTCGGCCACTGGGATACATCAAATTCAGCAGCGGCGCTTGTGTTCTTGAATATGTCAAACGGCTGCCGAAAGCCGTTACTGAGCGGCGTAATCAATCCAGTGAGCACAAAATGTCGGACGTCTTTGTGGATTTTGTGCGATTGCGGCTTGGCTGGCTCGGCCCGTTCTTTCTGGCGCTCCTCCTCAATCTCCGGGGCTAGCTCTCTCTCTTGCTCCTCTTGGAGGGAGCTTTCGTTCGCGTCCAGATCGCTAAACTCGCAATATTTGTGGTAGATCTGCTGCAGCATCGGATTCTGTGACTGGCCCATTCCCTCGTCTATCAAATCATCCCGCTGTGATCTTGGGCGATAGCGAGACTCGAGGCTTTGCGCCTCTTCTTCAAGGAATTCTTCTGCCAAGCTCCTATCCATTGACTGTTGGTCAGCGGAACCAGACACCTGCTGCCAAAGCTCCTGCTGTTGAGCGAAAGTCTTGCCCTGGGTTGCCCAAAGGGGGAATGAGCGACGAAGATCAGCCCAAGTTTCTGAGATCGACCAAGTAAGAACTTCTAGGACGGTTATGGGGCCATCGACGATGCCATTGCTGCTGTTGAGAGATCGGATCTTGGTTTCAATTTCTTCAGGGACATAGAATACGACAGATTGGCCATTTCCAAGCTTCCTCATTCTCATACAAGCTTTCGCGCACATTGGTTAACTTGAACAACAACAGAATTCGCGGGGTGTGGTCAGCGGAAAAAACTTACCTTGTACCAGTCGATCCTTCACCAGATTAGCACCAAGCGTCACGGCAGCTCGATAATTTTGCGGCAACCGGAGGTCAATCCCTCTCGTGTGAGCCTCATCAAGAAAAACTAAGCATGCGTCAAGATGCTTAGCAAATGGCGAAGTCTGTAGCCGCTCGACGTGTCCCTGTCTGTCCAAGACGGATAGCTCGTCATTGTCACTACAAAACACCACTCCTTGGATCTCTGTCTTATCTCGTGCAAGATGCAGCCAGGCTTTGGCTACTTCTTCATTGGCCAAATCGATAATTTGTGCGCCAACATCAAGAATTACCCGTGTCTCTGGGTCCATTCGCACGGTCATTTTGAGTAGTTGCATAGCGTCCCAGACTGCGGTATGGCCCGGCTGCTGAGAGAGCACAGAGACCGAGTTCTCTGGCCGCAACAAATTCTCCAGCACGAGAGCATTGGTGTGTTTCTGGTCAGGTAGATCGAGCTGCTTTACTGTTAGAGGTAGCACGTGCTGAGAGTCATTTGTGCCGCTGAAGCCTGTCGCAGGGAAGCTCTTGACACGGCCGAGATCCCATCCCGAGGCCGAAAGCTTGTACGGGAACTCCTTCATTTCTTTGACGAAGACTATTTTGGAGAGGAAATAATCGATTACTCCCTTGGAGTACCTGAGATGAGGAAAAAGTCTGTTAATGCAGAGCTGTCGGTCGCGAATGTTCACGCCATTTAGCTGTCTGAAACTTTCAGGCAGATTTTGTACTGACTTGACCCAGTCCTGGTATTCCCCGTCTGCTTGATCAGACAAAAGGAGGCGTTCAAAGGCGAGGAAAAGCTCGTCGTCGGTGAGACCCCCATAGTAATAAGAGATTGATGTTAGGCAGATGACAACATCTGGGTGACTAAACTCGGATCTCGGGCTCGGGCTGTCTTTGGCACGGTATGGGACGGCCAGCCTCGTCTGCGGATCTCGTGTCGCATCGAGGCCATAGTTGACCCGCCATCTCTTCTTGGCAAAGACGAACTCGAGGATACCGCTTGCAAAGAGTCCTCGTATGAGTAAGATACTTTCAGAGACCATGTCCCAAAAGGCGCCTTCCTCGACACTGGCGACAGCATCGGGGCATGGATTTGACTCGGTAATGTAATGGCGAATCATGTCTCGATATTCCTTGCTTTGCCGGGAGATCGGAAACCCAGGGAGCAGCCCGGTTTCGCAGATGTGATCAACGACAAGTCGCAGAACCTCGTCGGATGCCTTCTTGCTGAGGAATCGGATCCGTGGATATCTGTCTGTGGACGTGCTGTGGATTTCGATTGACTTGGGAAACTGCTCCAGCAACGTCGGAGCGTACTTGGCAACTAGACCTAGAACCTGTTGAACAATTATCCATCTCCCAGGCGCATAGTCGATAGGGCCCTGTAGACCCATCGTGTAAATGAGCTCAAACTTGACGGAGAAATTTTCATCGCTCTCATCAATAATGTCGCGGGCAAATTGGTCGAAGAAGTTGCGTTGGATACGCAAAAGCGAGCTCGACAGTGCTTCATCCTCTTTGAACGCCGCCTCCTGAATCATCAGCTGGAGAGATAGAAGATTTTCCGGCTGAACAAGCAGCACCCCTCCATGGTCTCGGCATTGCCCATAGTGGTGTTCCAAGAACTTTGCCTGTGCAGCGCTTGGACGCAGACTTCTCGAAAACGGCATGTGATATATCCGTCTGCCAATGAGGCCTCCCAATCTAGACACAAGCATCTCGAACATTTGCCGTGATTGGGGCTTGGCCACGATGACTCTCACCAGGCCTGTACCGTCGCCGAGAGCGGCTGCGACGGTAGGCACGATGACTGATGACTTGCCCTCACCCATGTTAAGCTGCATGACAGCATTCTTGTTCGGTAAGGCTGGGGGGTTCTCCATTGTTTCTGCAATCTGCTGTTGGGCCTTGCGAATCCGAAGGTTACCCTCTATCTCTAAGAGGAGCGAGTCTGGATGATCTATTGGATTCCAGGTCCTTGGTCCAAAGTTTGATATCTCCTTCACGAGATCAGCTTCCTGGCCGTGTAGTTGAAGTAACCGCTCCGACCCTTGGAGCTGTGAGACGCAGCAACCAAAATTCACAACAGCTTCCTTCCATTCAAGGGGTAGGCTCTTCCAGTTGGCCCTGTTCAATTGCATTAAGATGAGCCTTGGAGATACACTGGGCCACATATCTGTACTTTCTACCATAGAAAGGGAAGAAATGCTGTTTTCGCCTTGGAGTCGGGATGAGAAGGTGACTTTGAACGCTGATAACAACGCATCATAATTCTCCAGACTTAGCTGATAATAGTTGTGGAGAGACTGAAACAGCTCCTCTCCAGTCGTAGTAAGACGGCGTTGCTCTACATTGCCGCGCAGCTGGTCAATGCTTCCAGAAAGTTGGTTGAGATAGCGGATCTCTTGCGGCAATCTGGCAATTGTGGCGATTCGCCTCTTGAGGGCTGATACTAGATGGAGACCGTTGGATGTTTCGGACTGGGGAACTAGGGTTGGTGGCTGAATCGTGTCATTTACCTCTGGCAACGACGAAATTCCCGTGGGTTTGAAAAGATCAGTGATCATGACATGTCGGAGAACATTCTGTGTAGTTGGCGGTGGAGTAGAGGCGTTCACTGAAGTCAACCGAGTAGGTCTTACAGGGATCTGACGCAATGAGGCACACATGCTTTCTATGGACTGGAAGAATTGGTGATTATGGTACCAGCTTTTGAATTTGGTCCGGATCTGTTCCATCGCCGCGTGGATGTGAATGTAGTCACTCGCATCGGGATCTGTCGGCACGGACGGGCTTTGACACGGCCATTGCTCATAGATTTCATTTGAAAACTTATGGACACACTCGGCCTGATAGGAGAGATACTGACGCTCGCGTCTCTCGTGGGCTTGTCGGTTCGTTTCTCTAGGCAAACGAGTGCCATTAGTCCAGCCGCTACTCTCGAAAGAAATAGCACACGAGTTTACGCAGCCTTCGATCTCGTTGCGATTAGCCTTGTATCCCTTGTCAAGATCTAGAGCTTCGTTTTGGGGGAAAACCATCACTCGGTGCTTTGGGTGGAAGATGAGCCCACCCAGAGTGCTAAGCAGACCGCTCTCAATAGGCTGGGCGAAGGCGATGGAAACGATCCATGGCAGGAGTGCAAAGTAATCGTTGGGGTTTCTGCCCGCTATGCCCTCTATAGCTAGCTGGATCGTACGCCATTCTTCAGTGAGAGCAGGCCACGGGTTATCGAGCCACTTGGGATTAAACGACAAACAAATGCTTTCTTTGCGTGGCCGAGGAGGAAGGATGGGGAGCCCAGTGAGATTCTGATACAGCGAGTGGGCGAAGTCTTGAGGGATCTGGAATGGTACTTTCACGTCACTGTCGCGGAAAATAGCGGCCACATTCGACACATCGCGCGCACGCTGTGAGTCTTGGCCCCCATCCCGAGGCTTCGAGTAGAGAGCATCATAATCCATCGTGTGTGCCTCGGCTCCAAACCCGTCTCTGTAGAAGACTGATGACCTGATGGCCTCGCGAGCTTCCAACACGACACGAACTTCCCCTGTGGGTGGTGGCTGGACAAAGTCGCTGTAGAAGAAAGATGTTTCTTCGGCCTGGATAAATAAAGCTCGAACAGATCTGCTAAAATCAACGTGCTGCGACAGCGGACTTAGGCCGCGGGAACCCCAATCAACGACTTGCATGACTTTGAGATTCGCTGGGTAGAAGGAGCGTTCTGGGGACAATTGCGAGATTCGTTTCAAGAGATCGATTTCTTCTTGCGATAGGCAGGTAAAGGAGCGCACGCCTTCTGAGCGCAAAATAGTGAGTGCCTCCTCAGTGCCCGTATGTAGCGTGAACGGGTCTGGGACGCAGCTGGAGGTCAGGCCATGAAGCTCTGCAAGAAAGAGTTTGCTCTTCAGACTTCCGTTCCCTGTCAGGCGATGGAGATGGTGATCCAGCTGGTAAACTTCAACTCGAGTAGCAGAAGACGGTATCGCGACTGTGACATGATCTGTCCTCTGGTTCTTTTGACAAGAAGGAGCCCAGTCTGGAATAAGAACTGACCGGTCTAGATTGCCTCCGACCTTGGCCAGGACCAGCTTATCCACCAGTCCTATCAGAGTGCCTATGGTTTGGTGGGAATCAACACGCATTCCTCTGTATTGGCGAGACATGATGTCACTAGACTTAGCCTCAATGTAAAATGAAAGTTGTAGCCGAGGGATATCAATCTCAAGACAACCTGTGCTACGTTCAAAGGATATATGCAAGCCAGGGAGCTGTTCGAGCGGCTTGAAAACCTCGGAGAGCCGGCAGGCAGTTTTTGATGACGGGTTGATCAGAAACGTATTGGGACACTCGAGTCGCCACTTGCACTCATGCCTGAGCAGCTTCCATCCTCGCTCGTCAGGCTTCCAAGGCTGGTCTTTTCGGCGAAACTCAATTACCTCGTTTGCTACATCGTACCAGTGGACATGGCTGTGGATAAAACGACTGGGAAAAGCCCCGTAAAACACACGCGATGGAACAAGCTCCCATGCATTTTCTCCTTTACAAGCTCGGATGAGCAGATCATTATTCTGTAGCGACAGGTGAATCTTATACCCTTGGATCTCGCATCGCGTTGAAAACTTCATGCCTCTCTCAGCGCTAGGCATGACCTCGACCGAGGACCGTCCAAAAAGCACGGGATAATTCTCGTGGAGCTCGTAATCTGACGGCAGGCGACTCAATGGAAGACCATTGACCAAAAGTTCGGCAGTCAAGACGTTATAGTGGACTTGGAGACGCGACGTGCCGTCCTGACTGGCAGAAGTGGTCTGAACCCAACACGAAGCTTGTTCGGTCCAACTCTCCCCTTTAGCACGGTTGTAGGAAGGCCAAATCTTCGCAATAGCAAGATCCAGCCCAAGATTACCTCCAGATGTAATTTCATCCATAAGGGGTGACTCTGTTAAAAATAAAAGACGTTGATGGCTGAGTTCGAGAGATGGAAGGAAGGCTACGTCACCCGTCGCGTTCTTTCTATTTCTGCCAAGAGATTCTTGGATCGTAATGCAGGACTCAATAAAGACGGAGACAGCATCTGGGTTCTGCAGCATCTTTTTTAAATACCTAGCATCTACGTCGAATGTTTGACTGCAAGCCAATGCCGTTTCTAGCAGCCGTCGGGTCAAGTTTTGTAGGTGTGCATCATCTCTGGCGGCGGAGACTTTTCCTCGGAGAGTCTGCATCCATGCAAAACATGTTTGACGACAAGACGACAAAAGGTCGAGACACGAGTTGGCGACAAGATCAATTGTGAGTGATAGCAACCGGGCTGTTATGATGGTGAATGTCGCGACTGCTGGCAGACACTCCCAATTTTCCTTCAGGTGATTCAGACACTTGCTCATCTCACGTAGCAAATTTAGGACCAAGGCCTCATCTTCAAGTCCCTTGTGTGCAGATCGCAACACAGAACCTGCCAGAGAAGGACCAGCCTGGTGGGATATCTGCCAGGCGAAGAGGGCGGTCTCAACCTTACCCCAATCAACGGAAGGCATGGCAAATTCCTTGAGAAGATTCTCCCAAATCACTCCGTGACCTAGTGGGAGAGAGCACAAGGCTTTGAATTCGTCAGTGGAAAGGTTATCAGGACACTTTGATTGGCTTGCAATGACCATGTTCGGGTCCAGCCCGTCAGGTGTGCTCCAAGGTCGATTCAAGAAAGGTTGCAAAGAACGAGGAACGACAAACGTGCAAGCCTCGGCAACGTAGGAGTCGATGTTGAGTTCCTCCATGATGTTGTTTTCTTCCCGGTCAAAGAAGCCCCAGCTCATACCGTTTTCGAGACAAATTTCATATTCCTCAGATATCGAGATGTCCTTCGCATCGCGATGAGTGGCGACATTGGGCTTGGTGTTCGAGGCAAGAACTACCCGTTGTTTCTCGCTGGCACCCCCGTCCATGAACTCTTTGAGTCCCTGATATTCGGACAAGTAACCAATATACGGTTGGCCTTCGGTGCAGCTCCCACCCTTGCCAAGGACACGCGTGTGCATGAAATGGGTGCAATCCCGCCAAAATCGGAAAGGGCGTGGCACGTCGAGCTCAAAAACGGTCGCCTTCGCCGCTGTTTCATCGCTAGGCAATGGCCACTCGTGAATATAAATCTGGAGGTTATCTGCGATTGAGCCTAGGCGACATTTCTGGCAATGGTAATGAACATGTTCAAGGTACTTGTCACCCCACTTGTTGATCCTTGTGATACTCTCATGGGACAAAGACGCAGCTTGGACAATGAGGTCGTTGTACTGGGTTTTGAGAGCCCTGAATTGATTGCGCTTTTTCTCCTGCTCTTCTCTGGCACGCCACTCAATTTGACTAAGCAATTGTTGTTGTTTTGGGGAACTGTGGTAGTATCGGACGCCAAATGTTCTGGAGGTGCCAAAGGTGGTGAAAATGGACTCCACATGAGTAACTTGCCTCCGTCGTTCCTGGACATACTCTTCGATGGCCGCCAGTCTGTCCATATGTACCCGAGAACGAAGCAGAAGGGACGCGCAAACCTCAATAGGCACTTCGGGATTGTAGTCGCGCAGCAAAGAATGAATGGCAACAGCAGATCGGTCACACGCAACCCAGAGCTCCAACAGAGTTAGAGTCATGATGGATTGCCCTTCTGGCTTCGACTTGTAGAGGTTCGTTGCAAATTTCCGGTACTCCTTCATGATAATGTATAGCTTCTCACCTGTGTCTTCATCTTCGAGATGCTCCTCGATCCAGTCTCGAAGAAAGTAAGTCACCCAATTTTCAAAAGCCACAATGTTGTAGATTCGATAATCGCCAGAGGTTTGAGCAGATTGTAGCGAAGGAAGGGCGTGTTTGGATAACCGTATGATTGCAGATGATGGTCGAAAGTTATTGGCGCCATCTAGGCCCACGCCCTGTCCAACCTCATCAAGGAATCTTTCCAGCTCGGGAAGCGAGAACTTGCACTCTTGGTCCATAGACTGCTTAAGAATGCCAGAGAATTCAAGTGACCTGGAGTCGTCCTTGACGACGGCTGCCCACCTGCCCCGCAGATGTGCAGTGGCATTCTTCATGGTTTCATGGACCTTCCGCATCCATGGCTCGGTCTGCTTGATGTCAAGCTTGATTAGACGACGAGCGAGTTTGGCATTCATGACATGAAGGGCACTACTGGAGCGGCCCCCGTCTAGAGAGAGTTTCAAGACATGGGCCATAAAATAGACCATGAACCTCTTGTAAAGCCGGCCACGGGGTGGTAGGTCATATGAAAACTCCTCTCCAGCGAGGGTCAGTTGTAGGATGACTCGCAGCAAAAGCCAGATGGGAGATCGCCTCCAGGGCAGGCGATTTCCATGTTCGTAACGGACCTCCTCGCGCGTATTTTTCCACAACCCTCGACCAGAAACCATCTCACCAAACGGGCGCAAGACGGCTGTAAGAAGCTGTGTTACTATGGCTGGATTGACCGTGTCACGATCCTCCACCTGGGCTCGCCGAGCCTTTTTTATTTGGGGCTGCATCTCGGCAACACTCTGGGCGCTCATGTCGCCGATGAGGGTGGAAATGGCGGCGCAAAAGCCCTCGCGGGCTAGAGTATCGCGCGGCATGCATACAGTAGCGGCGGGAAACTGCCTTCGCAAGCGGCCCTTGTTGGCAAAGACGGAAGAGTTTGTTGGAGAGAGTTCAAAGCATTCAAAGAAGACGTGGCCGCCGACGGATCGAAGAAGGATACCGGCATTCTGGCGCCTAACGTGGAGGGGAATGACAGAGTCTGACGAGATGTGAGTAGTTGCGAAACGTAAAAGGCGGGAGTAGGCTGGATCTAGCATACCTTCAGTCCAAAGTCTCGCAAGCGTAGATGTGAGTTCAGTGGCCGAAATGGGACCAGCTCCGCTCAAGTTTCTGAACGCCTCGACAGCTCCTAGCGCCTGCTTGAGGGAGGCAGAATCGGCCTGGGGCCATTCGTAATAGCCAAATTTCTCTAGAGAGACAGCAAGAGCAGCGACAAGCTGGGTCTCCCAGTCATCCAACCCTTCATCGTCGCCGCCTGGGAGCTTGGGAGGGAGGAACACATGGTCGATAATGGTCTTTAGCTGGCTTGAAGTGCCCGAAGAGGCCATTGTAACAGGTTTTTACGAGTGGAATTCGGTTTCAAGAGAGAAAGGGAAAGTAAGGAAGGGCAAGTAAGGACGGGATTTAGGGGTTGTAGTTAGCTGAATCAATGAACAGATAGAAGACAGCAACCTGGACGATATGGGATGCGGTTGGAACAAAATTCAACTCTGGCAGTGCTGCTGTGATTAAAGTGGTATGTGTGAGGAAAGAAAAAGAAAAAAAGAGGAGAAGAAGGGAACAGCAAGAAAAGACATTTTTGACCTGACAGAGCAAGTTTGTGGGCGAAAATTCTTTGTGAGACAGCTGCCATCAGTTGTCAGGTTCACTTACCGAGAACTGCAAACTGCCACCAGTACAACAAATAGAAAACACATCCACGCTTGACCCAGGTCGCTTAAAGAACTATGATAGGGAATTAGCTTCTGGTTTGCTCCCAGGTGTGAGGCAGGACTGATAGCTCATGCCTCAAGGACTTTCAAGCCCAAAGTAGAGTTCCGCGACACCGAAATATCTTGGGAGAGCAGTGGATGGCCTCCCGCATCGCCCCGCCCCCCCACACCTTTGGTCGTATTTTTGCTTGCCTCAGTACTGACATCTAGGAGGCCACAAATGCTTGCCAATGTCATCTCTCGTCAGTGAACGTAAAAAGGCTGCTTAGGTAATAGATGAAAGGCAATAAGTATTCACACAAGAGTCCAATCCTTAAGTGCGAAACAAGATTCAAATAATGCTACCGCGTGGAATTCTCGACAGAGATTGCATCCCGTTAGCCCTAAAGATATGGTCAGAGTCACAGCACAGTTTTATGCTCTCTGTGTGGATATTCTTATCGGATATCGGATTATCGATAGCCGGTCTTATCGATTGGTCAGGTGGGCCCAGCCAATCGTATACTTATCCAACCTTTGGTTGGAACCTTCCAACAGCTAGCTTTTATACTAATCATCATCACTCATTCAATCGTTTGCTTTTGCTATTTGCTTCGCTGTACAGCTGCTTGTCAAACCACACTCTGAGCCGTGCGACGGTTTTGAAACTGGCTCTGTTCAGTCAGTCGTGGCAACGCTACATCGCTGCCAAGCGCGCCTATTCAGCGGCTTGTAGGAAACGAATGGCACTTCTCAGGCTTTCCACGGTAATGACGCTGTCGCCTTTGGCACCCTCAACGTTCACATTCCCAGCACGCACATCAAATCCGGGCTCTGCATCATCGGGGAACTCCACGGACGCCTCGGCACCCAGCCTCTCCGCGCAGCTTTCAGACTGCACTTGGCTGGGATGGTCAAGCCATTTAATCCGTGCAGCAACAGTGTGCGAGGCATGTTGGTTGGCCAGCCTATCGAACGACAAGGGAAACAGGCGTCGGTGCTCCTCGGGTATCGTCTCAACTCGTCTGTCGGCAATAGCGCGAGCGAGGCCGTCGACGCTTGTCAGGTAGTCTACAAAGAGGCCCTCAATGTGAAGCGCAGAGACCAAGGCATATTGGCGATCCCTGGCTACGACTGGAGGCATGGCGTATGCCGAGATCCTCTCCCTCGTCTCGTCCTTTCCTCTAGGTTTGGGAAACTCGCGCAGCACTGGCTCCGTCTCGATTGCAGGCTGCCCAAAGATGTTGGGTCCTAGGGTCGTGTATCGTGAGTTGGCGGAGTCCAGCATCCCATAGATCAGTAAAAGAGCGTCCGGCTTCTCTCCTGCGAGGCTTGCCGTTGTCAGGGCCAGGTAGCCACCAGCGCTCGATCCCGACACCAGCACAGAGCTGATGGGAAGCCCTAGCAGACCCGTGAGCGATGACCGCACCCCCTTGTAAGCGTTCAAAGTATCAAGGTACCCAGGCGTCGTCATTCAATTCATTCCGAACTGGGTAAATTGGCTCAAAATAGCCCCTGTTCATTTCCTTCGTAAAGGTTTTATGTCCATTCGATAATTCAAATGAGAAAGAGATGGACAATACATGGATCATTGATTTTCGTGGTAGACTGTGGATAACCACTTTTTCGCTTCTTGATCTTTGGTCGCTGAGGGGTAGCATAAAATTTCCTGTGCACAAAAAAGTTATAGATCCTTGATTTAGTTATATCAATAGGAGCCTGTTATTTGGTAAAACTCAGACGTGTAGTATTTTCCTCCAGGTTTTTTTTCGGAGTAGATCCGAGATTACCGGAAACCATCTCTAGGTGTCTGTCATGTCCTCGTTAGTGCAGTCCGGGAACTTAGCCTACTTGCTAATCACCTCCAACCATTGGCTGATACCAGACCACTGTAGAATATGACCGCCAAGAGCTAATGTCTGTTCCCGCTAATGCGAAAGACACCATGAATCGTACCTGAAGGAAAATAGATTGTCTGTCCAGGTTTCAGAATCTAGTAGCGCCACTGTTGTTTGTCATCGTAGTGTTCATTATTTTCCATCTATGCTCTATATTGTTCATCACTTGGACGAGAATCCATACAAAGCCGAATAGTAATCTAGGTAGAGAGGCCATGGCTATCCATATGAAGTACCGTACAATGACCTCCTTCAGATAGCAATGCCCATTGTTCAATATCTCTCGAAGCTACCAAATCTTTCCTATTGGCCACAACCCTCTCAGCACTATCTTCATTCAGCACTATATCACGAATCCGAGCTAGGAGCTGGCAATTCCTATTCATCAAAATGCTATGTAGTATAGAAGGCAAGTGACAACTGCAGTCAAGGATATTCCAGGGGTCATCTGAGTATCTTGATGAGAGGAAATGCTCCTAGACTTGTCGCAAGCTTCTTGGTTCGCTACCTCGAGCTTCATTGCTGGCGATCCAGTTAAGACGACGCTCATCTTTCGTCGGTTTGACCAGCTAGTAGTCCGAAACCTTCTCTTTCTTGAGGCTCGGCATGCGGCCCTTAAAGAATTGCAAGATCGCCTCGACGAGACTGACAAAGGGCTCCGAAACAACGAGCCTATCACGACAGCAGCAAATCATGGGAAGATTTCGCCGCTTTTGGCACTTACGGTCGTGAACAAGATTTCGGACTCCCTCGATCGGTGTTGGATCGGTGGGAAGAGTCGAGAGGGGGCAAGTGAAGAAATACGAGAATTGGTCCGGTCAGAACCCTCCATACCCGGAGTTAAGCACCCCTACGCAAGGGCATCTTCCAGTGGCAGTGGCAAAGGACAGGGCCCCGCTATAAATAAAATCAAGGACAGGGAGAGAAGAGACTTTTTACTGCTATTTGGGGAACTCTGAAACCAACGGAAACAACTTCATTCACTACCTCTAACAAGTATAGCACTGTACTCGAAGAATCCAGGGCCTTTTTTAATAATTTCTTAAGATGTGGTCCTCTCACAATGGAGTTGATACAAGGCAAGTGGAATTTGGCACAGACAGTAGAGGACTCTTTGGAACTTATCGTTCGTATGACAGAGCTTATCGTTGGAAAACAAGCTAACATATTCCAGAGGAAGCCATCTTACGATACCGAGAAATGCTGAAGCTCGAGCCACCAGCAACAATGAATAAGGGGCCCAATAAAAGCATGTAGTGGGATAATACTTAAGGACCACTTCATGAGAAGTACTATCTGGCTATTTAATTCAATAGCATCAACAATATCGTCAACATTGTATTCAGCTTCTGATGGATAGCAGACAAAAAAGCAGCTTTCTATACCTAAGATACTGTTAGTTCAATGAATAGTATAGAAAAGAATTGAACGCCCCTGTGACATCAACAGTCTGCCCCAACGGATGGGTATCTTTAATACAAGAAATATGAGTGACCACGATGAAGCCAGGTTATATAGACCGAAATCTTATGAGCTGGTGTGCTGCATTGCAAATGTATATATACAGTACTGTATGTAATATTGAAAGAAAATCGAAAAGCTTTCTTATTTTCCGCCAAATTGCTGTATTTTTGGAATAAAGCATAGGCTAAATAGTGGGGTTCAGGCTCATTCTGGGGCCAGTACAAATTTTAACCATGACTCAATCAGACTTGAGCTGGGAATCCCAAGTAGCCTTAGACGGCCCCTTGACTGATCCAACTCGTCGCTCCAGAAGCTTGAGCTCCTTCTCCCAACGCCGATAAGCAGAGGTCCCATATGAACTATCCCCCTCCATCCTGTTTTTATCATTTGCTGCCCGTCTTCTTGGACGTCGAAGGCGTCGGTGCATCTTATGAACTTCTTTAGTCTTGCTTTCTAGATTAGGCTCATCAACAGGATTCTCTGAGTTGTCGGTTTGGGATACAGCCGTATGTTCTTGCAACGGATCATACGTGCACATTACTCCGGGAAAGTTCTCAGCCTGCAAAAGAGTTGTATGATTATTATATCGGGCCGGGCTGTTAGGTGCCAAAAAAGCCATGTCCAGAGACTGCGGAGACCTGCCACTATCGATATTCTGATCCAAATTTGTATCTTCATCGATAACAATAGTACAGTCTATAGTCTTCTGTCAGCTCTGGCCGTTTCAGGCTCTGGAATAGAACCAGTATATACCGTGAGTGTTGCTACTAATTTCAGTATCACTATCTGCCTGAATATAGGAAGTTGAACTAGTTATATCGTCTAGCGAAGTAGAAGTGCTCGGCACGCCTGGCTTGGCGCCAGTATTATCGTTTGGCGGTTTTACTTTCCACAGCTCTTCCATCGGTGGGAGCTCATCATGTAAGCCAGGAGCCTTATCTGTTTTCACTTCAGTTAGCATATGACTTGATTCTATGCCAGCCGTATTTCTTATACCGGTGATCTCATCCAAAGTCTCCTGAGTACACTGGGAAGTCCATATATTATTGAGATTCTCAGCCGCATTCGAGGTCCGCATGTGTTTTTGAGGCAAAGAAACTGCATTTTGTTTCCTCTTCGGCTTTTGTGGCATGGGCCGTGGAAGTTCGTATCGTCTGAATTCGAAAACCATCTTGGGAATGAGTCGTAGGCAGATTTGGGCTAAGAGTCAAGATATTTGGGATTAAAGTAGTGTAATACAATTGGTCTGATGAAGAAGTTGATAGTAGACGTAAAGCCAATGTACTGTGCTACGAGGGAGGACCTCATTTTATAGACAGAGTCCCTTCTTCGTCCTTCCCCCCCTCCCCCTCTTCTATCACTTCCATTACCTAAAGACATGGAGCTCAGGCCATCCACCCGAAAATGAATCGTGGCAAAAGCGGGCTCCTCGGATTCCATCCCCTGACTTTCCTGATTCAATCGTTACCACTAAACGTAATGAGATAAACCTTATACAGTTGGTGAGATTAAGGGGCTTGGCCGACTGCATATTGAGGCTTAACACTCTCAAGACTGCCTGGGTATCAGGTCAACTGACGTAAGTAACGACCAGACATGGTAAACACCTCGGCTGGCGGGTTCATTCGCTCTACGGTGGCGAAGTAGCAAACATCTTGATTATGTTCTCGCGCCATCTTATGCATGGCCAACTTATGCATGAGACTGGCCCTCGACTAGCTTACTCACTCCTCTCACGGTATACTGATACACCTCTGACGTGGTATCAAATTGAAGTAGTTCTTCATAGGTCTGGATTTTCAGCCAGTAACTAGAGAATAACATGGTACGAGCACATGTGCCTCTTTCTCACCATACGCAACTGACACAGAGGTGCCTTGTTAGCCCCGTCGGGCCGTAGCATTTAGGTAGGTAGCCACGTAATCCTTTGGTGTTTCAATAATACCATGGGAAAGGATGGCAGTATCGCAGGCTGCATCTAGCGTGATAGAGCCAGAGCTCAACATATCGTGCCTTAGCTGCTGTAGGTAAGACACCACTATGCTCCGTTGAGGACATCTTGCCAGGTCTAGAACTACCGCGTAATCACGCCCAAGGTAAATTTAACATCGTTGACGGGCAAAGGAATCCATGGTACGCAAAAGTTCGATAGCCTGCATGGAGCTGACTACGCCTCGCTCAGCGAAGATGACGATGATCATTCGCCCCCGTGAAACTTATGCTGCCCCATCTTAGTATTGGTTCCATCTTCTCATAGTAGACACCTTCCAACTCGGGCAAAGAAGTTGAGGCGATGGAGAGTTATCGGCTGTATGGCTGCCCCTAGATCAGGGAAACAAGACATAAGGTGGAGGCCGAAATAGGTTCTTGGCTAAGCCTGGCGAAACCAAAAACACCTCAGTTCCTTGTAGCCGACTTCATCCCTATTCAAGCTCGCGCGTCTCACGCCGAAGGCCAATGGCTCTCACCCGTAGTTCCGCTCAAGAGGCAACCCATTGACTCTGATGGTGCACAGATGACGGCCAACGTGCGGCCAACGTGCTGCGCCACTCCACTAACCGATGCGTAACCTCAGCTGGCGCTAGCTGCCTAAAGATCGACGTACCACCTTCAGTGATTACTTCCAAGACGATGGCATAGCCATAGAGTAAGATGATGTCGGACACTCTACAGGGTCGTTGCCTTGTAAGTAAGTAGAGAAGCAGAATGGAGGAGGCCACTAGCACAATGTTGAGCATGTTAAATGAACGATGACTGCGGAAGATAGAGAGGGTTCGTGGCTTGGATGGCTGATAAGTGTAAATATACCGCTTGCGTTGTCGTTGGGAAAAAGCAGCAAGTGATAACAGAGCCGAACATTTCCCGATGTGGCATCCGATGCTAGACCCGCCATTTCCGAAGGCGGGCATGCCGTGCTGTCTGACGTAGAGAATACTTGGTCTCACAAGCATTCGACGATACATGATTTGTTTTAGTCCTCTCGCTCCTCTTTCCATAGAAATCCACATGTATAATGATTAAAATGTGGGTTTATGAAACTTATTTGAGGTAACACTGATAGCATACCTCTGAAAAACGTGGACCCGGTCATCAAGGCCTGTGCCACATTACGCGCCTCCTAGTTGTGAAATAAATAGACTCACTATTATGGTAAGGCAGACTCGTGTACTTTACCTCAATGTGAGCCCCTACCCCTTACCAAGGCTTGCATCCAAACATTGCCTCTTCATGTGCACCGATCAACATACCACCAAACACATGATGCAAGCACTCGGCTGCTTGTTGGAGGGACAAACTGAAGCTACAATGAAAAAAGGATCCTAAACGCAACTGCGTTGGGCAAATTACCATGATAGCTTCATGATGACGCAGCTTCCTTTATCTTTACATCCTCGCGGTTCCAGGGCACGATCGTCCGGCTAGAACCTCTATTACTGTCCGTTGGAATAAAGAAACCTTGAGAGGTCTTAGTCTTTGTCAAAACGTTCCTTGGCCTCAGTCCAATACATCGTCGTATGGTATACACCCCCATAATCCTACCAGACCCTACCGTTTTCAATTAACTTACTTCTAGATTGGGAGGAGAGAACTCTCTTGCATTCGTGTTCATATCATTACGACATCTACTTAACTGGCGAGGGTACATGGGATGATGATTCGTCTAGTGCTTCGTTGGAACATTTCGGGGACGTGGCTTCGCTACCGGGAAGGATAATGCCTGCCCATATGATGTAACCAGATCCGAGGTATAAAAGCATGACGATCCCCTCCTGTGACAGGAAAAAACGTTCCCCCCAATTCTTTTCTACCTTTTGCTAATTTCCAAGACCAACCTCAACTGCCAGTCACTATGTCCCCTGAACCAGTCCTTGCTGACCTCCCCCATTCCATTGACTCATTGGAAGAATATTCATGGGAGGAAATTTGGACTGAAATAGACGAGTCCTTCACCACCCTTGATACTGTTACGCCAATGAGCCCGACCGCAAGTGGTGCTGCCAGCCTGCGAGCATCATCTGGCGCTTCTACACCGAATCTCGAGCCATCAAAAGATACCCAGCTGGAACGATTGAGGGGAGAAATTGGCTCAAAGTCTAACCCTATTGACCTCTGCTGCTATGGCCAAAAGAGGAAAGCGTCCGGTCCAGCTGAAGTCTCGAGGAAGGCGAAGAGGAGCACCCGGGAGACGACACCACGGGCCAGCCCTTGCGTTACTGTTTATTCTCTACAAACAAACGATTCGGAGCTCCTTGTTTGGGAGAGGAGGTCCAAGCAATGGGTCGATGACAGAAACGGCTCCGCTCAAGCTATTGACGAGGCAAGCCTCATGTCGTTTCATGGTCGAGTAAATGGCGAGGTTGGAATTCATTTTCAGCGGGCGGGTAGAGCCTGGGAAGGAAGTGATGATCTAAATCAATGGGTTCTATCGGCTTCTTCTGAAGAGGTTAGAGATATTCTTACTTCAAATGAAAGGCCGACTTTAGAGCAATGTATGAAGGCTAAACGGACGATCAACAGGAGGAGCATATAAGACACGAGGAGTATATAAGATAGATCTGCATGTTGCCTGATCTAGGATAGAGTTTCTTGTACTAAGAACTTTCTGTGGGAGAGCCTTCTGGAGCAGTAGGTAATATATTGACAGCAATCGAGGTTCCTCTATAATACGGGCATTCAATCTTGACATATGAGGTAGCAATGCTCGAGATAAGCTATGATACTACTGTGCTTAGCTTTAGCTCTAAATTTTATTCAAATACCCTTAAATAGGTAAGAATTATTTTATATGCCCAAATTTGTTATATTCCATAGAGTTGTTAGTAATAGTTCTTTTCAACTGCCACAATACTGTGTGTTTTCTGCACTCTCAGCGAGATTGGGTTGACTTTTGCTGCCGTGGCCTTTGATATGTTATTGCGGTTCCCGGCCGAATCATTGTGATGCCTTTCGTGCGGTCTCATATAGGCTTTCTAGACCCAACATCTTTGTAGACGTAGGACAAGGAGATGTACCATCAATGTGGGCTGCCATTTTCTATTGACGGCCTATCCACATGACCTCTGCTCCACGGGAGGTGCTTTCGGCCTAAAAGCCATAATTAGCCCCACTTTCTTGTAAAAAGATCAGTAATTGCTCTACTTTCTCAACTGTTCATGTTGTATTAGACTCGTCTGAAGGTACTGATTAAGGAGGCTCTGCTTATACTGTATTCCCATACCAGCCATACTTTATCTACCTGGAATCACAGATGATGGAAGATGGACATTATGTTCTCGATCCGTATGGCTTGTAAAGTGTTCCGGCCCTGCGAGCACCGCCTCGCAATCATCATAGGGACAAGAAAATGGTGTATGTTTCTGTTCCAGGTGTTGTTTCCGTATGTGTTTTGCCAAACTGTCAAGGCGCCACGTTTTCCCGCGTTGTTCATGCCCTACTGCGCTGTCTGATTTGCAGAAAGGACACGTAATCAAAGCTTTTGACGGATATGAGATAGACGCTGATCCGAGGATTGCGGACGGGCAACTCTGTGCATCAACATGAGGCGAAGGGCCTGACTGAACTCCATGGAACACTCCTTGCACCTTGGAACCGTTCCTCCGACCTTGCCGAGATGGGCGGCGGCAAGGACTCTCGCGCCTCTTGCAAAGGCTAGCAATTGCCATGACCAACTTCATACGCAGCTGGTGGAGCCCTTCTCTACTCTGGACCTGAGCCACCTGTGAGAACAGACTTGCTACTAGTGCTCGCTCAGGAAGTTCATGCTTCATATCTGATTGTGCAAGGTCCGTAGGCTTGATCCCTTGCAATTGTTGATCAACTTCTTTTGAGTGTATCGTTTCATGAAACTCCTGAACCGCCCGTTCCAAACGTTTTCTTAACAGTACGTTTCGTACACTCTCGACTTTCTTTCGGTACTTGTCATAGGCTTTTCCTTCAGGCGTATCCTTTGCGGCGGAGGCTGAAACGTATCCAGCGCGTTTGATTCTTTCCAACGCCCGCTTTCGCTTCTTCACATACCTAGTAAGTCTTGGGTCCTCAGTGACCTCCAGCTTCTGCCGGTCTGTCAATGCCTTTGGTGTGTGCTGATGGCGATGAAGCCGGCCCATAAGCTGCATCAAGTCTGTCTGTGGGGAGCTTCCGAAAATAATAGACTGAACGTCTGCCCCAATGAAGTTCGGCATGTAATATCTCAAGTATGTCCCGGAATCGCCGAGTGTATGACCCATTGTTTTGTTTCTCTCCTCAGGAGTAAGAGCCTCTGTTGAGAGCTATCAGTTTCTCCTGTCTGTCCTGCTAAGGGAATGGCTTGCCTTACCGTTTAGCTTTTGGCCTGATCCACGACGTAGGTCATAGAATTCAAGTGTCTTCTTGTACCCCAACTCTCGACCAAGACGGATCAAGAATCCTCGTACTTTCCGATACTTCAAAGCTTTGTGTAAAGCAATATGGAGGCCATCGAAGTCTCTAAACAACGGGCGCTCACGCCACTCCTCCTTCCACAAAAGCCGTATCCGGTCTAGGTACTCTGGTACGGTCATGTCGTATATTTGTTCAGGGCCCGTGATTTCATTCTCAAACGCCCCATCAGCGAAAGCGTGGAACATAAGATGCAGTACAGGATCATGAATCAGATTATCTTCTTCATGAAACCCAAAAACCTTGTGTTCTTCCCCTCCTTTGAGATGCTCTAGATTCAAGGTTAGGCCAACACGGGGACGGGATTGCCCATCAAGAGGCGGGAAGAGCTGGAATTCCACATGTTTGTAGAGAACGTTCCCAATGAGCGCATCCGGTCTTGTGGCAGTGGCACCGGCTAAGACTAGAATCGTAGACATCGACGCCCGCAAATGTTCATGGTCGTAGACGGATTTGTCGTGAACCCAATGGTGGTATAGAATTAAGTCCAAGTCTTGGACAAATAGCCCAGACTTCTCCTTCTTTGAATATTCCAAATTGAATGCAGGTGCGAGTTTCGCGTGAATCCACTTTCAGGTCTGATTAGCGCCAGGTCGAATACACAAGGCATGGATAGCCAACGTACGTTTCCTATGTCATAGAGCATGCCACCGTCCATATAGCGCTGGGCCTTGGTAGCATAAACCATGCTGAGTACATTCCAGTACGTCAAAATAGAAGACGCTTTTCGAATTCTAGAATGCTTTACACGCCAGTGCAAGTAGGACTTGATAAATGAAGCATTGCAGGCCTTCATAGATTCCAAGGGGTCACGCTTGCGAATAGTGCAATACCTAAACCAGAGACCGTCAGAAAATATTCCAGAGCACAAGGTTGATACGCACTTATTCCATCGAACTTCTTCTGGTTCAGTCATTTTCTTGGTGTTTTCTTTGTGAACGGACATGATCGGGCCTTCTACCTCACACTCAGCTTCAAAGCACTCATAGAAACGAGCCTCCTTTTCAGGATCATCATCAGCCGAGCCGTAGCCAGAGTCAACAAGGCTTTCTAAGTCAGACTCTGACTCTGTATCTGAGCAGTCATCAGACGCTTCCCCCGTATCATCTTTTGAGAAAGAAACATCTCCTAGGCCCATTAAGGGTCCTTTCGGATTCCTGGGCATTGATGGACAGCCATTTTCCGTCGGCGTTGACAGTATTCGGGTTTGACAGCCATCGTCGCTGTCAAGGCTGTTGTCAGATAGATCCGGGTGTGAGTCTGGGCCAAGAGAACTATTAGAACTTCGAGTCACTTGAGAATTTGCGTACCGCCTACCAGTAGGCAGGCCACAGTCTGTGGCATGTCGAGGAACATCTTCGATGCCACCGCGGCCAACATTGCGTCGCTGCCGCGCACGTCTGGGAAGCTTCGACGACTTAGGCATGATTTTCTAAGGAATAATGTAGAGCCAACAAGTAGAAATGTTGAGAAATGAATATATGCACACATGCAACCATAAACAGAGAGCAACGAGATGGGTCAACGGGAAGGCAGGCATGGAAGTAATAGCTATGCCCCTGGGCCAGGGATTATGCAAGCACATGCAATTGGACACACAGTTCGATACATATAAACAGGGGTATATTGCAAGGTGGAGTAACCGTTTTTGCGTCCGTTTCACCAAGATAAAACGGTTGGTCATGTTGTTACTTAGGAGACCAGATCTAGGACCAGAGATGACCAAGATCTGGGATTACAGACAACCAAGATTTGGGACAGTGTATAACTAAATCCAGTAGGCGGTGAGCTTTGGACAAAATTTGGGACCTCGCCTAATCAGGTAGGTGGTGAAGAGCTCAGACGAATTAGGAAAGAAGCAGAGTAGCAAAAATAGAAGGCGGTGTAGAGAGAAGACATAAAGGGAAAGCGGTGAACCATCAAATGCAGAGATGCCTGATAACGGGCTGCGAAGTATGGCTTGCCAAAAGTAGTAGTCCTTCCACACGGAATTACTTTCTAGTAGAAATAATAATACTGAGATTAAGCTTCTATAAGCCTAGATCCTTTAGCTTTAGGAATACCTTATAACTATATAGTAAGAAATAGCTATTACTACTATCTTTATAGAATAGTAAGCTACTCAGAATACTAATCTCTAGATTTAGACTCAGGCTATAGCTTAGGAAAGGGAATTAGAAGTACTACTTAAGCTACTACTATCTAAGATATTTAATAGAACTCAGAATAAGCTTTAAGGCTTTATAACTTAATTTTAAATATACTTTAATTATTTTCTTATTACTCTTAATAGTAATAAATAATAAGTTATATATATCTATTTATAACTTAAGGGAGCTATACTTAATTAGTTTAAATCTATTATAAGGGAATATCTTAATAGTTAAGAGAGCTAATAAACTATTAATATTATAATAAACTTTAATTACTTTATAGAGATTCTCTAATAAACCTTTAGAATCTAAGATAAGAAATATAAGATAGAATATAAAATTAATAAACTCTCTTAGACTGGATCTATCTCTATCTTTAGTAGTAAGTATCTCTAGCTTTTAGTAAAAACTAGATAGAACTAGGAATATACTATATCTTACTATTTTAATAAACTAAAGGAAGAAGTTCAGAAGGAACTTTATAAGGAAAATAGATTAATAAGTATTTATAAATATATAACTATAGCTATAAGAATTAATAATTAATAATACTATTAGTAAACCTATAGTAAGAAGGTAATATACTATACTAATAATAATAAGTTATAATAGTAATAATAAACTATAGTCTCTGGGATATATATAGATCCTATAGAGCTAGGAGCTATAGAAAAATATAAATATTATAACTATAATAAGATTAGGTATATTTTATTATAATACCCTAAGCTAAAAAAGTAGAAGAATTAGAAACCTATTAAAGAAGGTAGAAAATAATTAGGAGTAACTAGGAAAACTGAAATTAAAATACTTAGAATAATTAGAAAGACTGCTTAGAAAGGAAACTATATAGTTACTATAGTATCTATATTTTCTAGAAAACCTATATTAAAATTCTATAAGATACTGAAAACTAGTAATAAGAAGAAAGAATAAATAGTATTAAAAGAAAATCAGTAATATATTATATATATCCTCTGGAAATTTAAAAAGAAGTTTAAAGATAGAAAAGATATTATAGATATTAGATCTCTTACTAAATATAAGTATATATTCTGCTATATAAACAGACTTATTAAATATATCTCTAAAGAATAGGATTAATATATATTTACTAGGGATAAGATTAAGACTGAATATAATAAACTCTATACCTATTATTAATAAAAAATATAAATATAAAACCTTAAGAAGATATATAGAATAGTATTATATAGAAGGGATACTATAGATACTATCTGATATCTTAGTAATAGATATAAGAACTTAATATATATAAATACTAGTAGAAGATATAACTATAGATTAGAATTCTAGATAATATATTATAATATCTAGTATACTATATATTAGTAAGAAAAAGTACTAAATAACTTTTTCCTATTTCTAAATAGAAGAATATCTAGAAAATATAGTATAGTTTAAATATAATAATTTACCTACTAATACTATAGAACAGAGCTCTATACTATCTTTAAGGAAAACTTAAGGGAATATTCTAAAGAGTATATAAGAGAGGAACTTCTAGTAGAAATATATTAAGAATAAAAATATAAGATTTATAAGGATAATAAGGTTAAACTATAGTATAACTACTAGTAAGTAGAAGATTAGATAATATATAAATATAATAGCTATATTAAATAATATTATAATTAGAATTATAGAAACTATTAAGAAGTTAAATAAGAAGTACTAATACTAGTATAGAATAGTAATAATAATATAAATACTACTAAATTATATCTTAAATAGTAATAACTATAAAAGAAAGAACTCTAAAAATATTACTTAAGAGGATAACTATCCCCTATAAATAGTAAAGATAGTAATAGAATAGAGGAATAGAGAATAATCTTAATTAATAAAAAGAAATAGGATAAAACCTATTCTAATAATAGAATATCTAGGATAATTAAGGAATTATATAATTAGAGAATTAAGTTTATAAGATATATCCCTAATTATATAGAAAAACCTGAAAATCTTAAGGATATTCTTAAATAGATATTAAGAAATAATAAAGATTAGAAATAACTTTAGAAATAAGTTAACTAGATAAAAAATAATCTAAACTATTTATAATAGGGCTATAGTATAATATAATATTAATAATAGGTTAGAGAATTCTAAAAGCTATAGAAGTAGGAAGCTCTATATATATTCTTATAGAAATAAAAATTAAAAGGAACTAGCTTATAGTATTTATTAACTATAGAATATAGGAAAATTATATCTTACTAATAGTAATTAATTAATTCTACTTATTATAAAGAAAGAAAGAAGAAATATATATAGTTACTAATATTAAAGGCTTAAAATTTAAATATAATAATAGGATTATTAATTCTAAGACTAATTATCTTATAATTAAAATCTAAAGAAGAAAGTTTAATATTACCTATAACTTAGTACTATTAGGAATCTATAAAGTTATATTAGGATTACTATAGCTCTAAGATATAAATCTACTGATTAACTAGTATACTAACTAGATAGAGTAGAGGGATACTTTTATATACTAATATTAGGATTAATAAAAATTAAAATTTTATTAGATATTAGAAAAATATATCTATTTCTTAATATCTAAAAGTACTACTATAAAAAACTATAATAACTTATAATAATAAGTAGATATAGTAGTATTAGCTTTAATAGTACTATAATCTGAAAATATAAGAAATCTATTATAATAAGAACTAAGATAAATAATATAAATCTTAGATTAAATATAGAAATAAGAACTACTCTTAGATATAGATTTAGTATCTATTAACTAGGAATAACTAATAAAGGAATAATAATAAAAATATAAAATTAAATATAGTTAATAGTAAAAAGAAATAGAAAAGCTATCTCTAAAACTATTTAGTATAGGAATTTAGAAATAGAGCTGAATAAATAACTAATAAAAAATATAATAGAATAAGAAAAAGAATACCTAGTATAAGTATAAATAAGCTAAGTATTTAAGATAGAAAGAATATCTTAAAAATATTCTATAGGAATATAATTATTTTAAGAAAATACTATTTATAGAAGAATTTAAAATAGAGCTATTAGAATATAGCTAGTAGGATTATAAAATCTCTATTATTAAAGAAGGAGAACCTGATTTCTATAAATTATATAACCTTATAGAACCTTAGTTATAAATACTCTATAAATATATTAATAATATATTAGTAAAGAGTTATATATAACTATTAACTTTATTTATAGGATACCCTATAATATTTATACTTAAGAAGAATAGTAAACTCTATTTAGTTATTAACTATTAATAGTTAAATAAGATTATATATAAGAATAGAATACTCTTACTACTAATTACTAAACTTAGAGATTAGCTATAGAGTAAATAGTAATTTACTATCTTAGATCTAAAAGAAGCTTATAATTTAATATAAATTAAGGAAGGAGATAAATAGAAAATAATATTTAGAATAAAGTTTAGCTTCTATAAGTATCTTATTATACCCTTTAAACTAATAAATATATTTATAATATTCTAATAAATAATTAACTAAATACTCTAGGAGTATCTTAATATCTTTATAATTATTTATCTTAATAATATTTTAATCTTTTCTAATAATCTGAAGATATATAAGGAATATATATACTAAGTTTTAGAAAAACTAGAAAAGATAAAACTTCTTATAGAATTAGAAAAGAGTTTTTTCTATATATAAAAAGTTAACTTTTTAGAATATACTATTTAATTAAATAAAATATAGATAGAATAAGATAAGATTACTATAGTTAAAGAATAGGAAATATTAAAATCTATTAAAGAAGTATAAGCTTTCCTTAGATTTACTAATTATTATTAATAATTTATTAAAGACTATAGAAAAATTACTATATCCCTATATAATAGTACTAAAAAAGAGATAGAATTTTAATAGAATAATAAATAATAATAAGTATTTAATAAAGTAAAGAACTAAATACTCTTAGAACCTATACTATAGATATTTAACTCTATATAAGAAGTAGAACTTAAGATAGATATCTTAGACTTTATAATTAGTATATAAATTAGCTAAAGAGATAATAATAAAGTATTATACTCTATAGTATTCTTTTTAAAGAAACTATATAGTATAGAACTTAATTATTCTATTTATAATAAGGAATTTATAGCTATTATATATATATTTAAAGAATTTAAATACTACTACTTAGGAATAATATATAAGGTTAAGATATATATAGATTATAAGAATATTTAATACTTTATAATAATCTAGTAACTAAATAGAAGATAAATATATTATACTAAATATCTATCTTAGTTTAATTATAAAATTATATATTAAAAAGAATTAGAAAATAGAAGAGCTAATACTCTTAGCTAGAAATCTAAATATAAGAAAGTAGTATTAAAAATAAATAGATAGCTATTCTTAACTAATAATAAAGAATACTTAGTATAGAAAACCCTAGAAGCTATACTTAAGGAAATAGTATATACTAAAGTCTAGATAGAGATTATCTCTAGCTTAGAAAAGTTATAGTAAGATACTAGAATAATACTTATTAAGGAAATCTATAAGTACTTACTTTTAGGATATTAAGGAGTTAAGAAGATATTTAATAGGATTAGATAATATTATAATTACCTAGGTCTAAAAAAGAATATATAGACTATAGTTTCAGAATATAATACTTATATAAGAATTAAATCTATATAATATAAACCCTATAGAGAACTTAAACTAGTCTTAGTACTAGAATAACTATAGTAATTAGTATTCTTTAATTATATTATTAAACTACTATAATCTAAAGAACTAATAACTAGAGTAGAATATAATAGTATATTAGTAGTTATTAATAGACTTATAAAGTATAGATATTTTATTCTATATAAGGAAATAAGCTCTATAGAAGACTTTATATACTAGTTTTTATAATATATAGTTAGTTACTATAGATTACCTAATAAGATTATATTAGATAGAGGAATAATATTTATCTCTAAATTTTAATAATTACTTATAGTATAAATAGGAATAAAATATAAGCTTTTAATAGTATATTATCTATAAAGTAATAGTTAAATAGAATAATTAAATTAAACTCTGGAATAATACCTATAAGTATATATTAACTATAAATAAAATAATTAGATATAACTACTACTAATAGTATAGATTACTTATAATAGTTTAGTATAAGAATCTACCTAGTTAATATCTATATATATAAATTATAGTTATAAGCTATAATTTCAGAATTAACTAGAACTTAATAAACCTAATATACTAGCTGCTATATTAATAAAAGAAATACTATACTTATTATATATAGAAATAAAAATAGAACTTAAATTTATCTAAAAAAGAATAAAAAAATACTATAATAAAACCAGATTAGAAGAACTAATCTTAAAGAAGGAAGATAAGATCTACTTATTCTATAAAAATATTATAATAATAAGACTAAGTAATAAATTAGACTATAAAAAACTTAGACTATTTAAAATCCTTAAGAAAAAATCAGATACTAACTATAAACTCTTACTACCAGATATAATATATATCTACTTAGTTTTTTATATCTTACTACTTAAAAAAGTACTAAAAAATATACTAGATTAGGATTATCTAATTAAGATCTATAAAGAAGAATTTAAGCTAGAAAAAATTCTAAAGAAAGAAGTTAGAAATAGATAAATCTTTTACTTAGTAAAATAGAAAGAGTATACTAATAAAGATAATACTTAGGAATCTATTAAATATTTAAAGAATTATTAGTAGCTTATTTAATAGTATTACTAGGATTAGAAATACCTATTCTAATAAACTAAGAAGGAGATAACTCTATATCCTTCTGAAGAAATACTAGATTAATCTTAATCTCTAAGAATATAGGCTCAGATAAAGATATAGCTAGAGATAAGGTCTGCTTTTAAGCTGCTTCCTCTGCCTCCTTTTGCTCGATATACTCTAGTTCCTCTATACTATTAATACTATAAGATATTATCTATATTATCTTATCTAATTATAATTTCTTTTATTAATAAAGATACTGGATTTTTATATCTATATAATAATATTCCTCTTCTATTATCTCTAGCTCGAACTCTAATTTACTATACTAATTAGTAATATATCTTAGCTGCTCTAGTATAAGGCCTTAAGTATTATAATATAGTTAATTATTCTTAATATAGTAGAAATAATAAGATAAAGAACTCTTTAATCCGAAGTACTTATAACTATAAGATTTATAATAGCTATATTCTAACTATATTACTAAAGGATTTAATAAAATAGTATTAATAAGAGTATTATACTAAAAGGTCTTCTTATAGAAAGCTTTCTAAATATAGTTAGATATTATTATAGATTATAAGGGGAATAAAGAATTAAATTAGAAAAAACTTACTAATAAGCTATAGAATATAGTCTTAAGGATATAACTAATAGAGAGAGAACCTTATATTATAAATTATATTATTATATATTAGAGTTATATAGATTACTCTACTTTTTCTTACTAATTACTAATAGATTATTAGGATCTTATAATAATTCTAATAATTTAGAATAATAGATTATTACTAAGTATTAATAATTCCCTAGTATATATATATATTTATTTTATTAGATAGAATACTCTCTCAGATAGTTATTAATATAATTATCTATATATCTATTATTACTAGCTCTATAATACTTATATATTAATAGTAACTCGTATTATATAGCCTAAGATAACCTGATTATACTACTCAGAATAATACTCTGATTAGTTTAACCCCGACCTACCCTAGACCCCGTCCAGTGTAAGTTATCCAACCATTACACGACTGGAGTACCTATAATATTATGTAATTTAGTCTCCCTTGCCTATCTCCCAGAAGTCCTTAAGTATAGGCAAGCTTTCTTATTACTCTTTATTCCACCTATATTAATACAGCTAATACAATTTATAATATACCTGTACTGAGAGAGAATCTAGAGTATCTGGGATAAGACAGCTGAGCTGTAGGTAGGAAGTGTAATAGAAACCTAGCCCCTAACTAGAGAACTATATCTTTAGCTATTATACTATACTAGAGTCTCTATCGCGGGGTATTTGCCATAGATATACTATTTAGAAGTATATAAAGATAGCTGTTTTCTTAGAGGAGTCTGAATACGCCTGGCTATACAGGTGTACAGATAATATCCTACCTTATGTAGATATAGTAATATAAATATGATGATAAATAAGATTACTCAGTTAAATGGGTCTGGTGTTTCTATAATTAACTTCCGTATAAGAACGCCCTATTAATAGATTCCGTAAGTTAGTAGGTAAAAGTTCAGCTAAGCCAGCGGGTAAATAATACTATTGGGTTGAAGTACCTACCTGTAGGTAGGCCCATAATAGGTCTACCCAAAGAGGGGCTGTCAGATAATCCTCTCCTTAATATATTAAATAATACACTTGAGGGATTAATCGTATATATTGAATTAACCCAAACAAGCGACCGTTTCCATATCCGATCGATTGCTATACGTAAGTATATAGTTATCAGTTAGTATAGTAGGCTTGAATGAAGGAAGTCTATTATACCTGGGAGGATTTACCTTATAGGGCTAAGTATATTTAGCTATACATACTTTAATAGTTTTATCCCTATCTTCTAGAAGCTTTATATTCTTTATCTATTAATTCTTACCTTATTTAACTCTATAATAGACTATCTTAAAGACTAAGTTCTCTAAGTATTTAGTATTCTATCTATAATAGCTAAAGCTTAATCTACTAGCTTAAGATTATAATTAGTTAGCAGTAGTATTTCCTACTTATTATTATATATACTATTAGTTAGTTTATTATTCTAAATAATAAATATCTAGTCTTTTATCTCTATTATAAATTAAATTACTATCTATACTATCTATAGGTTAGAAGTTTATTTTAATCTATTATATACTATTTTTCCTCCTATAAAGTATAAGAGATTATCTATTTTAGCTTATAGTAGTTCTAATATATCTTTTTAGATATAAATCCTTTAGTTTATAATTATAATTTTAATTAATCTATTTTTTTTATTAGTTTTACTATAAATAAGAATATATTCTAAGATTAGAACATGGGCGCTTTTATGAACTACATAGGTTTGGGTGCTGTCACTAATCCCTCTACCTCTGGCCTGACCGAGCTGGAGAGCATTCAACAGCTTCAGAAAGGTGGCGGATACATCACTGGCGAAGACGAAGTCGTGCAGGGTCTTCAACGTCAAGGCGATCTGGAGGATAGCTCAGGGGCATTTCTTCTTGGGATGCGCAATGCTATCGCCACATTGCCCTGCAGGGATGATGGGCAGCTACCGAGGGTAACTTTTACGACGATGAAAGATGTTGGCCGATTTGTAGCAGCGTCATTAGACCTCGTAAAGTGGGAGGAAAATATGACAATGGTGGGCGAGACTGTGAATTTAGGTGATCTACTGCGGCATGCCGAAGAAATCACGGGCTTCGACTTCAAGGTGGAAACTCGTTCGAGGGAAGCTGATGAAGAAAGACTGCAGCAGTTGCGCCCCGATGATTTTTTAGGTCAACTCTTCACGCAGTTCAGGCTGGCTTTTGGACGAGACGCGCAGGATGAGGGCATACTGGAGCCTGTCGTGAACAGACTCTGCCCTGATATCAAGTCTATGGGCATTCGAGAATATATGGAACGTTGTTGGAGAGCCGCTAAGGCCACCCAGGTATATTCAGATAATTGAATTTCCATTATTTTGAATGCAGCTATGTCTTCAACATTGCATGCTTTCCCTTATTCACAGGACCACTCTATAGTGTTCCTCATTGACATGTATAGCTCGGGGGCATATTGTACGGCAAGCTGCCCGCTTCTGATCCCCATACCACTCTAAATTTCAACAGACTCTACAGCGAATCTCTACCAAATGGTTTTCAGTTCGATTGCACTTTTGCGCACCTAGCTTCATTCCGAGAGTTTCGCTCGATATATCCTTGGGTGCTCCTGCAACGCTATTTCCTCATAGAGGTTGTGGAAGAACGGGCGGTACGTCTCGTCGGAAAGAATGGTAATGTTGCGGGCCTTGGCGAAGGCAACAATCTCCGTAAATGAAGCTGTCTCTATTGAGTCCGTTGCACAAGATGAACGAACCGAGATAAGTAGAATTCTGGAGAAACATATTGGTTCTACCTATCCAGTAACACTGTGTCTCTTCAGCTGATTGCGGTCGCATCAAAGAACATATCAGGCCATTCCTAGTAGCTGGTGTATGAGAGTTTCTCAGTTTCAGCTATTGATTCATCCTTCGTTAGCAGGTTTCTGAAATCTCGCCCACTTCTCCGGTACGTCCTCTAATTGTCCTATATCCGATGCCTCGTAGAACCACTGGCTGAATTCCCGAAATTCCCTTCTCGTCGCGCCAGACCCGGGACCCAGGTCAAATGTTCTCCCGTCTGCAGTTTGGAATACAGAAGCCACGACATCAGCGATGTATTGATCGTTAAGAATTTGAATACCGCGATTGATCATGGTATTGACCTGTTCGACGTAGCGTTTTGCAAAGTCTTCTGGTGACTCATTGTCTTTTTTCGGGATAAAAGTATGGAGTTCACTTTGGAGGATGATCGATCCTGGATCAGCGCCCTGAGCAATGAGTCGGTCGCGCTCCTGGCGTGCCTCATCTCTGTAGTTCCGCGGAGTTTCATAAACCATGAGATCGTCATCTAGATCCTCAAAAGCTTCATTGCGTCCTTGAGCTTCGCCCAGTTTCGAGTCGATCACTTGTGATGGCTGGTCAGGAAGAACGTCGCGTTGAGGCATATTGGGGTTTGCAGTCTTATCGTTCATCACAAATTGCGTTTAAGAATATTTTTAATATTTGTTGCGATGCGCGAACAAAACTTTTAGCGAGAATGGCTAGGACAAGGAGCAGTCTAGTTTATTGACTGCTGCTGAAACAGACTCAATGCCCCTGGGATAGATGAACGGGCACTTCGCGAAGAAAAACAAGTCCTGACAAAAGGAAGTCTATGTATTAGTCTGTGAATCAATACGCGCGCATCTTTATTGGTCCAGGCATTTTCATGTGGCTGCCTAGGCTTCTATGAGTCACGTTTGTCGGGTGATTCTAGACTGGATTCCGGCCACGTAACGTCATAGGCTTGCTTGACAGGGGGTGATTCAAGAAGTCGAGAGACCAAAAGTGCCGTAGGATGCCGGCTATATTACCTCCACACTGCGTTGGAGGGACGAACACATGCCTCTTCTTCTGGATGATTCCCCCAACCTACAAATGGCTTCTCGGGATGACTTTCGGGATCTTGCTCGGAGCGGAGCTTTAAATGGCTTCAGGAGAATCCTCGGGAAACCTCTCGGTATCTGTCTCGGTCATAATTGTTTCTTCTTTATCTATGCCAGACTACTATGGTATCGGGGTTAAGTAGGGGCCAGATTTCCTTTACGAGGATCTATTTTAATATAGCTCTACTGTACCGATTTGCAATCGATTAACCAAAATATTACTTTAACTTTGTGCATATCTTATTCTACTGCAGGTGCTGTTCTATCTCTTGCGGGACTCTAAGCAGCTCGGATTCACAAGGCTTGGTATAAACTATCTGACTCTATATCCGAGATGTGAGGCACTAGGAAGAATTTGGTGCTTTCGCCCTCCTTGGTGGGTTCATTCTGAAAACTCCATGCCTTCCCTCACGAGCGAGGGCAACCTGATCGAATCTACGAAAGTGTATATACGGCTGTTTCCCACGAAAATCTCGCACGATAGCTTCTGCGCGTTCTAAGCCTATCCTGGTACGCTTGTACACCTGCTCGAACTCAGGGCAATTTTGGTCACATCGGCTGCAAGCGTAATCCAGCCTGGCACGGTACCAATCCCCTTTCTCATCGTTGCCTGCCAAGCCACGATCAATGTCTTGGAACAGAGGCTCAAGATCTATCTCGGTCGGCGACAAGCGAAACAGCGGTGACCAGTCTTCGTAGGCTACTATATCTAGACCCTCCGGCGTATCTGGAAAATCGGCAGGGTCCTGCCAAGGGCCGATGAGAACAAGTGACTTGATTGATGGGCAGCGTGCCGAAATGAAGAGAAGACTTTCCATCATACCTGTCCAGTGACTAGGATTAAGAACTAGGTGCTGAATGTGATTGTATATATCGCAATCTCTGTCGACCTGCTCCATCAATCTTCGGTCAAATGGTATATCGCGAAAGAAGAACAGGTGTCGGTAGAAGTTGATCCAGCCGAACGGTTCGATGTATATGGAGACTCTGTGCATGGCAGCGCGTGCTTCGACACAGACTTGGCCGATTGTTCGATGAAGATCATCCACAATCTTGACACGCCTGCTGATACGGCTGAATTTGGAGTAAGACCAGGGCTCTACCAGTGCGACTGACCATATTTTTTGCCGTAGCTCAGACGGTAATTTGCTGAAGAAATGGAAACTAACCTCCATGATTGATTGCCTTTGTAGTTTCAACTTGGGAGGTTGCTGAGAAGAGTAACGAATAATCAGCTAAACAGAATGAGGAGGAGAGGGTAAATAAGAAGTTAAAGAAGATAGATATACTAGGAAGGTCTTAGATCTAGATAAATGGATCTCCTTTTTAGTCTAGCCGCTTGTTTGTTATGAAAGCATAGACGCAGGGACTAATCTTCAATTCTCGAGGCTCTCAAGGCAGCAGCAGCAACTAGCTCACTGGGGTGTCCCTGGCTGTTAACCCTTGTTATGATCACACCTGTAATCGACTCGCTAACCAAAAGGAAACTCTTAGACTCGACTAGTAGCGTTTCTGACGTGTTCTAGAGTATTTAGGTCATTATCGGATGATGGATTCCACTATTCCCTCGGAGGCCTCAAAGGACACGTTACCACAGCTCGGTTCATGAAAAAAAAAACCTCTTCTTGGGCAGCATTTAGACCTTGTAGCCAATTCTAAGTGGTGAACGTTTACGCTTAAGCAAGCTAGTTAGTCAATGACCCTCGAGGGGGTGTAGTTCTGACCGTCGCCTATATGAACTCTGTCTGTCCTCTCCTACCTTAGATTATTCGCATCATCTTCCTTCCCACCTGTTGTATCCAATTAATTTTACATACCAAAGCCTTACAATGAGGCCGTCACTAATCTTCATTGCCAGCGTGGTGGCTTCAAGAGTTGCAGCGGATGATATTACTGAGTCCTTTTACCTGACCTTTGTGTCCAGCACCGGGGATGAATATGCAGCTATTATAAACCGTGATTCCAGCCAGATAGATACCTTGTCAGCAGGGAGCAAGTATATCAACACATTTATTCTCAATGTGCAAGTAACTACCTTTTCTTTGGGTTGAAAAGACCATTATCTCGGTCAAATTTGTTAATCATTGCTTCACTCACTAGCGACACAATGCGCATTGGGAATTCCGAGAACCCACTCGCCGGTAACGGCAATCTGCGTTCTGGTGAGCCCGTGATCTTTACTTCTGCAGAGGTTACGGACGCGACCTTGTTCCATACTGAAGGGCCCAACGGCGCAGGGTACCTTGTTAAGAAGGGCGCAAATAATACTCTTGGGTGGTGGAGCCAACCTATTGTAGAGATAGCATTCCACCAGTATACTGGAAGGGGACGGGCAGAGGCGAGGCTAATATGAGGCTTCGTATCGATAAAGAGAAGCCGGATGGTAGATGGATTTATTTGACTCGTGCAAAGAACTTTTGGATCTCTTTCCCTTGACCATACAAACAACCCCAAAAGGGGCTCTTTTTCCCCAAGGGGAAAAAAGTCTTCCAAAAGTGTATTCGCCTCCAGTAACCACTTATAATACCCTCAGATTCTAGACTCAATGTATAAGTTTAAAAAAGCGGAGCTATACGCCGGTGCCATACGCGGAGTGCGTATATAGCTCTATGGTGGAGTATAGCTTCCTTTGTTACTCGCTATTAATAATATTGGTCACTGCCTACCTGATCCACATCTGGAAAACGCTCTCTTTTCTGGTATTTTCCAGGGACAAATAGGCCTTGCAAATTCGCCTGATATCATCAAATGGCAAGTCCATCCTTCTATTAGGCGTCATAGAGTTTCAATAAGATGGTTATTATCGACTAATACAAAGAGACCAGCCGTTAGCTGCCATCTATAAACCCCTCTGTCCCTCTTCCATCTAGCTCTTATCCTTAATTACATTCTCCAAACCCAACAACCTTCCATTACACAAGCCCTTCCACAGAAAAGTGAACTCCTCTCGTTCCAAGCAATCATAAAGTTTATTACAATTCTCGCCATTACTGCTGTATTTCCCACCATGGCCGCAAGCACTACCACCATCAGTACAACTGTTGATAAACCCAGTTCTGCTTCCAGATATAACCCTTCTCACTATGCTTTTTCTTCAATTCTCCAACACTATGTATGACCTCCGCTAGCGTCACCCAATCTGACCTTGTCTCTCTAGCTCTGCAAAAGCCACTGTATCTTGGTTGAAGGCATCTTCCTCTAGGAGCAAGGGCCCTGCCGCCACAGTAGCTGTCAATAAGATTAGTTGCTTTTGGTGTTGCCGCTGCGGTCGTTATGGCCCTCTAGGCGAGTTTACCCATATTGCAACTTATTCAAATTATGGACTAACTCATTAAATTCAGCTGAGCACCAAAAGACAAATATTCTTTGAGCCCTTTGCTAAGAGCAATGATTGTTATTAATAACTCATGGTTTTATGCTAGTGGTTCCTTTATGGGCTTGACGGCGATGTATACTACAGCCTGATCAAGGTTTCTGACCTCGTCCTGGCCAATGCCAATGGAGAGATTCAACAGCAAATAGCCCACGCCATTAGCTATGCAGGTTTCATTATCCACTCGGTCCTGCATGAGATGCAACCAGACATCAACGTCGCGGTCCATTTACACTTGCCTCATGGCGTTGCATGGTCGTCTTTTGGGCGACCTGTAGAGATGCTTGTACAGTGTATGGCTTGAAGGCTACCCAATTTCCAATCTGGAGGAGCACTGACATCATACAAACAGACATGTACTACTTCTACAATGACCTGTTAGTCTATAAAGGCTTTGGCGGAACTGTGCTCACCAAAGAGGAGGGACGTAATCTGGCCAATGCTCTGGGACCCCGAAATGAAAACTTGATTCTTCAGAACCACGGGTACGTGAATTATATCTTTTTTCTAAAGCCAATACCCAGCTGTCCTCTTACCATATCTCTAGCATCTGACCTGTGGAAGCAATGTCGGGGAAGTTGCAAAGCTATTCATCGCATTGGAGCGGACATGTCAACGTCAGCTCATAATCGAAGCTGCCGCCGCCAATGGCATTCCGAAGAGATATATTCACCGCGATGAGGCAGAGTACTTTAAGTGCTACGACTACATGCCCGAGAACACGTGCATGTCATTTCAGCCAAAGAATCAAGTGATTCTGGCAGAAACGAAGGGGTCGTTCTTAGAGTAGTGAAAGCAGTCGGTTACTCAGAAATATCAACTTCAATCAAAGTCTACATGCTCTCAATAAGTAGAACCATGTAATCACCTCGACTTCCGAGTCTGATATCGCCCTATTCGGCACCGCTGTTGCCTGGCCAGTATTGTAGGAACCAAGTTTACCAAATAATGCAAGACAAACAAGTCAAATCGATTTGGGGGGGAAGATCTTGGGTTATGAAGATGCTACCCCTAGACCTATGCAGGACAAGCTTGCCAACTTCTCATACTACATCTATTGGTAGTCACAAGCTCGTACATGTGAATTTATCAAGGCTAGCTTACTCACTTCTCAAAACGCACAGGCGATGGCGTCAGGCAATTGAATGATTTTCAGTAGCCTCCAGGATGGCCTGGGGTAGGTTCAAAGCAAAGCCTCAACTTATAATCTTTGATAGAACGGAGACAAGACGAAGGTCATGGTAAGAAAGTAAAGCTATTAGTGTGAGCACTAATAACGAGGTAATATTCACAGTTGAAATGGAGGTCATGGGATCTAACCGTTCCACTCCACATCCTAAACACACAAAATCTATCAACATGGTTATTCCTCACTATAGAGGGAATCCACCCTTCCGCGTCTCATTCAAGATATCTAAGAGACTCCAAAGATTAAATCTGAAGCCAACAAATATTCTATTTTCCATCATTGCGGCCGCCCTTAAAACGATCGCTTGGAGGTTTTTGGGCCCTTGCGTCTAATCGCGTTTGATCGGTGCAAGCCTCCTGACTTCGCACCGCTTCCACCGGCGTCTTTTCGGTCGTTCGACTTGGTGCTGCTGTGGCGGGAGAGAGGGGAGACGGGACGAGGGCTTCCAGGCGGGGTGCTGGTCAAAGGTGAGACGGGAGGAGTGTTGGATCGCTTTGTGTTCTTCTTGCGTCGAACAGCGTTTGATCGGTGCAGACCTCCTGACTTGGCACCGCTACCGCCAGCGTCTTTTCGGTCGTTCGATTTAGTGCTGCTGTGGCGGGAGAGAGGGGAGACGGGACGAGGGCTTCCAGGCGGGGTGCTAGTCAAAGGTGAGACGGGAGGAGTGTTTGATCGCTTCGTGTTCTTCTTGCGTCGAACGGCGTTTGATCGGTGTAGACCTCCGCCAGACTTACTACCACTGCCAGCGTCCTTTCGGTCGTTTGACTTGGTGCTGCTGTGGCGAGATAGAGGAGAGACAGGTCGAGGGCTGCCAGGTGGCGTGCTGGTCAGAGGCGAGACGGGAGGGGTGTTAGATCGCTTCGTGTTCTTCTTGCGTCTAACAGCATTAGATCGATGAAGACCTCCGCCAGACTTGCTGCCACTACCGGCATCCTTTCGATCATTGGACTTGGTGCTGCTGTGTCGTGACAGAGGGGAAACGGGTCGGGGGCTGCCAGGCGGCGTGCTGGTCAGGGGTGAGACAGGAGGAGTGTTGCCGCCGCGGACTTCGAGATAGCCCTCTTCTTCATCTCGACGCTGCAGGTCGAATGTGTCATAATCAATGTCCTCGATTCCACGAACATCAAGAACGTCGTCCCAGGAGGCTAAATCAGCAGTTGCGCTGCCAATAAAGCACACCACGAGAGTGATGAGGAAAAGCATCTGGGCTGGGAAGCCCTTCTTCAGAAAAGCCATGTTGAGAAAAATGCGAGTAACTGGGAATAGAATGCGAAGAAAAAAAGAAGATAGGAAAAGACAACAAAGGAAAAAGAAAATGAAAAAAGGGTTTCAAGGCCAGCCGAAAAACCACTCTTCTCTGTCTTTCAAATTGTTTGGGTTGGAGTTAAATCATTCGAGATAAGAGAGACAAATTAGACCTTCTTATACCTAGCTTTTCGGTACCAAAGAACATTGTGGTACGTAGTACGTGTATGCGATATGACGGGACAGCAAGATCATGCCAAGATGCCGAGAAGGATCAAACAGTCAGACTCAACCTTGTTTGAGCAAGGATAACCAACCAAACGTTGCTGGACTAAGACGTCTCTGCTGGGCCTTTACCCTGGTCAACGGGCCAAGTGTTCGTCCACGGTCCCTGACCACCTTCCATGTTTACATAGTACAAATCTCACCAAAATCCAAGCAGCGAATTCAGCTGAATAAGCGATTGTCAATTCTTATGGCTCATCTTTTAAACCTATTCTGGTGAGTACTAGATATTGAGACAACGAATACGGACATGCTGCGACCTGCGAGTGTGTAAATCGCCAACATTGATTGTTTGAAACCAGTGCGCTTGGAGATGTGCAAATCGACCCAGATCCGGAATGTCTTCACTCAGTATTGCGTCAGCCTCTTCTTATTGAACAGGGATACAACTACCGACTCATGCGAAATTACGTGGTCCTATTAATAGGTCCTCATCATACGGCTGTTACGGCATACAGATAAACCATCCGGCCAGCTCCATCTCGCGGCTCCACCGGAAGAGATCCGTTTCAAGAGAGAAGCAAACACGGGGTAAGGATCAACTCTATTCTCCAGTTATTTTTATCGGCACTCGTGCGGCGTTGTCGTCAGCATTGGCAGCAACGGCACTCAGGTTGCGGAAGGATGGCCTTTTGAAACCGCACCATATATCCCCCTTAAGGCAGCCCGACATCAATAGTAAGCACCGTAGGGCCCACCGCAACTCTTCATTAGCATCGCGACATCTCATGAACCCCCGCTCCCGTCCTAACTCTGTCCTCAGTTCTCTCGGCCCGCTGACGACCCGCCGCGACCACAAAAAGACGCGATTTTCTATTATTATCTACCCAGCCAACAGCTGAAATATTAACGCCCCAGGGGCCATTACATCGAAGCCCTTGTTTGCCTGCAAAACGCGCTCTACACCTGCTGACACTGTTGCTTTCTCAAACAATAGCCAGATACGCAGGTCACAATGGCGAACAACAGATCGGACCATACCTCTCTGCTGGACCTACCTCCTGAGATTCTGTCCAAAGTCATTTCATACATGGTGGAGCCCTCTGGTCGATCATCCATCCAGTCTGTCCTCCGGGCCTGCCGCCAGTTGTATGACATTGCCCTTCCGTTTTCCGTCAGCGTTTTCCGCAATACGGTCCACCACCACAAGGGTGGCGGCCCCTGTTCCCCAATCAAAAATGCACAGTTTTTACATTACCTCCTTATTTCGAAGCCTTGGCTCGCCAGACATGTCAACACTGTCATCCTAGGCGGCTTTACATCAACCAGCAGCCAGGGTGATGGCGATAAGACAGATGATACGCAAAGCCCTGTTAGCGCAGATTCTGATCTTGCTGTCTACCAAAGCCAGATAGAAACCATCTTGGGTCAAATCAGCCCTGATGACGAGGACCATGGTTCTTGGTGTACTGAGTGGATATCAGATCTTAAAAGAGGATACTCTGATGCCCAGGTTAGCCTCATTTTGCTAATCTGCCCTAATATTCAGACACTTCTCTTCGAAGAGTCTAAGAACCCACGCCATTTTGTTCGCCTGCTTCGATTCCTTGGGTATCTCTCCTTGACGTCTGCTCCTGGATGGAGTAACAATCCTCTCCTCCCGCTGTCCAATCTCGAAGACGTCTTTCACGAAACAAATAATATTCAAAACGGCTATACTCGATGGTATGAGCAAGGGCCATTGCTCTTCACTCTACCTCGTCTACGGTACTATGAATGCAATATCCCGGTTGGAAACGAGAGGGCAGGAGAGCAGTTTGGGCATCTGCCACCCAAATCATCCTCGGTCGAGGAGATCACGCTACGGTCCTCGTCGATCATCCCGATAACGCTTTCTGCGATGCTGCGTGCTTGTAAAGCGCTTCGGAAGCTCGAGTACACATCCTACACCAACTCCTCATCGACAGTTCAGACAGTGGCTCCCCGGGATATTCTTGATGCCATTCTGCTCCAAGCCGACTCGCTCACCGAGCTCTATATCAATACAGAGGAAGATTGGGACAAGGGCTGGGGTCTCCGGAGCCCCAATGTTCTGTTTATGGGGATGGGGCTTCGCAAGATGGTCGCACTGAGGAAGCTTACGGTAGGCATGCAGTGCCTTACCGGGCTGCTGGCGGAGAAACCGTCAAATCAGAATGAGGATCACCCCGTGCCTCTCAGAGTTGACGGCGCTCCGATAATTGTTGACTGCCTTCCTGAGAACCTGGAATACCTGAAAATCCATTCTTGCAGCGCCGCAATACATGAACAGGCGCAGGAGCTGCTGGCCGTGGTTGAGTCCGGCCATCGCTTCAAAAATCTCACGTACATATCCTTACTCTTCAACAGCTGGCTGCCAGAAAAGCCGCTCCCATTGTCATGCAATGCACCAAACGTGCACTTGGATATTGGATATCAGACCAAGTCAACATACCAGCATGATCTGGGCCATCCGTATTCGGATCGAGAGATAGTAGGGCGTGGAGCGCGCAATGTGACGTCGCGAATACATGCTTCCAAGATGCGGAGGGAATATTTAGCAACGCGTGGGATCACCGAACCTCGGCATAAGCCTTTTTACTTTGTGGATGACTACTAGGACCAGGATTCATAGTTGAATATATTTAGCAGGTGAATGTTTAATGTGGAATTTTCTGGTCTTCTGAGTAGCTTGTTGGTGCCAACGGCTCGAGGTTAACGATGTCTGCTCGAGGCTATCTGTGAAGCTGAAGTACTCCGTAGTCCACGCAAGCACCTACAATTCACTAATAATAAGGATTTTAATTTCGCGCAAGCTGACAGGCATGCAAACGTGTGAGCAATTTTGAAAGCGTAGTCAGACATGAAAACGTTCCGAAGTGGTAGCCAGGGCTTTCAACCAAACCGACACATCACATCAATCAAATAAATTTTCTCAGCGCTCTTGTTTATTTCATTTGATATACGGGGATAAGCACAGTATATTCTTTTTTCATGAGAGGCTTCTGGAGGCTTTTGGTGATTGTCAGAAATCTAGGGTAGCTAGCCGAGTTGCTAGAGCGCACGAAGCCTGGTCAGGAGGAGGGATCAACAGAGGTCCCAGTCGCAATGTAACCGAGATTAGGACTCTCCTCTTGTGTTGGCCGGCAAATTTTCATACACTAGGGCCAACAGTGTTTTGAAAGGACTTTTGTGCCCCCGGGGAAACATGTCAGTAAGAGACAAACTTAGAAGGATGGACCGAGCCTCATCAGGAAGCTCCACTTGATCCTTGCGTTTAGCTGGCGGATGCGTGTGCACTGTTATATTGTGGTAGGTATAAGCCCTGTCCTTGCTGACACTGATAAGTAAATTAGTCGATGAACGTTGGCCAGCGCGTGCGGTCTGTCCTCGTGTAGAGCTGCCTTAAGTTGTATCTTGGCCCTTGTACATGTATACAACGCGGCAAGCTGAGACACCAAGCTTGAGCCTCTGGGCTCTGCAAACTAACTGAATACAACTCAATGCATGTCAGCCAAATATCCAAGCTAATTGAAAGATGCTTACCCGGTAAGAGTACATGAATTTGCCGTTCCCCTCCCCCGGAGAGCAATGTCATCTCCATTCATGCTTAATGACTCCTGCTTCTCGAATGCGGGCCGAATTTGCTCCGGAAGTAACGCGCATGGGACTTAATTGACCTTAAAAGTCTCCGAGGCTACTAAGATACCGAGGTCAATTGAAACATTGTCTTTCTCCAAAAAGAGACAATAGATTTGTCAGCTTGTCCGCGGACTTGGAGCCAATCCAGTGAGGCTTCTCGGAGCTTAGTCATATGATAACCTGGTGATCGGAGTTTGGACCTATAACTGCTTCGAATATCCTGATATCCTTACGGAAGGTTCCATAATGTGCTAACAGACAATGTGGAGAGTTAGAGGGCATTGATTTCGTCGTGAATATTTTCACAATGTGATTATTTGCATCTTCGGAAATGGTATTGCTCAGAATCTACCTTAATCAAGGGTCGAACAGTATAATAAGGGCGAGGGACCATGGGCAGTTTCCTAATCATTTCCATACTTGAACAACTGAGTAAGATTACTTGAATCAACTCTTCTCTTATACACTCGACTTTGACCTACTCGCACAAATGTCTCGCTACGCCCAAGCACACCAGAATCGCACTGGGCCCGGAGACGCACGACCTACAGCGCTCCAGATCATCAAGGATGAGGGCCGCAAGGGTGCCTTGGGGGACAAAGTATTCCTCGTCACTGGCGCCTCGTCGGGCATTGGCATCGAGACAGGCCGCGCTCTTGCTGCCACTGGCGCCAAGGTCTTTCTAGCTGTTCGTGACCTCAAAAAGGGCGAGGCCGCATGCAAGTCGTTCCTCGAGCCCGGCCGTGTCGAGCTCATTGAGCTCGATGTCAGCAGCTTGAAGTCTGTTCGCGAATGCGCAGCCAAGTTTCTCCAAAAGTCGCCGCAACTCAACGTCCTTGTCTGCAATGCCGGAGTTATGACCATCCCGACCCGTGAGGAGACCGAGGACGGGTACGAAATGCAGCTCGCCGTCAACTATCTGGGTCACTTCCTTTTGTTCTGGCTGCTCAAGGACGCAATGGCCAAGTCCTCGACCCCAGCGTTTCAATCGAGGCTGGTGAATGTTGCAAGCTCCGGGCACCAGGCGTCCGAGATTGTTTGGGACGATTTCAACCTGAAGAACTACAACCCTCTCACGGCATATGGCCAATCGAAACTTGCGCAGATTTATATGGCCAATTATGTTGATCGTCAGTTTGGCTCCCAAGGCATTCGTGCTCTCAGCCTGATGCCGGGAGGTATTACCGATACCAACCTGTCGAAGTACACGCCCAAGGAGATGGTGGATAGCTTCAAGACAGACCCGGTCTTGTCGAAATGGGTCAAGAGTCGCGAGCAAGGTGCTGCCACCACGGTCTTGGCGGCAGTTGGTCAGGAATGGGAGGGAAAAGGCGGCAAGTATTTGGAGGACTGCGCCGTAGCAACTCCCAACGCTTCCATACCTGGCCTCACGGGTGTCAGCGCTTATGCATACGACGAGGGTAAAGAGACTAGGCTGTGGGAGCTGACATTGAAGACTTTGGGGCTTTCTTAGACGCTTGAGGCTAGGTGCTTTCCCAATTGGCCTTTTGTATCTGACCATGACTGTGAACTTGTTAGGCTCTGCGCTGTTTTGCTAGAAAGTCAGCCTATCCAAGAAAAAGACACCTACTTGACATCCAAAAGAACTATATGTCGAATGCCCTGGTTGGCTTCATCCGGTCTGCGGTTACAGCTTGATAAGAATTGATGCAATATAAAGGCCTATACTTTTGTTAGGATCATTAGCTCAAAATTGAACAATATTATTCATTGAATCAACGGGCAAATAAGTAGAAGTGCCATATCATTGCATGCGTTAAAATCGCTCAGTAGTGGATGAGTCTTGATGTCAAGTAATCTACCAAGGTAAACTTCAAATGTCATCAGCCAGAAATTGAGACCCTATTGCTGGAAGCTTGAAGAACGAACCCAGGGACCTTCAATGGAATTGTTGTGAGGTCGAACTCGGTAGATTCTCGTTGGGCTGTTTTAGGTGTCACACTCGCCGATCTCCAGGCAACGTTAACAAAGTTGCATGCCACTAGGACCTTCCTGTCTTTGATGCCTGAGCCTCCATTAGCTTAAATCATAATTACATCTACTGCATGCGTGTCTGATCAACAAACACAACCGCGTTGCTCCTTCCGTGACTACGCTGTCACCAACTTAGAACCTTCTTCTCGGCTTTCCAGTGGCAAAACACATTGTCAACATTCGTCCCAACATCATATGCTACCACGGGCTCAAATCGTCCTTATGATTTTCCCTTACCAAGTCTGAGATACATGTCCATACCGAAACATCAGCTGCGTCAACGAGGGTCAACATGTCTGGCGTGCTGAGACTACCCCCCGAGCTCGTCCATTCCATCTACGCCTTCCTGGAGCCTTCATACCACTTTTCCTTCGCTATAACCTGCAAGTCCATTTTCTATCAATCCGGGTATATCCTTCAACTCCATCGCAAAGCCCATTCAGGATATCGCGTTGCCTCGGACCGGTATCCACAAGACGTCGTTCACCTCTTCCTCAGCGCAGAGGCTGGTTTCGGTCTCGAGGCTATCGCTGCCTGGCATGTGCGAGAGTTTGAGGTCTGGGGCAATAGAAAGAATTGGAACGAGTGGCGCTCCTGGCTGATCCTGCCGGACGGCCGAATTTCCCTCGCCATGGATGAGCAACCCTTCCGCTCGCCAGTCGATCCTTCACTCGCTGAGGATGAGCATTCCACCCGCTCGCTGCTCGTCGAAATTCAATTAGAGCATCTAGCCAGATCTATCCTCCACGACGACGACAAGAGGCTGGTTACAGCGGCTATACAGATGGGGGACGATGGATTCTTCAAAGCCCGCGCTATTTCGTTGTTCCCTCGGCTCAAAGTCTTAAAATTCGTTGAGATCGAAGGTGGACACCCCGCATTATCCTGGATCAGCGCAATCGCAAGCTGGAGCAAGATCCATGGTCTGCCGTGGCCCCCTGGGCTTTTGGCTCTTTCTGAGGTTGCCGTTCACATTCCCATCAATGTTGAGGAGCAGATCGATGAATGCTCTACGGAAGTGATTGATCTTGGAAATCTGCTCGGCCTCCCCAACATCAGAAGCGTGTATTTTCGAAATCTCCTCCTTCAATTCGAAGACGACGACCTCCTCTTGCCGGGTAACTCCACTGTTAGAACACTTATGCTCGATCAAATTAAACTAGACAACTTCCGGCTACGAAAAGCCATCTGCAACGCGCCCTCTCGACTCGAATCCTTTGTTGTTCGTGGGAGCATCGACCCGGCTCATTTTCTGGACAGTGTCCAACAGTTCCCGCGCCTCCTCTCCCAATCACGTTCATGCGAGACCTTGCGCAAAGTCCTCTTCTACAACCCGGACCGAATGCGCGGATCTACAACTGACCTGTTTGAACCGGCTTATATCAATTCCATGAGTGGCCTCCGTGTGGTTGATATATGCATTGGTGACATGCAGGTCGAAGCCTTTGCGGCAGCCGATCACGAGAGTGTGAGGGCTCGAACTGCCACGCTGTGTGACAGATGTTTTCATGACAAGATTGACCTGGGCGATTATTGCCACGGCGACCTCCCTTGTGAATCCCCAGACAACGTAGATGCACAGCCCGCCCTGCCCTCCGAATCTACGGTGGTTGACGATACGGAGGAAGCGCAGAGTATCGGTCAGGAAGGTCTGATAAACCGCGATGACCTGGTTCGTCAATTTGTCATCGGGCTCCCTCAGAGCTTGGAGGTGCTACTCATCCATGGCCAGGAAGAAAACAGAGAGTACTTCGACAGGGGACCCTACGAGGAGAACGAAACGATCGACGATGCCGTCGTCGCCATGCTCGAGAGTGGGCGTTACCCGAATCTCGAAGTCATCTACCTCGACCAGGTTGAAAGGAGCGTGGCCGAACCAAGAGACGTGGTCTCGTTCCAGAAAGCAATCGCAGCGGGCAGAAAGCACGGTGTCTACATCTTCACAGTGGCCAACCAGGTACACCCCCCAGGGAAAAGCCGATTTCCCGCCATGCCGGATAGGCACGATCTCAAGACAGGCCCGTTTCCTCGGAGGGGCGCCCGCTGGTATGTCGATCCTTACACGGGCTCCTGGGCACCACCAGGATGCGGTGGATGCGGGTTGTGTGGTGATTGTTTGAGGTGCTATACCGCCGAAGCTTGGGAGGCCTTCCGGAACAGGGCAGATGATTAAAATAGCATCATGTGGGAAGTGCTTCTGAGAGTATCATTACATAGGTGTTCAAGGGATGCAGATGGAAGTAGAAAAATTCCAGTATAAGCTAGGAAAGAATAGCTAACTGCCAAAATTCTAGCACTTCAGATCATTAATCCTCATGTCGTAACTACTGCCTACGCACTGGTAGCTACTACTAACATTACAAAAGGATTACCTTCAAGGACCTGTGTCAAGTAGAATCCCAACGAGAAAGAACCCAACAACGATCGCTAGCGGACAGAGGCATCTGGACTCATAGCCCTGGTGTTCGTATCTTGACACGCAGAGAAACGAGCAACCTATCCAAGTGTCATACCAAGTCTCTGGAGATACGCGTATAGTGACCCTCGAACCACTTGGCCCTGCTCCCCTTTTGCAATGCGACTCATCCAACGTGCGGCGAAGCTGCCTGTTCAAGCAAGTCAGTTGCCGGGCTTCCTATCACAACGACAGGATACAAACTCACCAAGCCGTGGGCCTCGAGATGCAAACCCCAAAGCCTCCAGAACCCATCCGGGGCCCATGATGACCAGAACACCGATCGCAATGATGGTGCCGGCGGCAATGAGTGCGGCGTAAACGGGGTGCCGCTCGGCGAATTCTCGAGCTAGATTCGTTGCGCGCCTGACAGCTTCGGTCATCGCCTCTCCCATTGCCGCCCCGTTTTTCAGGATTGCTTCAATGCCGTGGAGAATAGATTCAGACAGAGAATCTTTCCATCCCGACGCAGAGATGGTTGCATTGAGTTTCTCGAGAAGATGAGGGTCGTCCAGTTCAGCCGTGCGAATGATCTCAACGAATTGGTCAACACGTTCATCGTCAGTGTAAGGCGAAAACAAGGGCTTTTCGGAAATCAATCCGGGGCGATTTTGAGAGTGTGGAAGGCCGGAATTCACGGATGCACCGCAGAGACATTCCGTAACAGTCGCTATGAGAGTCTTCATCTTGAAGTTGTAGTCGCGGAAAGCAGATTTTTTAGATACGCTCAATCTACTGTAAGAATGTCAGGCAGAGAGACCAGTACTAGGAACGTGGAAAGAGGCAAAAGAAAGGAAAGGGAAAAGGTGAAGAGTGAGTGAGGAGGGGATGGTGGAGTTGACCCTCGTTTTTGGGTCATCACATCTCGTCTGATTTGGAGGGCCTCCTGCATATACCCATCCAATCACGTCACATATTTCCTTACCGAATAGAATAACTCAATACAACGTGTCTTACTCTGACAGGCAGACTAGTATGATGCTGAGTGAGATGTTTCGGTAAAAAGAATGAGATCCACCCAACAAGATAACCATAATGATGGAGCCAGGTTTTGGTGTTCGCCTGGTTAACCCTCGGAAGTGATCAGGCCGTAATTAAGAGCATCTGATGCTTTGTCCCAGTAACTGGCAAATTCATGCTTTAGGAGAAAGCAACCTGTGGACTAGAGCTCAGACCATTGGGCCCATGATGCATTGAACAGTATAAGCGATCACAATCTGGGTATCTCGCATGACATCCTCCATAGTACCATGGCAATCATCGACCGGGAATGCGACATTTAGCTCATCTAGATGTCAGGGCTTGCTGGCAACCCGGAGCAGCTTTAGATGCTGTGATGCGTATTCTTCGTGAGTAACGGATAAAAACCACCGGAATACTTGAGTTGTGCCTTCGGTAAAATTGTCAAAGATCCTTTCGACGGCCTGCCTTGAGATAAGCAGCCCTTTCATAGTTCCGCTTGAGCCTACTCTTGGACAGGTCAGGACAAAACATAGCAGTAATAATATCAAGTACAATATTCTATCGTGCTACTAGTTCTGGGGCCACTGAGATATAGATATAGATCCCCCTAAAGTACGATTTGCTCTTGTGATTCAACAAGTGACTACCAACATTTGTCAGCCAGGGGGGTGATACTTCGGTCCAACGAACGGGTACGGACTTAAGTTAGATTTTGTGATGCCGAAAAGCGGAGAAACGCCTCATACTACCACTGGCTAATTCCTTCAGCCGGCAAAGCATCGAGCCACGGGTATGTTATTTCCGGGGCCGAAGTGGCCTTAGGCCAGATTGCTGAAGCGCGCAGCTTATGCAATCATGATGAGGTAGAGAAGGTCAAAGTATAAAACAAGTGATGGATCTAGTTCAGTTGATGCCAGTCGTCTCGACCCCATCTCTCATCTTCCACAATCCTAAACTGAAGCTTGAATCCTGAATCTCGCTCATTATGATCGGGAAGTGTCTGCTAACCATCGACGCTGTCGGTCTTCTGGTCGGAGCGGCCATCGCGGACATGGATGAGACACACCAATATAACCCGCGATGGCCACCACACGCAAAGTAAGCAAACGGAGCTCCCCTCTCTTTCCGCAACTTATGCTTGGAGAAACGTGTCCTAACTTCGAACCATTTCCTCACAGGTTTCACAACGGGCAGACCATCACCCTCTCCATCATGCTTGGCGCTCTCACGCTGTACTACAGTTGGCGCCGCACAACGGGCAAAGCTGCTGCTAAAGACTCTCTCACTACTGCCATGATATGTGGCAGCATTTACTGGCTGGCAGGGCTGTGCGCCAGTCTTTTCCCCGAGGCAAACGGACTGGACCCAGAATTCGGTGGCCCCGGCTTTCCCCAGGCCAAGATATTCATCGGCTTCATGCTGTGCGGCATGATTGGTTGGGCGTTGGAAATTATGGCCCTTTAGAAAATGTTGAATAACTTTGGTGAACGCAAAAGCATACTGCCATGTATATATACGTGTCCAAATCGTCGATTCATTAAGCCGGAAGGCCTACAATCCTGCTCCAGATTAGAATCCACTTCTACACGGATCTTGTTTTCAAACGGCACAACGAATCAAACGCAAAACTGCACTTGCTCTTCAACCTGAAATAACAGTCAAGACCGAAGTGAACTCGCTGCAGGGTAATCTCACTGCAATGGAAGACACCAAGTTAACGCTGCGGGCATATTTGAGCTGGTAAGAAGTCGGTACTAATCTCATGTTTGACCAGAATAATGTAAGTCACGGGATATCATTTCAGCATGATGGATATTATTGAAATCTTTTATAATTTAACTTTTCGTTTCAATTCAATCAAATCGTTTCAGGCGTCAAACTTGGCTGTGGATGTGGACTAATTAAGCCCTCTACTAGCATTTGATTTCCCGGCCTGTATGGAAATCTCTGAGTGGTACTGCGCCGTCGCCGTGCTCGTCACGAGATTTTTCTCACTGTCATCGTCAGGAACGACAATGTGTCCCAATTCGAAAGACTGCTCAACCTGAATCCCCTTGGGCCCAGTTTCAGCCCCTGAATCGGAGGGGTTTGGATTTCGACGACTTCTCCTCCAGGAAGAATTGGCCCGGCTGAGAGGGGTCCTGTGATTCGGAGTGTAGCCCTGGCCGAGCGATCTCGACCTCCCAGAGGAGGTGATGAAACCAGGGAGAAGCTTGATGAGGAGCGGATTGAGAGACGGTACGCAGGCGCATATGATGGTAAGATTGCTCTCCAAGCAGGACCAGAGCGCAATTTCCATCCCCTTTGCTGTATGATCGATGAGTAAAGATTCTTCGCTCCGAAAGAGGGACAAGGGGTTCATACACGGCCGTTGAGTCAAAGGAACTTGCCCAAATGACCATAAGGAGTAGAATCGAACGATAGCCACGGCGGATGCACTAAAAGAAGAACAACGTCAGTGTGAGCAGGGCTGGTTAGGGTTGATTGGACTGGGAGACTTACACGCCGCCTGCAGCGAAGACTCCCATCAAAATGTATTTCATCTTAGACGCCATTTGTAGCCTGTTGAGCAAAGGCAAAGGTGCACACACAAGGGCAAGGTCGTTGAAAATGTTGACTCCTGCAAAGGCAAGGCGTAAGGTAACCCGGTCGAGGCATTTCCCTTCTACAGAATCTTCCCAGTATTTATTGACTGGCCAGCATGTGAAAACGGACATGAGTACGCAGAACGGGCCATATATCGCGAGGTAGATGAGCAGGCCAAGGAACACGCGCCTTGCGATTGGCGTTGTAAAGACCCTCAGGCACTGCAGTGCGATCGACAATTTGACGAACAGGTGGCAGATGTTGTAGCAGGTCATGCTGGCATAAGTGGCCAGCTGGAAGGGGGCGGCGAGGTCGGGATCGGCTGGTTGATTTAGGCCATAGCGGACCTCTTGTTTTGATATTGTTAGCGTTGCCATTTTACCTTCGAGTACGGGAAGAGGAACTTAGAAGAGGACATACGCTCCATGGCCGCGACGAGGAACCCTATGGAGCTCAGCTGATGAGCATCCGGTCAAATGTTAGCTCTCAAATTCGGCATGACAACTGCCTTGGTGCGACTTGGAAACTCTTACACCAGAGAATACGATGAGAGCATCGTCAGTTCCAAAGTGCTTGATCAGCCATCCTCTTGTGAACACCCTCAAGCAGACAGTGACAACACCAAGAATGGTGAACGTGAACCCTACCCCAATCAGGGGGTAATTCTGAGGGGGGACATAGATGTTGCCGACATACATTATGCCCTCGGGAGTTAGATTATTTCGGGACCGAGACCCATTGGAAAATGGATAGAGAAATCGTGTTGATCTCGAGGGGGGCCAAGTGGGGTTGTGGGTTGATATACCCCAAGCCAAGAAAATCTCTGATGATTCCTTCGAGGCCAAGGGGGTTATCTCAGCTCGGATGTGTCGAAACATTCTATCGCCTAGACCCGAATAGAAGGCCCCTGAATCCGAAGAGAAAATCTCGGTCGAGAAAATCACCAGACAAGCCGAGGGTTGGCCACCCATCTACTGGGGATTTCATAGGCGGGCCTTCCACGGAGATCACTAGTCAGAACCCCTACCCCGGTCCCTGCTTTGAGCTATCTGCTACACCGGTAACAAAGCTGATCAATGCCTGTCGCGGCGACACTCGACGGAGGCTAGCACGAGCCATCACAAGGATTTTCAGGCTTCCTGAAGGAGACAAGCGGAGGGCAAGAGGGGGTGACTGTTCGGCGCAAGGCCATCGGTTGAAGAGGTCACACCATCAAGGATTGGTGAAATGGGATTACGGCAGTCTCACTAACGGGCAACATGACAATGAACCAGCACAAGAGGATATAGATGTTCCTCTCCGTCTATTATTGCAACTTCGGTCACCCATCGGAGAATACTATAACTCTAACCGATATATACAACGTTACGATTAGAGTGTGCCACTTTCTATGCCACCCACCTGATGGCCTTCCCTGTAGCATAATAGAGGGTGCATCCAAGCAAGTGCTGACGTTCAGGGCGCCGGAAAAGTGCCGCGGCTGTGGCCCTGGTCGTGCTCGCGTCGAGATCCGACCAGCCAGCGTCTTTGAAAATCACGCCTCCAAGATTCCTGAGTTTCTCAGCGGACGTGATCCTTACGAGGCCACGCGTGATGACACGGTTACTATTGGTTCACCGGAGGTGTTATCTTATTCGGCTCGATAGACTGGGCTCATGGGTTGGCGGTTTGTTTCATGCATAGCATTGCATTTCTTCAGCGCTGGGTTCCCCAGTCTCATGCCCTTTTTCGATTCGCAAACGAGTCCACAGCACTAAAGATTGCGCCATCTTTCCAGACGATCATATCAAGGCCAAGGTCGAGCCTAATAAATCGGCTGGTGAAACCAAGCATGCTTTCTGAGTGTACAATTGAACAACCAACTCCTACAACTTGATTCATTCTGCCATACAAACATCAATTTATATTTTGTTTGGAGCATACCCGTCTTACTGGCATATAGCTGATAATGCTAGCCATACAGGGCAATCGTAGCGACATCAGTATGCTTATGCGCTGACCCTACTCATTATTTGCGGCTAATTTGCAAAGGATTCAGGGCATCCTCATCTCGCTCACAGCTGTAGCCTGTGCTCCGTAGGTCGCAAATAATAACCTGCAGCAAACTATCAGGGACTCAGCTCAGCCGGATATCGCTTATCATGGCTACCGGTCCTGCCATTTGCTGTCATGTCGAAACTATCGATTCGAGCTGATGGAACCATCAGGTCCGCTTATTGCGGTCCGCCCAACAAACATTCTGGGGGCCGGCTTTTAGCTTGCGGGCTGGCATTCTTTCATCAATCAATACCTGTTAATGGGGCTATGCCCCCAGGCTTCAGAGCGGCGAATCCGCTCAGCGGAATCCTCCGGCCCCATCCTGCCGTTCAATAATCTCTCTCCCCCAAAGCACTACAGGGATGGAGGTCCTTGGCAGTTGGTCTTTTCTCAAGTGCCATGCCCGGGAACACAAAGTCAGGGGATTAACAACGTGCTATATGTACAGCCGGCAGCCACATGCTACACAATCAAGCAGTGTCAGCGGACTGTCACTGTTGCAGAGTGTTGTCCCTTCATAACGGAACCTTCCCCTGCGGATCATCCTACGGCAGCACATCAAGCAAGATCCCTTTTTCATGCAGTGAGACGCAAGAGCCTAAATTGCAGTCATGAAGTCGAGCATTCTTACCGCCGCCATCTCCATGGCGTCCGTGCTTGGAGCCTACGCTCAGTCGAGGGTTGATACACACTCTCACTACCTCCCTGACTTCTATCAGCAAGCCCTCCGCGACGCTGGTCATCTTCCGGGCCCGGATGGCATGCCCGCAATTCCGGTTCGCCCTGTCCTTGTATGCAGATGGGAATCTGTACTAATTGATTCTTAGGAATGGGACCCAGAGAGTCATCTTCAGTTCATGAAGAATCAATCCATCTCCAAGTCGTACCTGTCAATCTCTAGCCCTGGCGTGTACCTCACTCCCCCGTCCAAGGCGGCCACGGCCAAGGCCATTAAGCTAGCACGACAGGTAAATGAATACGGGTCCAAGCTCAAGGCGAAGTATCCAGACCAGTTCGGCTTCTTCGCATCCTTGCCCCTCCCTGATGTCAAGGCATCCCTCGAGGAGATCAAGTACTGCTTCAACAAGCTGAACCCTAAGCCGGATGGGATCGTGGTCATGTCCAACTTCTATGGCCTGTACCTCGGCGACCCGGAGCTCGACCCCATCTATGAAGCCCTCAACAAGCTTGGCGTGACAATCTTTGAGCACCCGACCACGCCTTGCACCGTGCACAACCACAAGCAGTTCAAGATTGACGACAAAAAGGATCCTAAGATTACGCAAAAGGAGTGGCAGGCCCTCAACCGTCCCATTGCCGATCGTATGGTCACGGCACCTCTGCTTGACTTTCCCTTCGACACAGCTCGCACTGTCGCCGACCTTTTCCTCTCTGATGTGCCCGCCCGGTTCAGCAACATCCGTTGGATCATCCCTCATGCGGGAGGCGGCCTTATGCCGACTCTGGACCGCCTCCTCCTCTACCCCGTCCTGTACCCTGGCGGTGCGACTCTGACCGCCGATACCCTCAAGGAGGCCCTGTCCACTCAGTTCTACTTTGATCTCGCTGGGCCGTGGCCCGTGAACTACTCGATCCCACCACTTCTCCGATGGGTGAACTACACAAACATCCTCTCTGGCTCAGACGTGCCTTTCACTTCATGGGCTGCCGGTGCCGCCGGTATCACCCAATTTGAGAGTGTTATTGGACAGGTCTTCGATGATCAAGCCAAGGTCCAAGCCATCCGATCTGAGAATGCCCTGGGATTGCTCAGTAAGAAGTAATTATTAGACTCCTCAAGTGGGATTCTGGGTTGACGCTTCAAATTGCCATATACGCTGCAGTTTGGTGATCATGATAGACTAATGAAGAACCTGGGCATGCTGACGATGGAATGATTGCGAGGAGGTTGGCACTCTATAGTTGTATATAGCCAGTTCTAATTGACCATCAATAAAGACGGATGTTGTATAGCCTTCTGGTCCTGCTCTGACCTGGAGACAAACTTTCCCCGTATTGACGGATAAAATGATCAGTGGTCAATTGCAACATAATTCAAGAATTTGTGAAGAACTGGGATTATATAGTTGAAATATGACCGTGAAATTCGTGACTAGAGGGGATTGTTCTATCTAGCGTATCGAGCCAACTACTGGTCATTGTCGCGAACGGACCAAAGGATTCATTTGTCGCAGTACACTTCCGTTGCTTATCGTGTTAAATTTTTCATTTCCAGGCCAGGAGTAAGCATGCCGCAGGGCGTCGACTAAGTTGCGCGGGGACTCTCATCCCAAGGTTGGCTCAGGAGAACGTTTACCGAGGTAGAGTCAACCGATTCTGACCTCGGAAAATATTCAATGCAAGGAACTAGTCTGGAAGCCGAACACTGGTTCAAAAAGAAACTATACCGTGGCAATAAAGGAAGGCTTCGTGCCAATCGTAGGAACAGTTCCTAAATTTTGTAGAAAATACAGCAGCTGAGAAGGGACGAGCATGATGAACCATTCAAAGCTTGGTCAGGCTTTGAGCCGTCGCCAGAGTCTATGTCTCCAGGCCCAATACGTACAATTGAGAAAGCTCAGTACTGTCAGTGGGAGCACTCCTGGAAAAGCGCCTCTTAGCAGGTTTGAGCCAGACCAGTATATCGATTATGGCGATTTCATTAGAAAGGTCGAGCTGGGTCGCAGATTGTGAGTTCCTGCGGCGCGCTCTGCATACAGATTGTCATACGCAGAGATCACTTACACAATCATCCAGCAATAACCGACCCCTAACGTATACCGAGAAGATTTTGGTCGCCCATATGGACAACATAGAGGAGGAAATCTTGCAGCGTGGAAAAACTCTCCTGAAGCTCCGCCCCAGACGAGTGGCTTGCCAGGATGCAACTGCTCAAATGGCCATCATTCAGTTCATGTCTGCCGGTCTGAGCTCAACGGCAGCCCCGACAAGCGTCCACTGTGATCATTTGATTGTGGGAAAGAAGGGCCAGGATGTCGATCTACCTAATGCCCTGAACGTGCACAAGGAAGTCTTCGACTTTTTGTCAAGTGCTTGTAAACGGTTCAACATTGGCTTCTGGAAGGCTGGCGCTGGTATCATACACCAGAGCATTCTGGAGAACTATGCCTTCCCTGGAGGATTGATGATTGGCGCAGATTCTCATACCCCTAACGCCGGTGGCCTGGGAATGATGGCTATCGGTGTAGGCGGAGCAGATGCGGTGGATGTTATGGCAGGTCTCCCATTCGAACTGAAGGCACCTGGAGTTATCGGAGTCCGACTGACCGGCCGGCTTCCAGAATGGACGGCGCCCAAAGGCTAGCCAGGCTCCCTTCAACTCATTTAACATACAAATCTAATGTCTTCATAGATGTGATCAACCGGCTAGTTTCCATCCTCACAGTCAAAGGCGGAACGGGAAACATCATTGAGTTCTTCGGCCCCGGGACACAATCTCTGTCAGCGACGGGAATGTGCACAATCACGAACATGGGCGCCGAGACTGGGGCAACTACTTCCATCTTCCCATACTCGGATGCGATGAACTCATATCTCAAGGCTACTCACCGACATGAAATTGCAGCCGCCGCAGATTTCGCGGCAAATGAGCTCAAAGCAGATGAAGGAGCCGAGTACGACCAGGTCATTGAGATAGACTTATCAACTCTTGAGCCACATATCAACGGGCCATTTACACCAGACCTCTCTACCCCAATCTCCAAGTTTGGCGATGTGTCAGCGCAAGAATCTTGGCCTCCAAAGCTGACTGCTGGGTTCATAGGGTCCTGCACAAACTCGTCGTTCCAGGACATGACACGGGCCGCAGACTTGGCCAAGCAAGCACTCACAGCTGGGCTAAAGCCCAAAATGCCTCTTTTCGTCTCACCGGGCTCGGAACAGACTAGAGAGACCCTTCGAGCGAGCGGAGCGTTGGCGGTGTTTGAAGAGCTAGGCAGCACGATTCTCCCAAATGCATGCGGGCCTTGCTGTGGATCATTTGACCGTGAGGGGATGGAGAAGGCGAGTAAGATGTTCATAAAAATGGATCAAAGAGGCTGACAAAATTGTCGGACAGGGTACACGTAACTCGATCATTACGACGTACAACAGAAACTTCACTGGCCGTCTGGACGGCAACCCGGCGACATACAATTTCCTCTCCTCACCTGAAATGGTTATGGCCAAGATTTTCTCGGACAATCTCGGATTCAATCCAATAGAAGACTCGATCAAGAAAGATGATGGCTCAGAGTTTCGCTTCTCACCACCTGAAGGCGAGCCTCTGCCTGCGGGTGGCTATGCCAACACAGACTATGTCTTCACCAAACCGCCCTCAAGCTCAAGCGAACGGGACAATATTCAAGTTCAAATACCTGAATCTTCCGATAGGCTACAGCGGCTTTCCCCTTTCCCACCAGGACGAAAAGGTGATATCGAAAACTGTGTGATTCTGATCAAAACAAAGGGCAAATGCACGACCGACCACATCACACCTGCAGGACCATGGTTCCGTTTCCGCGGTCACTTAGATAACATCTCAAACAACACACTCATCGGTGCCGTTAACGCTGAGAATGATCAGACTAATTCGGTCACAAACTGGATCACTGGAGAAGAGGGCGATACCCCTGGAACGGCGAGGGCTTACAAAAATCTCGGCCAGCCGTGGGTTGTCATCGGAGACTACAACTATGGAGAGGGATCCTCGCGTGAGCACGCTGCTCTCCAGCCACGCTACCTAGGTTGTCTTGCCATCATCGCTCGGAGTTTCGCTCGGATCCATGAGACGAATCTGAAAAAGCAGGGTGTTTTAGCCCTCACATTCGCCAACGAGGAAGACTATGATCGTGTTCACTCCTCTGATCGTATCAGCATCCTCGGAATTAGCGAGATTGCTCCCAGCAAGAGCCTCACTCTGCAGTGCACTCCCACCGTAGGGAACAGGCTTCCATGGACGGCCAAACTCAACCACTCTATGACCTCAGAGCAGGTTGAGTACTTTAAAGCTGGAAGTGCTTTGAACTTGATGGCAAATAGAAAAAGCGAATCGGACGCGGCGGCTTCACTACTCTAGATATTCCAATGATCATCCAGTTAACAATAGAAAGGTATCATGTACGAACATCCACTATATAGCTAGCTAATCAGCTTTTCTTCTTCCCTTGATGGCAAAGAAGATCTTTTAGATCGGCGGTTTGGATTCAGGCCTGGATTACCCACCCATTAGGAGCGCCTCTTTGCTTCTTTCTCTTCTCTCTTCAACCCAGGGATATTAATGAGCTTGGCATACAGGTCATAGAAAGCGATATCGTCTATGTTTGTTTCAGAAATTAAGTACCTTCATTCGTCCCATTGAGAGGCTGATAGCTCGCTTTCTATTTGCTGAATATACAACACTGAAGGGTCCAGCCCAACACAATATCAAAACGGGAGGAATGACGCCCACTCCAAACGTCAACAATACCATCCAACATATTTCTCTCCCTATATACGCTGCAGAGGTATAGCTAGTACATCAGAAGCCCAGCCCAGCGAAAGCTTCACAACTCTACTTGTAGTGGTTTCTTCGCTTCTTATTCTTGGAGCATTTTCTGTTATTGACAGTTAATCATTATTCTTTCAGTAACAATGAGAACTATTTTCTTGCTGAAAGTTGATGCTTACCTCGTGGGAGTAGAAGAAGCTGAAGTGGAAGTAGATGTGGTTGAGTCAGGTACAGTAGAGCTGGGTGTAGCAGTAGAACTCAACACAGCAGACTGAGGCACACTGGTAGATGGCTCTGAAGTCTCCACAGACGTGGTAGGAATAGTCTCTGAGGCCTTGGATGTGGTGGTCACTCCAGCAGGGGTACTAGCAGCCTTGGTGCTTGTCGCCAAGGTCGTCTTGGGAGCCTCGCTAACAGATGTAGTGGTCTGGCCACTGTTATCAGTAGCACCGCATCCTACGCGGCTGGAGCCAATCGAAATGTCATCATACCAAAACGTGTTGATGTCGCCGCTGTAAGACTCCCAGCCAAAGTAGATACCGGTGATGGCTGGCTTGTAACCGGCGCTCTCCCACTGGTCAGCATTGGAGTTGTTGGCATTTGGCCCGGCTTGAAGTCCAGCGATGCTTTCGCTGTTGAGCCAAGTCTCTATTGTGCCGTCTGTTCCGAGATGGTATTCGAGACACTGGAAACCATCAGTAGGAAGAGCCTTGGAAGCTGCAATTCCCTGGGGGGATAGGGCTGGAAGGGTGGCATCATCCGTCTCCCGGTTGAACATGAGGATTTCACTCTGGCCACCGATGCGAAGATGCTTGTTAGCTCCCAGACCAGAGTCGGTCATGGTAATGAAAGACACGTGGCTAGCGGTCAAGGCAGTAGATGCTTTCCTATAAATGGACAGAAGATAGTCAGTATATCATTCAGTAGTCTCACGATCCAGGAATTTAGATAAAAGAAGACATACACCCATGCCCTAACGTAAATATCACCACCAGTTGGAACGGCCGTGGTTCCGAAGAAGATGTGTCCGCAGAAACCTCCCGAGCCACCAACAACCTTCATAGACGAGCTGCCGCTGTGGGCAACAGTGTTGTCAAGAGTGACACTGCCACCTTGGTTGCAGTCTGGTGCATATATCGGCCATTTCGTCTCATCCCAGCCACTTTCAAAGTCGTCGGATACTTGGGCATTGGCGAAACCAGCGAGAGCCACCAGGGCTAGAAGAGTGGGTTGGTAAAACATCTTGTTCCAGCAGGATGAATGAAAAGAATGATTGTTGAAGGAATGGATGAGGACTAGCGAACGTATTTTCTTTGCAGCTCCTGGGCCAGCATGTCTTTTAAATAAATTATCCTATTGAAATGAATGAGACCTTTCTATTTCCTAAAGTGACGGCCGCCATTTCGGAGCACCAATTCCTTGCTCTTTCGGGAAATATGTGCACATATCTCAAACTCGCTTGGCCTCTTCCTCCGGCCAGTCGGATAGAACGGCAAGCCCCATGTATAATCGGAAGATCGATCTTCATATTCTTCACTCACTCTTTGATTTCTCATTAAGTATTTTCTATTGAAAAGGCAAATCGTAAAATCGCGCCATATATTCCGCCCACTATCCTTCCATCATTATCATCACAATAACGCATATACTGATTAAGAACTCTGTTGACTAATTGCCTTAGAGAGTAGAGATAGCGAGAAAATATCCAGATGTGTCGGCTAGCCGGCGTGTCAAGCGCCATCATCTTGTTTCAGGTTGGAGACAGGTGCTTCTGAGATTGCAAGGAGACCTCACCCCAGCTTAAAACCTGAAACCATTGAAGCGGTCCGCAACTCCGTTTCATCAATCAATTGCTGCGCAGAAAAATTGTCTGCTCAATCTTTAAAGACCTCGATTTACATTGACTTGCAATCACAAATGAAAGTGAAGACAAGAGCTTATCTTGCAGGGCCTTTTGCATTTCCCTTCATTCAATGCCCCCCTGCACCTTGGTATCTCCGACTTGAGGGCTCGTGCTTCCAAGCATTGATAAGGCCCAGACGAGGGCAATATTCCAAGTTTATCGACGGCGTACTGATACAGGTGTCGCAGATCGCAGCAGCAAGTCTACGATTGAGGCTCCTATGCGTTCAGCTTTTGCGTACTTACGTCAAACTAGAGATCTAATAGAAGTTCTATCACGGTTGTGGAATTTCGGAATTCGGCAAATTTGTCTAACCGAGCACTACCACCAAGTATTCCCCTCGGCTCAGTGGGGGAAACCGGATAGCAGCCCACTGTAAACACTCCTTCTTCCCGCTGGTGTACACTTCTCCGAGAATCAAAGATTAATATGTTGGTTCATCCAAAAGTTTAAAACTTTGAAAGTAAATGATTTTTACTACAGCTATTCAACAAATATTCATTTCCTATGCCCTTAAATTACCTGTGAATTCTGCAACATTGCTCATCTTAACAATACATAAATCGGCTGGCCCGGAATGACGAGGCTGGACCATATCCATCCTCAGGGATTTTAGAAACAGAACTAAGCTACCAAGACAAGCATCTAAAGTATGAGTATCTTTATTATTAATATGTCGCAAATATACCGATTCCGATGACAGTCAAGTAGGCCATCAGAGATGTCACTACGCGGAGTTGAATATCCGAACCCCTCCTCGGAATGTAACCAATTTTCTACGTCATGATAAATTCCGATCATTCTCTCCAAGAATGTAGCTTCCCAAAATTTGTTTGCCTTCCATTGCTTTGCAAGCCCGCCAAGACAAACCATCAAGGCTAAATTCATCATGAAGTTATCGGACAGCCCGGTTCCGGAAGTGTTGACAACGCATCTTTGGGTGCTGGTTTGTCTCTCAGCAGTGCTTTGTCTGTGCATTAAAAACAAGTTTCACCATGGCCTTCACAAGTATCCTGGACCTTTTCTTGCGTCGTTTACAGACTGGTGGAGATTCTGGGATGTCTACCGGCGAAGGCCAGAGGTGACCCATTTGAGGTTGCATAGGAAGCATGGTGATGTTGTCCGACTAGGACCCAACTACTTATCCTTCGCCAACCCAGACGCCTTGAAGGCAATCTATGGCCTAAATAAAGGGTTCATCAAAGTATTTCTTCCTCTCAGCAAAAATTTCCTAGTTGAAAGCCCACGCTTACAATTCCGCATCAGTCCGACTTCTACCGGGTACAACAACCCATCGCACAAGGCCATCCCCAGCCATCACTTTTCAGCACCACAGATAACACCTTCCACGCTCAATTCAGAAGATGTGTCAACTCCGCATTCTCAATGACCGCCCTTGTACAGTACGAACCTGCTGTCGATAACACGACAAGGCTGTTTCTAGATCAAACAGAGAAACTATTCGCAGCCAGAGATGTGCCTTGTGATTTCACAGAGTGGTTACAGTTTTACGCGTTCGATGTAATAGGAGAGATTACATACGGCAAACGACATGGTTTCGTGGCCCAGAATGAGGATGTTGATGGCATCGTCGAATATCTAGGCAAGCTGTTCTTGTACGTCGCTCCGGTAAGTTATCTCCCTCTTCACTTTCTAATCCGCAGCTGAACCCTAAACTGGGAAATAGGTCGGCCAAATCCCTTTTTTGGACAAGTTACTTCTTAAGAATCCTATTTATCTCTTTCTCTCCAATCTCAAGATTATTGACTCAACGTTTCCTGTTGCTCGGTTTGCAGTAGCTCGAATGAGGGAGCGCCTTGACGGTACCAGCTCGCAACTTTCGTCGCCAAAGCCAGTAGCAGGAACCCAACGCATGGACCTTCTGTCCAAATTCATTGCCGCGAAGGAAGCCCGACCAGAGTTCATGACAGACAGGCTTGTTCAAACGATGGCAGTCAGCATGGCTTTTGCCGGTAGTGAAACCACAGCAATTACCCTTTCGGCAGTGTTTTACTACCTCCTTCGCAATCCTTCGGCGCTGCAGCGACTCAGAGATGAGCTCGATGAGTTCACCAGGCGTGGGGTCTTTTTAGATACCACGACAGGTCTGGTGACATGGGCGGAGGCGCAGCAGCTCACATACCTCGATGCTTGTATCAAGGAAGCGTTCAGGATGCATCCAGCTCCTGGGCTGCCCATGGAGCGCATCGTTCCAGAACCTGGTGTTGAAATCGCTGGGCATTACGTCAAGGGCGGGACCATCGTCGGATGTTCTGCATGGGTCATCCACCGCCGCCCCGAGATCTTCGGCGAGGATGTAGATGTCTATCGCCCGGAGAGGTGGTTGGTGGAGGAAGGATTGGAGGATGAGGAGAGGGCCAGAATGGAGGAGAAGATCAAGAAGATGAATGCAAACATGGTACAGTTCGGTATGGGAAGTCGAACATGCATTGGCAAGAATATCAGTTTGCTCGAGGTGTACAAGCTTGTTCCAAGCCTGCTTCGCAGGTTTGACGTGAGTTTTTCTACCCTTTCTAAAACTCTATGGCACCCTGAATGAATCCGAGATAAGCTAACAATCTGCATTCAGATACGCTTTGAGGATCCCAAAGATGAGTGGCATCTGACTAACGCTTGGTTCGTCAAACAAAGCAATTTCTTTGTCAGGTTTTCGAGCAGGATAGATAAGATGTAGCTTGAGATGTCTTCAGGAGACCAATGATGCCGGGTTGTTTGATCCTATTCCAGCACATGAGCGTTCTCTCATGGATCGTGGTCACACTACAATTCTCGAGCATACAAGCCATACTTGAACAACTTCGGTTTCTTGACAAGAAAATGCTAGATCTCTTGCTCTCAATGAAGAGCTTGGTAAGAGTTCTCCTAAGAGAAGATAATGTCATGTATCGATAAAAGATGAAATTATGAAACCAATATATATTCTAAGCTTCTCGTTATTGTTTAAGTCGAAAAGTACAAATAATATCGCTACATGAAGTTCTATTCTAACCAAAATAGTCGTTTATATTCCGTAATTGATGTATCCAAGGAGGGCGCCATGACCCAAATTCGGGATCATACCTGTAGGCATCCACGAAACCAGCACTCTAGGAGACATGTCCTCTCCATTTTATGCTCACGACGAACCGTGCCGTTCATTTCGCCCCTATCCAAATGCCGATGTCTTCATAATCAAGTAAGCAGAAGCATCTCTATCTTTTTCAACAGATCCGGGATGATGAATGGCTTCGAGACGACATCATCCATGCCACTCGACTTGGCAGTGGCCACCTGCTCATCGCGCACATTGGCTGTCACAGCAACGACAGGTACGTGTTTGTTCAGCTTACCCTCGTCCTCCATTCGCCGTATCTGACGCACGCATGTTAGGCCGTCCATGTTTGGCATCTCAAGGTCCATCAGGATGATGGACAGACGACTCCCGGTGCCGTCCGTGGTCCGGAAATGTGTCTTCTCAAGAAACTCCAGCGCCTCTAGGCCATCATTGGCAGCACTCACAGTGCATCCTGTCTTCCTCAATTGCCCAACGAGGACCTTTTGGTTTATCAAATTGTCCTCTACCACCAGAATGTGAAGGTCGCGTGGATCAAGGGTTGCGTTGGTCCGAGTTACCTCAACACTTTCACCGGCTCTTGCGGTAGCATAGTCCTGTCGCTGAGGGGTAACTTGGCTGGAAAGAGAACCACCATCGCTGAATTGAACCTCAGTAGCAAGCGGCGGGGCATATTCTTCAGTGTCATAGCTTGTTGTACTAGGCGGTGGCGGAGATCGGCGGGCTTGGACATAGAGAGCAAAGAGGCTTCCAGAGCCAGATTCCGATGCCACGCCAATCTGGCCACCGTGGAGCTCCGTCAGGTGCTTCGAAATAAAAAGCCCAAGGCCACTCCCGCCATATTGAGCATGCGTACGAGGTGACGCCTGTTTGAATCGTTGGAAGAGAATCTGCTTCTCGGCCTCGGTGAGGCCGCAACCAGTATCTTCAACTTTAAAATGTATATACAATAACTCACCGTCCCCCCAATCACCAGTAGTCTTGACTTGCGAGGCAAAGCCTGATTTAGCAGGGACGTACTCGAAGCCAGGCAGGTTATGAGAAGTGCCAGGTGGTGTGAGGGAGGCGCCAATGCCGACCGTGATAAGCCGTCTTTGTGATGTTGCCGTGAATTTGATTGCGTTGGTCATGAGATTAATCAAGATTTGAAGAATTCGGCTTGGGTCCAGAGTTACCCAGTCAACAGCATATTCACCATAAGAAGGGTGCTTCTCAAAAACCACTTCAATCTTCTTGGACTCTAGTTCAGACTCAAACATCTTCAGGGCTCGGCGCATGATTATGTCGGGCTGCACGATGGAAGGTGTGATCAACAGCAAGTTTGAATCGAGCTTCGATATCGTGAGAATATCATCGACAATGGATTTTTGGTGCTGGACGCAGAGAGCGATGGTGTGAGCGGACTCAATGCAAGACTCCACAACACACCAGGGGGGGGGTGGCGTGTTCGCCTTGTAACGGCTCAAGGATGTAGATATATCATCTGCACATTGAAGTACAGCACTTAGCGGGTTCCTCATTTCATGTGACGTTATATCGATGAATTCGTTTTGTTGTCGCCGTGTCTCCTCAGCCTCGTGAAGCCGGTGATCTTGAACACCCAGTGCCCATTTGAGCAGTGATATATCCATAATTGATCCCACAATGGATCTCAACGATCCATCGGCGGTAAATTCCAAATGAGCGATGAACATGACCCAGTACTCTCTCAAATCTTCGGGGAGATTCACTGGGCTGCTTGTCGGCCTTCTTTTAAGCTGCAGTTCTCCCGACCAGGGCATATGATCATCGACCAGGATGCCCCATCCTTCCTTCATTGTGTCCAAGCTGGTGGGCATGATGAACTCCATCCACGACATTTCGTATTGGCCGTCTCGTGTGTTCCCGGTCATTTCATAGAAGCGATCATTTGCCTCCCTTAGGAGACCCTCTGGACTGATGAGGAACATGCCAAGCGGGGAGAGTTCTGTCATGCGCCGCAGTCGGTTATCTTGGAGTACAAGCTGCTGGGTGAGGAGTTCTTTTTCCAACGCGGCGGCTTCGGCAGCGTCCCGATTTCGCCGGACCTCCTCCTCGAATAGGATGATTGAAGCCAGTGAAGTAGCGAGCTGTCGATGGAGCACAGTCGTAAACGACTTGTACTTATCGTCATATGGTCTTCTCGGGTTTACTCCAAGGACAACAAAGGCTAAGACAGCATCGCCATTTGTTGGGCGGGCAGGAAGGATGATAGCCTCGCGGCAAGGCTCCCCGAAGCCGCGCCAGTTGATGCCCTCCAGCAGAGCATCAGGGAGGGTGCCATCTCGCGTGTGAAGGAGAGTCGGTTCGCGGGTCCGCATCGCTTCTCGGAAGGAAGGCACGAAACCCTCTCGGCTGCGTTTCAGATCCAGGCATTCCGGGGCTGCGACATGGCCATCAGGGACACCAATTGAGCCTTCTAGGTAGCATGTCTTGAGAGATATGGTGCTGCCAGAGGAGACAGAGGAGTGGTCAGTATCTTCGCCATCCCCAACAGAATACAACAGTGCGAACGGGACATCGTAGTGATTGGTCTCCAACGCGTCTAATACAGCCCTCCAGAACTGCTTAACCGTCTTGGCGTGTGCAGTGAACTCGCCCAACTTGGTGATCGTGTGTGTCCTACGCTGGCCGAGGACCTGATTGGTGGTCTCGAATGGGGCATTATAAAACCCAAGAATGCGGTCGCTGCCTCCATAAAGCGGAGTGAAGGACCAAGAGTAAAATGTCTCCTCGAGGAGATTGTGCCGATCAATGGGGAGATAATCGTTCTCTTTACGCACACTGATGCCAGTACGGGCACATTCAGCGAACACCGGACCAGTGTAGTCCCAAAGCTCAGAGAAGGGCCCAGAGAATCCGGTCCCCATGAGTGAAGGGTGTTTGTTCCCAGCTACCTCGGCAGCATAGGCTTCATTATACACCATTGTGAGCTCACTGCCCCAGAACAGGGCAGCGGGATGCGGGTTGCCCATGCACAAGTTAGCTAGTTGACGGAACTCGGGCGACCATTTCTCCATCGGGCCCAGAGGTGTCGATGCCCAGTTGACACTGCGAGCAAACTGGAGGTGGGCAGACAGGATGCCCTTGGGTTCAAGTACTGTCCAATCAGTAACAGCCTTCTCGGGCCGGGAGAGCGTCAAGGATCCGGCACTGTGAGAAGAACCCTTGGTTTCATCTGAGCTGCCGGTAGGTGTCTCCTGGTAGCAAAAAGATGTTGAGGTAAAGGGAAGTCTAGATGATACCAGAGTGCTTGTTGCCGTTTGTGAGGCCGAGTCCTGTTGTCTCGTCGCTGGTTTGGCAGATGCAGCAGCAGCGGGAGGTTGTTCAGCTAAGGCTTGAGGATTGGCTGTAGTAGGTTCCTCCCGCGACCTTTTCGCTCGTTTGGCGCGCACACCCCCAGTTGCCACCTCGGGAAGAATCCCAGATGAAAGATCTCGGGTGCCAGAGGCCTCTGCTGCTCGCCACAGACGGTTGCCACTAATCAACCTCCAGCGCTTGCGTACAGTAGAGCCGCTCCACATGAAATCGCCATAGAGGAAGCAAAGGGGGTAAACGTCTTTGGAATCATCATGAGTGGTGACTCCAGCCGCCCAGAGCTTGAACTCTTGATACGAGCTTGATAGCTGGACGTGGTGCTGCACGGAAGTCAGGCCAAGAGCAGCTGGCGACGTGAATAGAGGGTCTTCCAACGGCACACCTTGGGCTTCACGCCCTACCAAACTGTCATATAGGCGCTCATGCAAACGGAGGGCCGCGTTGCAGAAGACGGGGAGGAGGTACTTGTCGCAATCGGGAGCCTCCAGATCGGGGTCAAGGTCAATGACAAAGGTCGGCCGCGAATCGGCGTCAAGAACATCCCTAAGATGTACATCATCCAGCTCTTCGAGCACGGTTTTCTCCATCGTCATGGCCATCACCTAGACTTGGCTGACAATCTCTGCCAAGAACAGGCTAGGCAAGTGTGCTACAGAACATGGACCAGAGGCAGGCGATAGATTCCGGACGACTCGACGGATTGTGCGTGCCAACGGTGCTACACCACAGCGTTTCTGGCATGGCATACCCCGTGCCAAACGTGGGGGCGGGTTCAGCCGGGCGCGCGTGGGTATGCGGTTGAGGTGGAGCGAAATGTTGGAAGCATCCCATGCATGGAGAAAGGAGGGGATTGGGGGATCTCTGGGTCAGGGCAGGGGCGCACAGCAAAACAATCGGCCGTTTTTGCAGAGCGAGTTATTGCTATCGGCCCAGCATGGTGGCTGGCTGTATTTTTTCAAAAAAGCAGCTTGGACACCCAGACAAAGCGACGCGAATTTGACCAGGGCGATGACGTTGACGATCTGCCCCTTGAATTGAATCGATTGACTTGGTCGGAAAATTATCGGCCCACATTTAGATGTCGTTGTGCCAAATTGTGCAAATGGATTAGGCCTTCACAACTTGCATTAAAATTGCGCCAACCGACGTGTCCTACCCTATACTTGGCCCTTCGGCTCAATTTATCCATGCCTACTAGGTAAGCTCTTGTTCTTTTTCTGATAAATTTATGTAGGATCGAGAGTCGTAGAGTTCATCTCTATAGGTTTTACGTGCCGTGATTAAAATAATATTGGTAGGAGTAGTTGGCTTAAAGAGACTGATAAAGTTTTGGAAGTACCCAGTCAAAATGACGGCTCTTACTCATAGATTCCTAACTTATGAACTATTGCCTAGCGCACACTAGATCAACGGCTCAGGTAAGTATCTGAGGAAACCTAACAATGAACAAGGATATACTTTGCGATTACGAAGACAGTTCTCTCTCGCGTGGTGATATCATCCATTCACTAGGTCGAAACATGCGCGATCAAAACACGGCAGAGCGCTCAGACCATCCAAACAATGCGCCATTTTATGGCCTTCCTATTGGCCAATTGAGGTGCTGCATCGACCCAGCTTTTCCTTGCAATGAACTAATAGAATTGCGCTGGGGACGCAATTTCCGTAGATTGGCTCACTTACAAGATAGTGGGGCTATCTTCCCCTGTTATATATATTTTATCTTCCTCAGATAATATAATCTATAAGTAAGCTGATTATATAAGTAAGCTAATTACTTCTATCTATCCCTTATATAATAAAGTTAATTAAAATAATAATAGCTAATTATCTATAATAATAATACTAGAAATTATTTTATTAGATTTCTCTCTAGTCTTTCTATAAGTTCAGATATTATAATTAGACTTTCTATAATTACTATATTATAGAGTTTTTATATAAGCCTGTTCTTTCTAACTACTATTTCTATAGTTTTCTTCTCTTAACTATTTATCTATATTCTTCTAATCTAATAAATCTATTTTATTCTATATAGTTAGGAACTCTTTAAGCTATATATAGCTTTTTTTAGCTCTTTAGTACTTACTTAGTATCTTATTTACTATATAAAGATTATAGATCTTAGTATATAAAAGAGCTATTTAGTATATTATTATAATTACTCTCTTTATAAATTAATTTACTATAGTTAGTATAGAGATTAGAAAGCTATTTTAATAAGCTAAAATTTAAGATTTAATATATTTAGACTATATACTTATCTTATATATAGTCTATAGTATCTTTAGAACCTAGAGCTACTTTATTTTAGATAGGGTTTCTAATAGTATTAGTATTTATAGTACTATATCTAGCTTTAAAAGAACTCTCTCTGGATTATATAGTATTAGACTAGATCTAATAAAATCTATTTAAATATTTTTCTCTATAAAGAAGTAAAAGAAGATTATATAAAAAGTAAAGAGAAATTTAAGCTTACTAATATAGATAATATATATTTATATTAGACTTTTAATCTCTTATCTATATAATTACTTAAGTAATCTAAAGTAGCTAATATCTAGTAGCTAAAGAAGATAGAAAGAGTAAGAAGATATATAAACTATAATAATTTTCTACTCTTAATAGTAGATTTTAAAGTTAGCTAAATAATAGCTCTTATAGCTATTAAGAATTAGTATTTAATATACTCTTTTTATATAAAGAGCTATATAGAAGTTAAAGTATTTAATCTAATTCAGACTAATCTTATTAATAGTCTAACTATTCTTAGTTATTATAAATTATTAGTTATATAGTAGATTATATTTCTAATACTAGTTCTTAAAGTAATATTAGATAGCTAGAATAATAAAAAAAGAGATAATCTAGTTAGCTATATTTATTCCTTAGATTATAATTACTTATTTCTAGTTATTAAACTAAATTAGCTTAGTTTTTATATAATTCTCTAAGATTATAACTATTATTCTAGAGAAGATAATATCTATTATAAAGTTAGTTTTATTAAAGTTATATAGATCCTTATCTAGAATATTATATTTTACTTTTAGATTATATATAAGATTAAAATAAGGTATAATAATCTTTAGATCTTTATATTTAGCTCTCTAATAGTTATATTTCTAAACCTAGTATATATAGAGCTCTAGTTATTATTTAATAAAGTTAGAAGCTTAATTAATACTAATAGAGAATATATTATATATATATAGTAGGATATTAGCTATTTCCTTAATACTATATATTCTAAGAGGAAATATATATATAGATAGCTTAAGTATATATAAAATAATAACTTTCTCTTTAGATTTTAATAGATTTATTAATTTTAATTAAGTATTATATTTTACTATATAACTAGTATATTAGTTATAAAGAGTTATATATAGGATTTAATAGACTTTTATTACTACTCTAATACTTAATTTTAGGTTTTAATTAAGAGCTTAGATTATAAGGATAATATTTACTTTATATAAAGTTATATTTATTTTATAGTAGAAAGTTATTTAATTATAAAGAGAAAGTTCTAATTTCTGGATAGAAGTAATCGGCTTACTTGTATGATCGGCTTACTTGTGGATTACGTTACTTATTTTTTTATTAAACGCTGTTTCAGGGTGATCTCTAGATGCAAGCACTACAGCCCAGGCGAAGCTTTTGCCGTCTCTGGCAACCCCGTGCCTGTGAGATGTTTGAAAGTTTGAAATCATTCAAAATAAATTCCCAAATCTTGCTTTTGGTACCGTTTGCTCGGAAGCTAGACTATCATCTCAACGGCTCGCTCCGAAAGTGTTCTCGGTGGAAGTAGGCGGTGGAAGTAGGCGGTGGTCTTGGTGTCGTGATCTGATTTATACAGATATTATTATCCGCAGGTGTCATCTCCTGACAAATTTTAACGCACTAAAATATATTTTATTGTTCTAAGCTATCTAGGGCCTTGCTATCATGTCCACTATCTACACATATTACTGCTCAATCGTTTTAACTTCATGATCCTATCAACTTTCTAAGCTCATCATACTCGCCAGTATGCTTAAGCATCTCCCAGAACGCCCCTTTGGATTTCAATAATTCGCTCGGCGTGCCCATCCTGCAGTTTGGTCAGCAATTCATAGCTCAGTCCAGCAATGTAGCGGTACAGACTTACTCGACGACTTTTCCTTCTCCTATAACAATGACACGATCGTAATCCACGACGGTACGCAGGCGATGAGCGATAGCGATAATGGTAGAGCCAACAAACTCTGACCGGACCAGTCTCTGCATTCTTGCATCGGTCTCGTGGTCTACCGATGCCGTTGCCTCGTCCATGATGATAACCTTCGAGCGGCGACACATGGCGCGCGCGAGGCCGAAGATTTGACGTTGGCCAGTACTGTACTTCGTGCCGCCGCTTGCAATGGGCGTATCGGTCGCGAGTTGGGCCTTGGGGACTGCGCCGTTAATGCTTTGCGCCATCCCCCCTTCTTGTGATAAACTATATGTTTGAAGGACAGACTGCAGCTCTGATTGATCTGCCTCTGACAAGGGGTCCAGGTTGGATTGGGCGTCGCCGGAAAAAAGTACAGTCTCCTGAGGAATGAGGCCAATGGCCTTCCTCAAGCGTCGCAAGGGCACCTTGGTAATATCAACCCGGTCAATGAGGATTTGTCCAGCACTGATATGTGTAGAGCGTAACATGGAGAGCCCTAGAGTACTCTTGCCGCTGCCCGTTCGCCCAACAATTGCGATCCGCTCGCCGGGCTTTGCGTCAAGATTGATATCCTGCACTACATCTACCTGATCTGGCGCATATCGAGCCCTCAAGTTGCGAATCTCTGCCCTGCCGCAAGTTGGCCAGGCCGCTGGGATCTTGTTCTTGGCCAGCAAAGCTTCAGTCTCGGCGGTTTCTTCAGGTTCAACCTTCGTATAGTCGTGAATACGTTGAAAAGAATTCAGCTCGACCTCCAGCTCGTTCATATTCCTGATCAAGGTCAGGATGGTCTGACTGAGCCCGATAGCGTTTGTCAGGGAGAACCCAACCAGACCGGCTGAGCCCGACTTGGAGTAGGCAAAATATCCAGCCGTCGCGGCAATTGTTGCTGCACAAAAAAATCAGATTTGATTGAAACCCACCTGTTACAGTTAAACTGGGCTTCAGCGGCTCGCATATGTTGGGCGATTTTGTCAGCAAGCACCTGTTGAAAAACTCCATCCATGGATCGCTGTGCTCGAATTACCGCCATGCCGGCTGTTGTTTCGTTGAAGTGGGAAAAGATCAGTGCAAACTTGATAGAGACAATCCTCTTGATAGATATCTCTGCTCTTGAATACATCTCGCCGGTTGCGAATCCTATGAGGCAAAACAGCCCGGCCGGAAGAGCAAATATCGGCATAATGGACGCGATGCTGGCCAGCCGGAGCACAAAGCGCAGCCCATTGTCCAGCGTCATGCGCAGCCAGCCAGTCAATTCTGCATCAATAGATTGAGTATCAGGTCCAAAACGACTGAGGATCTGCCCAATTGAGACACTCCTGAACCAAGAGTTGGGTGCTTTAACGACGGCATTCACAAGACGCTGATGCATGGTTCTGGATGCATGCCAGCCTCCTCGTTGGAATATGAAGTTATTCGAAAATTGGAGGAGAATGAAGCCAGCCACAGTTCCAGCATACACGTATAAGTAGAATCGCTGGTCTGGAAACTGGTGGGCCTTGTCGTCTCTGGCATTAGTCCATACAGAAAGCCAGAGCGTGATCGAGAGGTAGGCCAACTGCACGATAAGAGCACTGCATAAAGCCAGCGAGGCGTGAGCCGCACCGCCAAATAGTAGCATATATCTTAGTACTGTGACAAGGTGAGCATGTGCTAGCGCGAGGTACTGGAGGCGGACAGGGTCGTGACTGACTCATTAATCTAGGCACTCGGCCAGAGGCTTGTTTTTCTTCCGGCCCATCAACATCCCGATGATTCAAAGTAGATATGCTACTGGACTGGACTTCGGCCTCAGTGTCCTCCGAGGATCCATTGCTGGGCGTGTAGCTCAGGATCGTTTCCGTCGCCCCTGCTTTCAAAGTGCTCCCAACATCTCTATTTGAAGACTGTTTGTCAGAGTCTTGAGAGACGACAGACACAATGCCTCTATCCATTGAGATTAATAAATCTGCATCCTCAATCGCGGTTGCTAAATGCGTGACGAGAATAACTGTTCGGCCAGCTAGAAGCTTGGTAGGGAAGCACCGATTGTAGACCCGGGACGTAGTGTGGGCATCCAAGGCAGAAAAGATGTCATCCAAGAGCAAGGTAGAGGCAGATGAATATAACGCCCTGGCTAAGGAAATGCGTTGCTTCTGGCCGCCTGATAAGGCAGATCCTCGCTCTCCAACCTATGTCAAGTCGCCTAGAGGCAAACGGCCCAGGTCATCCGAGAGGTCACAGGCATGCAACACGGAATTGTAACGTTCTTGCTCATGGTCGCTATAGAAGATGATGTTTTGTCGGACCGAAGTACTCTGAAGCCATGTCGTCTGAGGATCATAGGCGACATCATCCGGGCATGTGATAAGTCCATTGGCAAGATTCGTTTCGCCTAGCAAAGATAGTAGAAGGAGCGACTTGCCGCTTCCTGTCCCTCCGCTGACCACATTGAGGGCCGCCAGGCGGAAAGAGACTGAAACATCACGCAGCATAAAGGAGGAGTGTTCAGACCATCGCATAGTGGCATCCCGCAACTCTGGCGGACCGTGCGGATGGCGCTGTCGTTCCGCGGTCGCCTCAAGGAAGCTATCAACCCGAATGAGCGAGCCGCGAGCCTGAGAAACCCATTGGATTACTTTGCACAACCAGACGAACTGCGATCGCAATGTTTCGGTGATGGCTACAGATGTGAATGCCATGAGTGCACGCAAAGGAGTATTTGTGAACAACACAAGAGAGACGAACATGGCAAGTAGGCTCACGAGGGACATCAAGTCTCCAGTCATGGAGACGAGCATGGAGGCCACATTGCGTTTCCAAATCCTTTGCTGTTCGGTTTGACGAATTGTGTTGATATTATCAACGACCATGGGCTCCCATGCGAAATACTTTATTGTAGGGAGCGTATGTAGATACTCGGACAGACGACCCAGCCTGAGGTCGGTAGCCTCCATGACATATCGGTGGAGTCGCGACATTCGCTGAGAGAATATAGCGGGAAGAGGCGTGAGGACGGCCATTACGCCTATCCTGACGAGCGAGGGCTAGCCGAGGAGCCGATATAGGGAAGTCATTGCCACCGCTGTCGAAACAAGGCTCGCGGTAAGCGTATAGAAGAGGTCAGACGAATTCGATATCATGTCGGCATCATAAGAAACGAGACTTTCTGTCTTCACAGAATATGACATCGGAGAGTCCATTGGTTCTTCTTCTTGCGGCACTTCAGGGGCTCCTGATCTATAATATTCATCGGACATGTGGACGGACTCTTCGCCTCGAGAGCAAATCATTTTCTGATATCCCCGCTGGTGGCGTTGCGTCGTTTGGAAGCATTGTTGTCAAGGGTTTCGGCTACAGTACACTCTATTCCACGCTCCTTCTTTGTCCCCTGGGAGTCATCCAGGCCATTTGTCTTTTATTTGGAGGCTGGATGACTTCCCGATTCAAGAACATTCGCACATGGCTTATTGCTGGTATGTTTATGCTTACTCAACTTCCTCCTCCACGCATTGAATCAGGGAGGTTGAATACTAACACAACGGCACAATATAGGTTGTCAAATTCCCGCTCTTATTGGATCTGTTCTGCTATTTACCTTGCTAAGGTCCAACCAGCGCGGGCTCCTTGGCTCGTATTACGTTGTCCAGACTCACGGCATTGAGGGTACTCTGACCATGTCCTTGCTTTCTAGCAATTTCGCAGGATATACGAAGAAGGCAACAGCCTCCGCCATGATGTACATCGCTTTTTGTGCTGGCCAAGTTGTTGCGCCGCAGCTTTTCCTATCATCTGAGGCACCTGTATACGAGACTGCTTTCCGCGCCTCTTTCATATACTTTGCTTTGTGCATCGTCGCCACAATTGTTCTCAGATATTACTTGATTTGGGAGAACAAGAGGCGTGACAGCTTGACTCTGACTGAAAGTGTTCCGACCACTGAGGGTGGGGAGTTCCTGGACTTGACGCATAAGGAGCAGAAGCATGTGTTCCGGTATGTGTTGTGTAGGTACGCCTCTGGCCTTCCCAACTTGGGATGCTCATTTCGGCTCCGGTGCCCGCCGAATACAATTAGAAGGATGGAAGATGAATAATGGGATGGATGTATTAGATATAATAACACTTGTTTGTGGCAGATGATTTACGCTCTAGTCCACTCATTGATCGTGGTTCGCTGGGATGGATGGCTGGTGTACCAAGTCGCATGCTTCCCATGACTAGCTGTACCTTGTTTAAGTTGAATGGATTATACCTAGTTTTAGGTGTTCTTTATCAGTCAGATCATGAGATTCACTAACAGGTTGGAAGATTACTTGCAAAATTATTTATTACATTAAATTTCAACATCATCTTTCAACAGAAGTAAAGCTCAAATTTGACTAGATATATGGGAACGAATGAAAATATGCGATAGGATTAACCGGAGTCAATATATGACCTCCAAAGTGACAGTTCCGAGTCTTTACAATAGCAACACGGAGCCAGTTGCAGCTGCGTACTTATTGTGAAAACCGACTTTGCTAATTTTTCATCTTGTTTGAAGTACCCAACCCAAGGTTTCAAATAGAGGCTCAGCGCCAGAAAGGATTCCTCGAAGGGAGCCATGTCTCGAGCTAGTAAAAACGCCGTGATAAGATGATTCATCTCAATTGGTTGTGTAGGGGTCGATTAGTCGGCCCTCATATGCATCGGTCGTCGGAATTTGCTTTCCTAATATGGCATCTAGCAAGCGAGCAACATCTTGAGAGTCGCCCGCATTTATCCTCCGGCAAATGATATGCAGCGAGAACAGTTGTGTATACTCATAATAGCTTGTAAGACGCCAAAAAGGGTAGGACTATGAATTGTCTTTCGACCGTTATGCAGTTGATGGTGAATCCTTTCATCCTTCGCACGGCTGAATTCGACATCTAGCCACAATGAAAAGCAATCTATTGGACGGCCGACCGCCCAACTGGCAAAAGCGACCTCGGACGCTAGCGTCCATGTTAAGAATTATCGAGAAGAACTTTCTACTTTGTTGTACTGTCGCCGCTCTAACGACTTACCTCCTCGTTAGCCACAACTGGCATGGTATATCATCAAAGAAGAGAACCCATCAAGGCCATTTCACGTTACCACCAGAAGACCTCGACTATGGGCTGCAACAATGTGCTTTGAACCAAGTAAGACCCATCGTGAATTGGGATTCAGCCGCGACCCGTCTTGCCAAGGCTCGATCTGGACCGCGGACTATCCTGATACATGCGACACTCATTGACGGAGATGAACAAGTTTCTCCCGGCTGTACTATCGAGATGCAGGACGGAATCATCGTCGGTTTGAGTACAGTGGCGTCATTAGCAGAGACTGCCAGTCACTCAGCCGATACCACTGAGATAACTTGCACGGTCGAATTGTTACACCAGGCCTGGTTGATATGCATTCCCACATTGGAATCCGCGAGACGCCCCAGCTTTGGGCAACGGAGGATGTGACTGAGAGTTCCTCGCCTGTTACGCCCTGGGGCCGAGCCGTTGACGCCATCAAGGCCAGTGACCAGGCGTTTCCGGTGGTTGCGAGTGGAGGGGTCACCACGTCCTTGGTTTTGACGGGTGCAAAGAACTCCATATCTGGAGAAGGTGCGGTTCTCAAGATGAAGAGAGGAGACTCAGTGAGCGACCTCCTTGTCAACCTGACCGAGTTTGGTGGAAAGCCTCAGCGGTATTTGAAAATGGCCATGGGCGAGAACCAGAAGAGGCAATTCCAGAAGGTCCCTGGCGGACCAGTGTCGAGGCTAGGTGAATCATACGTCTATCGGAAGGCGTACGATAACGCGAGGCGAGTTAAGCAAAGCCAAGACATGTGGTGCGAGATGGCAACGGCAAAGGCCGGTCGAGCAAGACTTGCGACAGAATATCCTCGTTCGCTGGAATGGCAGACTCTAGTCGATGTTCTTCGCGGTGACGTACGCGTTAACATCCATGGATATGAGACTGAAGATATCCTCGCAATGTTTGATCATTCCGATGAGTTTGGGTTCAATATCATAGCCTTGCATCACGGTTTGCACGCGGATTCTGTTGCCGATGAGGTGAAAAGGAGAAACGTTGCGGTAGTTGGGTTCACCGACTCCTGGGGTGACAAATGGGAAAACTACAATGTCAGCCTCTACTTTCCGAAGAGAATAGCAGATCATGGAATTCCTCTTGCTTTCACGCGTGATCATCCGGCATTACATGGACAGTTTCTTATATACGAGGCCCAAATCGCTCACCACTTTGGCGTTGACGCCAAACTGGCGCTCTCGTCAGTAATGTCGGTCCCAGCTAATTTGATTGGCTTACATAACAGGTAAGTTATCCCCAAATAGAAGTGGCACATATTTAGGGTCCTTGAGCAATGGCTTACACATGACCAAGAATAGGATTCGTACGTCCAGGCTACGACGCAGACCTTGTGGTTTGGGACAGACATCGGCTCAGGGTGGGCGCCAGCCCTCTTCAAGTCTTCATTGAGGGTCAAAGCGTAGTTAGAGCCGCATCCGACGTATGGCACCGATCACGAGAACATCCCACAGATGCTCCTCCCTCAAGGCCTGAATCCGAAACAGACAAGTCGACCAATAATCCCGTGGGCCAAGAAAATTTGGTACTAACTGGCCTTACTAATAGTTTCATTGGTGTTGATAATAAGCGAAGTCAAGAGCTTAAAGGGTCTAATATGACTGCGATCATACAAAAGGGGAGAGTAACCTGTGTGGGAGGCGAAGACTGTGCCAACATGGCAGAGAAAGCAGCTGCGGATGGAGTGACTGTGGTGCATGTAGATAACGCTTTTATGCTTCCGGTGAGATACAACCCTTCGCGTTAGCATCTTTGATTCTATGTATGTGTTTTTGCTCACATTCTTTGTACTGCAGGGCCTTACCGTGGCCACGCGACAGCACGGCCTGGCTGAGATGGCCCTGGAACCCTCGACCACAGACGGTTCCTCGCCTGGAGATAATTTTGACAACCCCCCGGAAACTACGTTTGGGCTCACACTGGGCGGGATCCATCTGCAGAGCGCATACCATGCAGGTGTCACTCGCATAATCACTCCTCCTCTTACGACTGGCTTCTTCCACGGTATCAGTGCAAGGTTCAGGGCAGGGGCAACAAGTGGTAAATTCCCACGAGGCCTTTTTCTTTTTCTCGTGTGCTATCAACAATGCTAACCGACGTATACAAAGTGCTTGATGACGGGGCAATCTCGGACCCTAATGTTGCCCTACATTTTACCATTGGGCATGACGCAAAAGGTAGAATCAGTTTTAGTATATTAGAATATTTCATGCTAACACGGCCGAAAATAGGTCTCTCGACCCCATCAGTCTCAATACAGATCCAGAAACTGCGAGACCTTTTAATCTCCAATAAACCCCCACTCGGCTTTCCAGGGAGCTGCTGAAGGTAGCATTCCTATCGTCGTTCATACAAACAACAAAGACGTTATCGCACACATAATTGCCTTGAAGCGCGAGACCCATGCTCACATAGTGATAATGGGTGGCGCCGAGGCCCATCTGCTTGCCACCGAGCTCTCAGAAGTTGATGTCCCAGTTATTGTTGCTCCGTTCTGGGGTTGTGAGCCTCTCTTCTGGGACTCTCGCCACTGCCTTCCTGGGCCACCCTTGACTGATAATCTGGGACCCCAAGTGCTGATAGAGGCTGGCGTGACCGTCGGCATAGGCAGCTGGGATAACATGAATAATCATATCCAAAGCAGTATATGGGAGGCCTCGTGGCTGGCAGGGCCCGCTAACCATAGTCTAGCACTTGATCTCGTGACTACAAACGTTGAGAAGGCCCTGAAGCTCTCGGAGGCCAGGGATGTTGTGGTCTATGAGGGGATTCCGTTCGAGTTTGGAGCTCGTGTTGCGCTGAGTCTTGAGGAGGGAATTATTCGCAGTTTTTTTCCGAGTGCCGACGCAACGGAGTAAGAGGGTTCACTATTGGTATTTGAGTTGAAATATATAAAAAAGTCATTCGTGAGGCGATCGCGGATGCAATATTGTCCAGGATAAAAAGAATATCATGAGCCCCTTCACCTGGAACCTGGTCTTCCTACTCTGTTGTTTGTGGGCCAACGGGCTCTATTGTATTTATGCACTCAAAGTTGCAGGATATAGAATCTAGTGCATTTTTCAAAAGAATGCCCTTGCGCCATCGTCAAGTTATCAGGGCGGAAAATTACCTGGGCTAAGAAGGCTAGGAGTTTAGTTAAGGAGTGACGTTGAGAAAGCATCTCAATAAATACTAAAGGAAACAAACGGAGTCCAGAATGTAGCCTGTTCTTCACAAGGGACAATATCTTATATTCCATTTGAATTATCTGCTCCTGCACCGCACCGCATTGTTCTGTGTTTTGTTTTTCAAGTAATCTACTGATCGCGGAGATTTTTATAATTACTTGGTGAAGACCTTCTACACAGGCGTCTCTTCCATATTCTCATTCTTGGCCTATGTATAATTCATCTTCGCGATCTGAGAACAATATAAATCGCTCATTTTCTATAGAATCCCCATCATATTACGGCAACCCGTTAGCTGGTATATACTGTTAAACTGCAGTCCTCCATCCGCAAGTTCCTCATCCTCAGTACTGCCTGTGCTATGTGCAGAAAGGCAGGCCAGAAATGAAGCATGATCAGAAAGTGCTATATTAATCACGGCTGATCGTTTATCTTCAACGAGCTCCTTGATAATTATCTCGAGCGTCAAGCAGAGTAATTTTTCGAACGATGATAAATTCCGCCGCAAGGGCGGTGAAATACATAGATTAGAGACATTATGCTGCACATTCTTTTCTTCGCTGCACGGTCTGTTTCAACTTTATTTAGTTTTGGCAAATTTTGTTCTTTGGGCAACCAGTCATTCTCTAACTATGTGATCTCTGTATGATGCATTATGCACTATTGCACGTTACTGAGGTAGATACTGCTGACTGGACAACACCCCCCGCGACGTTATGGTTGATGCCCAATCGATACCCAAACTATTTGATTACACTTCGCAGCAGAGTAACGGACAGAAAGCAAATCTGACGTTGCACAATCCCAGAATCTAGAGGATAATTCTTACATTCTAGTTTTCACTATGCGCCTCCTAGACGCAGAGACGTATCTTTTGAAGGACTCGCATGACCACCTTCAGGCCGAACCTTATGCCATTCTGTCGCACACCTGGACTGATCACGAGATAACCTTCAAAGACCTTGCAACCAACGGCAGCCAGGAAAAGCTGAGGGCAGATGTCAAGATTTCGGGGTGTTGTAAGAAGGCGTCAGCCCATGGCCTAAACTATGTCTGGATCGACACCATCTGCATCGACAAGAGTAGCAGTGCCGAGCTGTCCGAGGCCATCAACTCCATGTACGAATGGTACTCGGGCGCGGCTGTCTGTTATGCTTACCTCTTAGATGTCAGCTCCAGCGACCCCAACGTACGTGAGTCAGAGTTACGTCGGAGCAGGTGGTTCACGAGAGCATGGACCCTCCAGGAGCTGCTGGCGCCCCGCGAGGTTGTATTCTACGACTCCAGCTGGCGGAGGATCGGACGCAAGGTCAAATCCCGTCCAGGTGAGGACTTCCACCTCAAGCCTTTTGATCAGTTGCTCGGGGATATCAGTGGGATAAGCACAAATTACCTTGTCGCCTCCGCATCCATCGAGAGAGCCGAAGTGGCTATGAAGATGCGATGGGCGGCCCGCCGACAAGCAACTAGGAGAGAAGATGTAGCCTACTCTCTAATGGGTATTTTCGGTGTCAACATGGCTATGCTCTATGGAGAAGGCGATAAAGCCTTCACCAGACTCCAGGAACAGATAATTGCCAACTCGGACGACGAAACGATATTTGCGTGGTCCCATCTGCCGAATGGCAGGCACAGCCATAGTCTCTTGGCCGAGAGCCCCGCGGATTTCGAAAACTCAATGAACGTGTATGGAGACAGCTCACTCTCAAGCCAGCCGCAATTCTCTTCCCATTATTCATTGACCAATAAAGGTCTCCTCATTGAGCGGCAAATGTTGGCCTTGCCCGAGCCATTTGGGGGCTTTCTGTTGCTTCTGGGATGCGCATATAACCCATATGGAGCACGGCCTATCATTCCCGATCTGCCAGTCGCCGTGTTGCCTCTGATGCCCTCGACTGCATCCAGAACGACCCACGGTCAACTGCAAAGACCTAGCGGTGTTGCAGTAGTGGGCATCCGGCGGAGGTACATCCGAAACAGGACGATGAAAGTTTACATTGCAAAATCAGTGTCCAGCCATCCCGCTTTTGGACATCGCGGGCTGCGCTTATCGACCAAGAGCGGTGTGCTGACAGCAGACCTTCATCTCCTCGAATCGTATCCCTTGTCTTGGGAGGTCCGTCTTGATAATGACGCTTTTGTCCGGCCCCTCCAAGACACTGCGAGCTCACACGGCGAGAAATCCCAACAGAGGCTTCTGCTGCGCGTGAGAGGTTCTAACAATGTCGACTACGTAGTGAGCCTCGAGTATGCGTTTACCTCTGAACGCCCGATCTCACTGGGCTTTGATATCACCAAAATGCATGGGCATCCGTCGTTGGCGGACCTGATCCTTGAGAAACACGGCAATGTACTGCGCGGAACAAACAACTCGCATGCTACCTCGGAGGACGGATGTGTCAGCCTGGGCTTGGATAAAACTGATCCGCACTCCTGGATTCTGAGGTTTCATACGAGAAACGAGAGCTGAGAAAACACCCATGCCTAACTGATGAGAGAGATCAGACACAGCATCTCTGCTTGATATCTTTGAAAGATCTGCACCGACTTCAAAGCTCTAATAAGTATCGGCTCTGCATTGTAGTTGTTCAGCATTATACTTCCAGCAGGATATCCCCGGAACATTTTTGCGGCATTGTTGTGGAGGCATTGTGAGGAGCTAAGTGCACTGCGTTGATTGTTGAGGGCGTTTCCATGAACCTGAGTTCGAATGTTCTAGTGTTTGGTGGATCTAGCTTTTCTTCTTTCTTCGCTGGAATAACAGCACCGACTTTGATCACGTCGCACAGGCAGCACATTTACACTCATGCGCCGTTAACCTATCTCGCGGAACAAGCCACGAGTCCCGAAGTGCAGGGTGCGATAATTCTGTCGAGTCAAAATGAAACCAATTGAAAGAACTAGCCATTTCAAGCTGCCGAATCATGCTCCAATGCTTTGCTTGGACATGGTTCCGCTTGATGTTTTCGCCCCCCCACTCATCAAACGATGTGGATTGGTGATGCGCGGCGCCGGGTACCATGAACGGGTTCGTGGATACTGGTGCCATGTCCGTGCACGGGCACAATCGTCAGAAGGGCACTGTCAAGGTCGCGCAGATCATTTGAGATGTGCTCCATTTTAGCCGTGGGTCGGTGGAGCAAGTACCACATCGCCGACACACAACACATGGATCAATTGAGCGTGCTTCTCGACAGCATTACACAGAATTACAAGTCGCATTGATTGGACTTGTTGCGACTTCTACTTATGGCGTGAGGCTTGATCATTACTATTTCGCCAATGTCCTTTTTCGGCCATCATCACAAATAGTAGCAGGGATCTGGCTGATTATGGCGTATTGCCCTTGCGTGTATGCCTCCAGGTACAGACGCCAACAACACATTACGCGTGGCATATGTTGGTTTGGCGCGCTGACGTTGATTCACCTATCTATAGACCACCCCGAGTGGTTTCAGCCTCAGCACTCCCCGGCGTCTTCACGAGAAGAGCTTCGCATCGCCCAGGCCAATCTGAAGAATAGTCTTGGCCGACTGATTTCTCTAGCTGATATTCTTCAGACTGAAGTCTGGGATGTCATCGCCATCCAGGACCCCTCTCTGCATCTGGCATACAAAAGGATCCCCGGATACCAGGTGTGGTTCTCTACAGACCGACAACTCACAGAGGATGACAATCCGTACTTCAAGACAAGAGGCAAGAGTAAAGCAAGTCGAGCCAAAGCGAAAAAGGCCAAAGCGAAAAAGGCTAAGATAGGACTCGTGGCATTCTACGTCGGCACACATGTTTTGAAGAGGTGGAGGGTCACAAGGCATCAGGGAACGAATTATGATCTAGTCGCGACACTCATGCTCCCAACAGACGCTGGGATAATGCAGATCAGCAATGTATACAATCAGTACGGCAACCTGGATCTCGACCTGTTTTCTCTGCAGTGCATGGGCCAATCCTTGACTGTCATCCTCGGCGATTTCAACATTCCTCATCCCGATTCGCCCAAAGCCACTCCGGTCTCTCGAAGGTTGAAGCAACTCGCTCAAGGAGCGAGCCTGCGTTGCCTGACGCCAGCGAGGGAAATCACCTACTCGCGTTCAGCTTCCCTGCGCTACTCCTCCACCATCGATCTCTGCTTCGTGAGCTGGGATCTCGCGCAGAGACTCCCGGACACGGCCGCTGCCTGCCAAGTCTTGTCTCTCGCCGGTTTCAGGTCAGACCACCGCATCGTCCAGACGACCCTCAACGTGGAGCCGATCCTGTCGGATGAGATGCACTACATTTGGAGATCCGTGAACCAGGACAGGTTTCGAGAGGCGATGAGAATCGCATTGCAACCGCTGGAGGATTATCCACTCGACAGCAAGGAGCAGATTGACTGCCACATTGCGAAGCTTCTGGAGATCATGCTGTCCGTGGTCAATGACCACGTCAAGCGGAGGGGCCCGCAACACTGGGTCCGACCCAAGTCTGTCCCAGACACGCTGGTTCAACTTCTCGCTGATGAGAGTGAGCTGTACAACAAGTTTTGCGACACGGGCGAGGATGGCGACGAGGAAGCTTGGGAGGAAGCATATGCAAAAGCCATAAACTACTCCCAGTGCCTCAAAAAGACCAAGTTCCGCGCCGCTGCGGCAGGCAAAGAGGGTGAAAAGTCGGTCCACGGACGCGTGAGGCGAGCCAAACGGATGGACATGCCCCATCAGGTGCCCTGCCTCAGCAACGTCCGCGTGGGCGACAAATACATCATGGATCCGGAAGAGCAGGCCAGGGCCTTTGCCGAAGCAATCTGGCCCGTCGTCTGCCCTGTCACGGAGCGAGACCAAGCCATGCCTGACTCTTTAGCTGGAAGTTAGGGTAGAGATAGCTCCGGGTACACGTTCGACGAGCTCGTGGAAAAACTCGCGGTGCGACGTGACAAGTACGAACATGACAGCTGGGAGAGTGAGAAAATCAACTACCAGTTGATATTGGAAGAGGGGGAGCTCCTCAGAATCATCAACAACCTTCCCGAGGGCAAGTCTGCCCTCCCAGACGGCCTGGGCAATGAAGCCTTCAAGAAGAGCAAGGACGTTTGCATTCCTTTCCTGGAACGCTGTATCAAAGCCTGCCTCAAGCTATACTACCACCCCGGAGCCTTTAAGCATTCGATTGCCCTTATGCTGCGCAAGGCAGGCAAGGAGAACGATGATGATACTAAGAGCTGGCGGCCCATTGAGCTACTGTCACCGCTAGGCAAGATCTTTGAAAAGGTTGTGGCCGACAAGATGAGAGACTTGGCGGCTTTTATGAAGTCGCTACCCCAGCACCAATACGGTACAAAGGGCCGGAGTACCACAAAGGCAGTCCAGCACCTGCAAAACATTGTGTACCGGTCTTGGAACTTCACGAGCGGTGGATCCCATGGCATAAAAGGATACAAAACCGCGTCGCCTCGCCGTATAAAGCGGACGGTGGCCAGCCTACTGGGCTTCGACATCAGCGGAGCGTACAACCGAGTCCCCTGGGACAGGCTCATTGACGTTCTCATCAATAAAATGTTGGGGGATTCGATCGTCATGTTCTGCTGGAGCTTTCTCCAAGGCCACACCACCACCCTGCGCTTGCCCAACCATGACTCTGTTCCTTACTGGCTGGGCATCGGGATCCCTCAGGGAAGTCCGCTCTCCCCGATCCTATTCCTCTTGTTCATCTCTGGGCTCCTCGAGGTGCTTGATAGGAACAGCAACCTCCACGACATCAACGCCGAGTGCTACCCATTTGGCTACGTCGACGACCACTACCTCGTGGTAATATCTCCCGACTACGAGACCAACTGCAGGGCCTTTGAGCGCATGACAGAAGTCCTGAAGCGTTGGGCAGACGAGAACAAGGTCGTCTTCAACCCGAAAAAGTACGTGGTGATGCACTTCCGGCGGCCGCGGTCCAGAGACAAGCGGAGCCAGGAGCGAAACGCGCTCAGGGAAAAGAGGTCAAAAGGAAGGGCAAATAAGTCGAAAGGAGGGCCAAAAGCCGTTGCTAAAGACCACGACAACGACAACAACAACGACGACGATGAGCCAACCACATTCTCACCCATATCCGACGAGATCCCCCGCATTGACGGGGTGCACGGTAAGATGAGAACGATGTGGCGTATGGGGGGCGCGACTTGGGGGATATCTCTCGTCCACATGAGGCAGTGGTACCTGACCACGGTCCGCCCCATGATCACGTATGGCTGCCAGGCGTGGTTCCTCCCGCCCGCGGCGAAAAATCTCAAGTGGCGGCTGACTCAAAAGCTGATGGCGCAGCTCGAGTCGCTGCAGTATCAATGCCTACTCCAAGTATCAGGCGCCATGCGAAACACGCCCCGCCATATGCTCCTAAAGGAGCTCGGCATCCCGAGCCTAGAAGTCTACATGACGTCGCTGGTTATGAAGCATGCCGCTTATATGATCAACACGCCCGAGCATTCGGAGTTGGAGCGGATTCGCCAGCTCCCCATGTATAAAAAGTGTTGCTACCGTGCTCATCCTTTCCACTGCCTATTCACATACGCCGCGATACTAAGGCATTGTGCTAGGGAAGAATGGCTGCTATCGAAATTCCCTGGCAGCAATGGAGGCCTGGGAAGGAAACAGACAAAGAAAGCCATCTCGAATTACTTCTCGCGGATGGAAGACGCCCAGGCCAGCAGCGAGTGGGCAGACTATGCCAAGGCTCATCGACATATCAACCACCCCCTCTACAAGGAAAAATGGAGCGGGAAGAACTTCCAACTATACAGGGGAATGGACCGCCGTACAAGCACCATGCTCTTGCACTGCCGCACCAACTGCATTGGGCTCCGCTGGCACTTGCACAAGAGGTTTAATATCACCAACGATGAGGTTTGTCTACCCCCCGCACATGCCCTCAATGCACCTGCGACCATGAATTGAACTGACCCGCCGCGTGAACAGGTCCCCGATGAGAAGTGCCCCTGCGACGGCGGCCCACACACGCCACACCACCTCTTTGTGGAGTGCGCGAACCTAGCAGAGGCGAGGATCCCGCTCAAAGCCCAGCTCAGAGCCCAGCTCAATGGCCGCCTGGATACTTTGACCCTCTGGACTTCCCTCGGTCGTGCCGGGCCCGCAGCAGTGTTGTCGCAGTGGGCCATCGAGAATTTTGGTATCAGCCAGTTCCAGCCCGCAGGCGCGAGCCTTGATGAGCTAGATACTGAAAAGGGTAGCTCCCAGAATACTTAGTCAATCCCAGAGATACCCTCACTGTGTTGTCTTTCATTGTGTTAAAGGTTTAAAAGCTTTTTTTTATTAAGGCTATCCTCTTCCAAACCCTGATTTCATCCACGTCTTTTCCTCCCTTCTTGTCAGTAAGTCTGCGTTGAGTGTTACTACCCAGATATGCAGAATTTGACTGACCAGATCTTGAGTGTAGGTGCCACCGGTATGGACTGAGAACTACTTATATATATATATAAGCGGCTGCTAATACTCATAAAGCAGACGGCCCTACTTGTTCTTCTCGTTGACGGCATTCTGCTGGAACGACTCTGCCTTGGCCACGAGGAATTGGAACCATTCCAATCCCTTGTTAGTCTTATTCGAGTTTTCCTCACCTACATACAATAACTAACATGAGGACAGGCTCCTTAACGCCGAGATATTCTTGGTATCGAGTTCATCCTCGGGCACACGCCCAAGGATGTCTTGCCCAAAGTTGTAGAGAGCTAGAAGCTGCTCAGCAGAGAGGTTATTAAGCTTGTTTTCATCCAGCTTATTGACCTCATCTATATTGATTGCTTTGGCGAAGCCAGCGAGCTTGGGATTGCTAGTGCTGACTTTGGGCTTGGATATCGTTGGCCAGGTTATTTTCTTGCCTTTTCTCAAAGGCACTGAGATATCGTATGTATCTTACTCTATATTTATTTGAGGTCATGATTTCTAACTATTACCTTAGGTTATCTGCCATGATGTGTGTGTATAAGCCCTTGATGATTGACTCCTGTGTGCCATCATGGCTAATTTCCAGCTTGATTGTCGGGATAAACAGCGAAGGCTGCGGGCGTGTCAGTGTTAGTGCTCTGGCCAAGGGGCTACTGATACTCACTGGGTTGGTTGGTATGTAAGTACTTGTTCCCTATGCTAGTGAACAATCATGACTAATCTTTAGTCTTGCAAGCTGAAAAGATTCCCGCTCGGTGTGTAAGTTTGACCTCTATTTTATGAATAATGGTGGCTGATCGTTTATCTACTGTAGGTTGAAGTGTGTGGATTGGCGTGTGAGTGCTGGCTCCAATACTAACAAACAACTTTGACTAATTCTTGCCCTGTCGGCGAAGGATAGAAGACAAGTGTGTAAGTCCTTTTTGTCTCCATGATCACGGTCATCATAGCTAACAGGCAGTGCGAGACGAAGGAAGCCAGGTGAAGAGGGCAGCTTTAGTAGTCATTCGACGCGCAGCTCGTCCTGACGGCAAGCGAGTCATCGGCATGAAGGTTTACAGAATTTTCTGCCGTATGACTGCAGCCTTGGGCTAGCAAAGCTTTTTTTAACCTTTCGTATTCATTGTATTGAGTTGTTGGGTCTGACTTCTTCTTTTCTTTTAACTTTCTATCAAAACTCTCTCCGGTATTAAATATGAGACCCCATATGCGAGAACTTACTGCACAGTCGGTCGCCGTGACAGTTGATTTGACCAGTTGAATGCACTCCTGTAATCGATGCATGACAGTAGAGGCACATCCATACTTTGGGTGGCGGTGGGACGGGAGAAAGTAATGTGCCACCGGGGTCGAAGCATGACTCACGCCGGGCGGCCCAAAGCGAAAGGCAATGTAGGTAAGGTTTCAGAGGCTCCACAGGGCCGCAGATGGGGCTGGTGCCATGTGCCGAATGCGGCAGCGCTGGATGGGTATTTATAGAGCAAGCCCTTTTCTCCTCTCCGTCTCTATCTCCACCTCAACTCTCCCATCTTCACTATCCATATCAACCAATCTCACCATCCCTCCCCTACCTATTGCAAGCCTTACCCAAGCAAGCTATATTCTTCAATCCCTGCTATCTCCATCGCCGTCCATCATGGGTACATTCCCTTTTCTGCAACTTCCCCGCGAGCTGCGGGACCAGATATACTCCGACTACTTTTCTTCTCCCAATAACACCTACATCTTCGACTTCCCCTCCAAGAAGCTCCGCAAATCCGACAACAGCTCGATCGACGTTGCTTTAATTGCAACTTGCCAGGCTATTGCCCAGGAGACTCGGGGCCTGGCATTTCGCATCAACACCATCACGTTCAACACTATTTATTCCGATGACCTCCGCGCCCAGGCCTACCATTTCGACGCCATCCTTCGCCTCCGCACCTATGGTGTATCCTCCTTATTTGTGCGACACGCTGGATTAATGGATCATACAAAGATGCAAGATGTGACAAGCCGATACCCCAGGTTAATAACGGCCATAGAGGATTATAAGAAGTTCCTCACGGATCCTGACCATCGGTGGAAAGCGCTACGCAAGTGGGAGGGTGTAAGTATAGTCACACAAAATATCTTTGGTTCTTTGTCTCCCTCTTCCCAGCTAACCCAATTCAGCTCCGATACAGACAATATCGCGCCAGTCTTGCGGCCTTGCGGAGTTACATAGGGTCGCTTCCGGCCGATGCGAAATATCCATATCCCTCCAAACCTGATCGTCCCAGCGAAAGAAAGGCCGTGGAAGAATTCTTGGCGGTAGACATAAATCCCTGGGATATCCCCACCGAAACGGACCTTCTTGGCGATTTTCTTGAGTTGGCTAGTGGTATCAGTATCGAAAAACTACGTGGAGAGAAGTCCACTATCCACGAAGCCCAAAAGACCAAGATCTGTCACCCCGACAGTGGGAAATATCGCTATTCTGCGGCTGCAGCGGCGATTTGCTTCCTGCGCTCCACCACGCCGGATGCCCGCGCTCGGATGCGCAACATTCGGATTTGCGAAGACCTGCCTTCAGTAGCAGACCCTTCGTCTCATGCTCTTGGACTCATCCCGTTTTGCCAAGAAAATCCGGCTCTGCGTATAGTGCGTCGTGCCAGTCTCTGGAGGAACATTTTCTATGAGATTCAACCCCAATATTCATGGCAGCGTCGTATTCGCTACATACATCACCATGCGACTCATAGCCCTGGTTGGGCTCCGGTGGCTGGAGATCTCCCAGTGATGGACTTTGGAATGCCTGTAGCACGTTGGATGGCGGAAGCCGGTGATCTTAGCTCCATGGGAATGCCTGCGGGCCAATACACACTCGACCTTGATGGTGATCCCTTTTCGGAGCTGGCGACTAAAGTATTTAGAAACGGGATCCATCTAGCTGCCCTCCGGCAAGAAACCATGGCCAAGGCCCCGCTGGGGCCCGACGGTAGATGGAAATGGCACCCAGAATCCCATAAAAGTCAAGACTGGTTCCTCTGTGAGGGCTTCCCTGAGGTACTTGGGGACTTATCAAGCAACCCGCGATCCGGACTCATAACGTGCAACTTTGACCCGGGGAGCCCTCTTGGGACGCCGGAAGAAATCCTAGCTACGCACCCAGAGTGGCACCATCAGGATTGGGAATATGAGCTCCACGATTGGCCAGGGACTAACAAAGAGTGGCCGGGCCTGCAGCACGACGACGACGAATTAGTCTTGCTGGGTTGGGGCGAGGGGTTTATGGAAGACAACATGCTTGAAAGTTATCGTAAGAAATGGCCGAATGGGCCTCCTAACGGGCCAGGTGGACCTGAAGCTCCCGACTGGGTTGAGCCAACTGAACTCAGAGATGGCAGCGAGTACCAGCCAAATGACGCAGGAGGTAGCTAGGGGGCTACCGACGAGGACAAGGGCGGGAAAGCTGAGGGTTTTCATGAGATAAATGTTTACACACTCCATGTAGATGGTACTGGTTCGTCGAAGGGGTTAAGGCAGAAGGGTAGGTAAGTGGATAGCAGGTTCCTGGCCCTCGTCGGGCTTAGCAGGTCTTCGACAATTTCAACATGGACTATCTCTCTTGAAGGGTTGAAGAAACTTGACAGTGAAACTGTCAGTTGGGGCAATATTGTAACTCAGCCATCATATAGTGAGGTCTGATATTAATGATCACCTGATCGGCTGCCCATTGCAGAGAACAATCACAGAAGGATCTTAGAAAAGTGCAGTTTCCTATAAGAAGTAGGTATGCATACCGAAAAATCTAGACCATATGACTTTCTCTTCAACATACCAAGAATCAATAGCCAAACTGAATTCTCGCCTCACCTTCTGTCCAAGCCCGCCTCTAAGACAACGCCATTGTAGGTGAGAAAGAAAAAGGCCCTGGGAAGCCAGAACCTTTATTGATCTGTTCTAGGTTGATGTCTCACTCATCTCATATGCCGCAACCGTGCGTGAACTTGTTAAACAATTAAAAAGTGAACATTAAGCCAACATGCCCTCAGTACGCACCAACTTGGACCAGCTTTTCGTAGCTCCGCCCAATACCTTTACCTCTAGGCGACCTTGTGATATGCGTCCTCGACTTCTGGTTTGTAAATACATACGTTCTATGTTCTATGCTGCGTAGTGGTGGGGAGACGAGTTACTCGTTGGACCATGTCCATTTTCCTCGAGCCGCCCCTTAAGACGTTGCTATCCTTCTATCGCCATTGCCTAACAAATAACATTTTGAGAGGTTTGTGAATATGCCGTCGTCACTGAAACCGTACTAAACACGCTGCCGGAACATATCTCATCGAACAAAAATGAGCTTCCTTACCAATCACTCATGCTCTTGATTCGTGTCTGAGAATGACAGATCGTGTTTAACAGTGGCTAGCGCTAGCTGTCCATGGTTTAATATGTCGATACCAGTCCGATATCAAGAACGGCAGTTTTCTGAATCTGATTACTGATTATAGCTCCGGATGTCCCATTACAGTGATAACATAATTTTACTTGCGTTACTCCTACAGCTAGCAAACATGCCAACAACGAGATTTCCTTTTAGACTTATAGGCTGCCAGACCATATCTTCGTAGCTGAAGTCATGTGACGCAAGAACACATCGAGATTCTAGTGCACGAAAAGCTGATAAAGGAAATGCTAAAAGCGAACCACTGCTTACCTTGTGCCTTGTCATACCTGGTCATTCATACTGGATGTGAAGATTAATAATTCATTCACTTGCTGATCTAGATATGAAAGCGGGACGGCGTGCTGTTTCAGAAAAGTTAGTCCCCATCATTGCATTTTCTTGGTACGCAGGGTGTTGCCCAAACCTTATATTGCTAACACTCTTTGTGAAATCAAACTCCAAAGCGATGAGGTGGTCTGTCTAAAAGGTGGTCTAGGCGGTTAGTGGAAAAGGGCTAGGATGCCCATTTGTTCCAAAACCGGATTGAAGAAAGATGAGGGTTGGGCCACATGCGTTTTGGGTTTCTTGTAATGACATAATAGTGCTATATTTACTGGGCCAGCATGGGTGGCTTCAAAAGGCTGATACTTTTATATCCAAAGGAAGAGGCGTTTCCTGCCTTTGAATAGCGAGCGAGAGCCACCATCTTGATGTTCCATGGAAGATTAGAGGTTTGGCGACAAATTTGGGACAGTGATTGTGAGCTACGGGTGCTTATATCAAACTCGGCCTTGGCCGTAAGTAATTCTTCAGGTGTTACAAGGGGGACTTGGGGATTATCGCCATGGCGAGAGGGGACGATAGTTAGTGTGGATTGTTATGGCTTTGATTTTAGAGGGATGGAATGCGAATATCCCCTCCACGCACGCTTTAGCTCAGGGAATGTAACAATGTTCTCATCAGTGCGAAATACCCTAAACGGTCACGATCGCCATGCTTTTTGATAAACTCGTGAGCTAATATGAGTCGCAAACCGCTGATGGGGCGAATGATACTGAGAACCCTGAAATTTCAAGTGGTTCAGGGAATACAACTTCGCGGCTTATCAAGCCTCTGGATTCGTACAGGAATTTCGTCCAGCTTGGGCATCGGACATACTGCTTGGCCATCTGCTATGTAGAAGTGTCGTGAGGTCCCAAATCAAGCAATTTAGGCGGCTCAAGATCTTGGCATAGGGCAGATATCTATTATTTCATTGTGCAGACACTGGATACTGAGCGAGAGATCCCAAAGTTGCCTCCGATTCTTGAGTGGAATAATTACAATGCTTGTGGAAAACAGTTCCGCGAAGCAAAGCATGGATTTCTTCAGGGCTCGGAATGGTGTGAATCAATTTCCTAAGTGTGTTGAAACAAGTTTCCTGGATCAAAACGCGACGCCCAGAAGCCTTTAGAATGTTCGAAGGCGAGAAATAATGGCCATCGCTATGCCATAATATAAAAGCATTCGGAGGTAAGGCTGGAAGACCCTAGTCAAAAAACGGCCCAAGACGCGGCAAGTAACTTAAGCCTTAAAGGAGAGTAGGACCGTTAGTCCGAATCATGCTTCCGGTCCAAGTCCACTCGATTTAGATAAACTCGAATGCCGGGTTGGAACTTGGTATTTGATAATCACCTGGGTTTTTGAAAGCCAGGAAAAGAGTTTAAAAAAACAGGGAGATTTCTATCTGAGGAGAAGTATTAGGTGAGATCCCAAGTCTCACATTACCTATTTATCGAATATCTATTCACCACTGCTAAATGATTTCTATATATAATACTCTCTTTATTCGCTTCTTACTTTTAGCTCTAATCAAAGCTTCTCCCATAACACTTGCAAGCTCCAAATTGTTATGTTTTAGTAATACTTGGACCGGGTGTAAGTAAGCTGCCTCTATCAAACAAGATGTCCTTGTCTATTTGTACCTGAACATTTACCCTCCCCCCGGACTTCGCACACGATCCTGACTGGCGCTATTAGGGATGCTTTCAGATCCCTAAATGAGTATTAGCAAAACTTCTACTATATTTGGTCTCTTGATAATGCTTACCCAGAGCTTTGGCAATCTCTTCGGCGACTCCCTTAGCCGAAGCTGGGTTCTGACCGGTAATGAGCCGACCATCCACCACGATATGCTCACCCCAAGGCTCTTTGGCCTTCTCATAGCTGCCGAACCTCTGTTTCAGCGCATCCTCCAACAGGAAAGGCATAGCAGTCGTCAAGTTCATTAGCTCCTCCTCCACGTTGGAGAAGCCCGTGACCTTTCGACCATTGAGAAGCGGCTGAGCACCGACAAAAGCGTTGGAGAAGACTGCCGGGCCGTGGCAAACGGCGGCCACAACCTTCCCGGCAGCATAGAATTCCTCGATCAGCTGGGTGGCATCCTTGTTCACAGTGAGATCAAACATTGGCCCGTGGCCGCCGGGGAAGAAGATGGCGTCAAACTCCGCCGTGTGGCCCATGAAGTCCTTGAGCGCCGTTGTGTTTTCCCAGATATATTTCTCGTTTTCGTAGAAATTACGAGAGATATCATCGCTCCAGAAAGATTCAACAGACTCGGGGTCGACAGGCGATACTCCTCCATTTGGAGATGCAACCATGAGCTCAGCCTTCTCGTGAAGGATGTCGTAAGGATGTGCTAGTTCGGGCTGTCAAATGTTTAATGGATGCCTCAAGCCTGGATAGTGACATATTCTTACCAGATACCAGCCGGTGTGACGCTGAATGCTTTGGATATATCCGAAGCTAGTTAAAACAACGAGGATTCTTGGAGACACCATTGTTGTTGCTGTATGCTGTTGGTTTTCGTTGTCTTGAATTTTTTTTTTGTTGGCAGTTTGATGGGTGTTTTATTGTTGTTTTCGCACAGTTGTATCTTGAATGAGATTGATATGAATAAGAATATAGCAATGAAAAGGACTTTAAGCGTTCAATTTATATTTTGAAGTTATATTCGTGTCATGTAGCATTAACGATCGTTGGCTCCGTGACTCCGTGACTCCGCCCAGTCCGGGAGAGCTTAGTCCGCAACTCCGTCGTGTCCGCGGACCGTGAGTCAAATGGGACTGTTATGTCTGATAGCCCCTGGACTCTCGAAGAGACAGCATCCATTATTGGGTTAGTTGAGACTAGGATCGCGGGTTTTGGACACCCACGCAACCAAATCGCAAAAAGAGGATCCCTCGTGCGGCCGAATTGGCTTTGTCAGCTACATGCGGCCGCATGAGGATTAATAAGTTGAAGAGCAATTGCTTCAATATGCCTAAGACCTAGCGAAAGGGAACTGGGATCATGGGTATAGTGTACTAATGATGATACGATGATAATGACCTTATAAACCCTCAAAGTAAGCGGCAATAGCTACTTAGGATACATTCCATCACTGGATGAATCATTTTAGGCCTTTGGATCAAAGAAAGGACGTTCCGCCTGGGGTGTGATTCTCAACATATGTCGACGTGTTTGGCCTTCTCTGACTTGAAAGTCTCGAAGTGCGGAGCTACACAATAGGGGTTAGCATGGCGAAAAGCAGAGAAGACGAGCTATTACTAACTGTTGAGTAACTCGGTTGTCATAGACAACGACAGTTCCAGGCGTCCAATGCACGCGAATATGCCAATCCTGCCCGTGCTCGATGTGGTTGTAGAGAAAGTTGAGGATATTAGCTAGTCAGGATCAGTATCTGTTGCCGGGGGCTTAGGGCGCGCATGGGCGCTTACCACTTTCTTCCTCCTTAAGACCCTGGATTCTCCTGGTGTACAGTCTGTTGACATACAAAGATTTTGACTTCGTCACCTACTCGCCAAAATTATCCGTGTTAGTCTGCGACTCTTGGTTCAAGAAGGCCCATGGCACTTACGGGATGGGTGCGGACAATGGGATGGATTGTCTCAATTGGCTCGCGAATATACCGTTCCTTGTGATCAGCCACTCTCGCCTGATCGAAGCCCGAGTGCGTGGCTTCTAGGCCATGGAGCTTCTCTCGGTACAAAGGCGACAGCGCATTGTAGGCGGCGACGGTGGAAAGGTACAAGGTGTCGCCACCGGCTTTGGGTGTGTCGAGAGCCAAAAAGGTGGTCGTTCCCATACCATTACTTTAGTCAAGTTGTCAGTCAGAGCACCCCCAAGCTTAGACTATTACTCACATCTCATAGGACATGTCAGTATGCCACTTGATGCTGCTGACATTGTTCTTGATTTCGTTGTCTACGGCGCCAGCCCTAGATGCATCACCATATCAGCAGATGAATCTTCCTGGTTGCAACCACGGGCAGTGGCATACTTGAAGTCCCTATAAACGGGTAAAAGCTCGGGGTGGTTCTTAACATGACCTCCGTGTTGGTGAACATGAAGCTTTCCGAAATGAGCGCCGAACTCAACCTGCTTGTTGAAGCCAATGTCGGCAAAGTCTTGGCCGCGGAAGACAACAACACCTCTCTCAGCAACCAGGAGGGCGAGTTCGTCTCGCTGTTTCGAGTCGAGGGCACTCAACTGCAGCCCGTGGACCTCGGTCCCAATGGCAGGCGTGATTTCATCAAAAGATGAGCCGGGGGCCGTCAAAAGCGCAGTCTTGGCAGGGTCGGCGCGAAGACCGACATCGACATGCTCAAACTCTTCCAGCGGAGGCTGCAATCCAGGATTATAGTGTGGTAGATAGTGCGAATATTTGTACTAGTAGGGAAAGTAAGTATCGTGCTGCGAGCCACGTATGAAAAACAGAAGCGGCTCACGGCATCTTGGCTGTAATCAATCGACGTTTCAAATTTCAGCTGGGATCCAGCATCCCGTCCCCCAGACGGAACGGTGATAGTGGTGGTGGTAGTTTGGGTTGACATGGTGGTTGCTGACAAGGAGGAAATGGCGCGACTTGAAGTGGCTATTATCGACCAGAGTTCGAATGGCATTCGAAGATTACATGCCCGCTTTTATCAACACCATCCTTTCCACGCCCGTTTGCGATCACGGCCCTGCTTCGTAATCTAGCGCGGGGACTGGACGATGGCGAGCGAGCTATGCCGTCTGGACCCCCGCGAAAGAAATGACGACATCAGCCTACCATTTGATGTTACCATCGCGGTTACAATTTGGCCATAGCCATTCGCCCTGATTTGGGCATCCTTACGGGTGATCGGCCTACATCCGCAACAGTCGTCATCCGAGCACGGTATGGCGAGGGTCCCTGAGTGGGATAAAGTTGGGGCGAGCTCGCGATGCACATAAAAGGTACCTAGCTAAGGCTGCAGGTAATTTGCAATGTATAACCGCAACGGCAATATCCTGTATTTCATTTAGGGTGGGAAAAATGGCGGATACCAAGAGCCCAACTCGGGTCGACATTACAGATGCCTCGCCGTCGTCAGATGGCGGTTTGGACCATGCACCCACCAACTCCCCAGAGAACCTGTCCCACAAGCGGTCGACATGGAGGCGATTGGTCGGATACTTCTGGGATTCTGTAGACGGAGATCCTAGGGACAGGCGATACATTCAGAAACTCGATACCTTTCTCTTGTAAGTCATTGCACTGAGGGAGGTCGAGGGTGATACTGATCTTGACCACCTTAGCTCATCCATCTGCTTGGGCTACTTCGTCAAGTATCTCGACCAAACCAACATCAGTACGTGATAACCTTCTTGCCCCAAGGGGGCCTCTTAAGATTTCCATGCTAATTCACTCCAGGTAATGCCTTTGTCAGTGGTATGAAGGAAGACGTATGTCAGCAAGAGCCTACACTGAGAGGACTACCACTAACTCCCACCAGCTTGGCCTTTATGGAAATGAGCGAAACTGGTTGAACAGCTACTTCAACATCGGCTATTTGATTGGAACCGTGCCGACGCAGATGGTACAACTCCGATACGTCCGACCATCTATCTGGATCCCTCTGTGCGAGGTCCTTTGGTCGATCATGGTCATGGCCATGGCGGGTGCGAAAAATGTTGAAACTGTAAGCTTGGATGCGCCCACTCCATGTTGGCAGAGAATCAAGAGTTGGCTGACCGTCGCTGCAAGCTTTACGTCCTCCGCTTCTTCTGCGGCCTGTTTGAAGCTTGTGCCTTTCCTGGATACGCGGCATTGCTCGGCGGCTGGTACGGCCCTCAGGAGCTAACCAAGAGGGTGGCAATCTTTGAGCAAACTAGTGCCATTGCGTCCATGTTTAGTGGTTATCTGCAAGCTGCGCTCTACCAAGGCTTGAATGGGCACAATGGCCTAGCTGGCTGGAGGTGGCTCTTCATCTTTGATGGGTAAGTGCTTCGCCACGACTCGGTCGGTCTTACAGCCCACGAACTGAATGCTGGGTGACAACAGAATCATATCGATCCCCATAGCAGTCTGGGGCTTCTTCGCGATCCCCGACCTCCCGCACACCACACGCGCGTTCTACTGGAAGGGTGATGTACGTACCCGATATTTGCTCCGCTCTCGTCAGAGGGTACTGACGACTCTCACAGGACAAAGAATATGGAATCAAACGCGCAGAAAATCATGGACTGGTTGCTCCCAGGAAGCTGACACTAAGAGCCATCTCGGGGGTGTTCCTGAACTGGAGGTTGTGGGTGTTTATTCTGCCGTATTTGTAAGTGGACAGGTTCTCGCCCGTCGGAATCGACACTTAACATCGACTGCAGGATGGTCGCCCAATCGGGCAGCGGAACTGGGTACTTTAATCTATATCTCAAGGATGCTGGGTACAGCGTCGTGCAAACAAACGTCCTGCCAACTGCCGGCAGTGCCATCAGCGTCGTCGCGGCATTTCTCGCTGGCAGTATCGTCGACGCAACTGGAGCAAGGTTCACAGTCTCCGTCATCATACAGCTTGCAGTCCTGGTATCCAACATCTTGCTGGCTGTTTGGTCAATCCCGGAGCGAGCAAAGATGTTTGCCTACTTTTTGTCCTATGTCGGGGCGGCCGCACAACCAATCATCATCGTAAGTGTTGGCTGCTTCAAGTTGCGATGAGAAACTGGCTTGGCTAATAACCACTTGTTTAGTCGTGGGGCCAACATTTGACTGCCGGTGATCCCATTCTTCGACAGCTTCTTGTTGCCACTGGCAACATTTTTACCTACAGTTTTTCAACATGGATGCCACGTAAGTGAATAATACCCTTCAGCCGGAATCTAACTAACGTGCCGCTCTAGTGGTTCTCTTCCCAACAAATGATGCCCCTCACTACAAATACGGATACCAGATTTTGATCCTCTGGGGCGGTCTTGCAATCACAGGAGCATACTTGATGAGGGTCCTTAGCAAGCAATTTAGGTGCGTCGCTGGTCAAGTGTCGTGTTGTTGCAACCTCAAAACTAACTGATGTAGCCGGAAAACAAGGGATATCGAAGGCTGAATATGGTAATATCGGGCCGTGTCAGTGATCGCTAAGAGCTAGGACTAGCTGGAGGTCTCCTTGATGGACTAAATGTCGAATACTCCCGGCACACGTGGCGGTATGATTGGGATAGAGTATAGACATATACCTACCTCATGTTAATCCTACCTAGATAGGAAAGAGGAATGGCGTTTGGGTTATCTTATGGCAGTAGATTACTGAATAGGTCGAGATTACCCTTCTTCATCGCCGCAGCTAAATCCAGACTGGATCTTCCTGTGTTGTCCTCGGTCAGCGGGTCCAGGCCTTTCTTCCGTAGCCAGTCAAACACTTCCTTGTCACCCTCACTCGGCAGCCCGCTCGCCACTACACGAAGTGCAGTTTCGCCTGTCTTCCCGTTCGTCGCCCGGAGATCGACTTGATCGCCAAGAAACGCATCCCAGAAGCGTAGGACAAAGAAGTCTCGCTATCCACCAGGCAATTTCGACAAGCACGAGGTTCCCATGGTGGTCGGGACCGCTATATCTCTCTGTCGCTAGGCGCGAGTAGAACCAAGTTCATGGTTCAGCACAAAGGTAGACCATGCTGGCATCCCCGTCTAATTCATCGTGTTGGGGCCACACTCGTCGCACTCGATCAACCGGGCGCGCAACGCGAGGCACTATGACGTGTGATTGGGCTCGGTGTTATCGAAAATGCATTGCACGGCATTGGGCCTGGCCTATTCGGCGAAGAAGCAAAGAAGCTTATATATCTAAATTGCATACTGAAGAGTTAAAGAGGGTAAAAGAAAACACAAATAAATTCTGACTTGCTATAATACTGTGCTCATTCTACCTTCGGCATCTCATTTAATGTCTAAAGACCTTATATCCCTTGGTGTCGAAGACTCCTTACTATCTAGTCCATGTATGTAGACACGAGAAATTAGTTTTGTGAGTGACTAGATGTAGCTAGATCTGTGCTGATTGACGACACGATTCTGCCGACTAATCCTGGCTTTGTCGACTTGGACTTGAAAGCCTTGAGTTCTACTTCTGTCGCTTGGATAGTCTGCGCAACATTGACCGCTTTGAAACCTTCCACCCTTTTGGATCTGAGACGATTTTACCATTTGGCCCTTTGTATGAAGGCACATGATATTGGGTTGCAGACTTGATTTGAGTTACTGCCGGGTGGGTGCTACTAATCAGCTTCGGGCTGGAGATCTTTGATTTATCGATCTTTGGCTTATTGCTTTGCGGAGGCTTCTTCTGTAGCTTTGCAGGCTTCGACTGGGCAGGCTTCGGTGCAGGCTTCGGTTTTTCCGCCTTAGGCTTGGGGGGCTGCTTCTGTAGTTTTGCTCGCCTTTGGAGCCGTGATCGCTTTGAGACTTTCCACCCCTTTGGATCTGATACTTTTTTGCCATCTGGTCCTTTGTATGAAGGTACGTGGTATTGTGTTGCGGACTTGAAACTCGTTACTCCTGGATTTGAGCTGCTGATCAGCTTCGGGCTGGAAATCTTCGATTTGTCGATTTTTGGCTTGTTGTTCTGCGGAGGCTTCTTCTGCAGCTTTGCTGGCTTCGACTGGGCAGTCTTCGCTTTTTCAGCTTTCGGCTTGGGGGGCTGCTTTTGTAGCTTTGCTCGCGCCTCTAGAGTGAGCGATGCTTCCCGGGTTTCGATGGAGATCTCCTCTTCATTGTCAAGGCGCAATGCGAGATTAACGATCCCGTTGTTGCCAGGCTCGGATCTGGACACGATACCATGTGAACTATGCAAACCAGCAACTGTACTAGTAGCAGCTAGCAAGAGGGGAATAGTGAAAAAAGAAACTTGATTGGAAGCCACCATGATGGATTTCGAGGATGACCTGGAGATAAAGGAGGACGGTAAAGTATAAAAGTGGCTTTTTTTGGGGTGCAAAGGCAAATCGGTGTTTGTATCGTTAGTGGTAATATCAGGAGAGAACAAAGAATACTGACAGAGAAGCATTAGATATCACTTGGACTGTCGTCTTAATTTAAAGGCCGGACTTTGAACGCTCTTTTGTTATTGCATACGCCCTATATTAATTCACATGGAGTCTTTTTTTATCACCGCGGCAGTTTAAAAATACCGCATACTACATGCCGTGAAGTTCGACACATAGCTCCATCCCACCTATTACCCCTACATGTGGAACCACTTTTGGGGCTAAATATAATGAATGAGTGCGAATTAGGAATGAGTTCAATGAGCACGGTTTGTGGATGTGAAGGGTTCGTGGAGGATAACCCCTATTATCATAGGTATTTATGGTGCTAGTGACAGAAAGTATGGATTACCATACTATTTATAGTATATACATTCCTTATATAGTTTTAGTTTGTTATGTTAAGACCAAAAATGTATCATCGGTGTTACCTCGATCCACCAATGCCGGTAAACAGGGGAATTAAATTGGTTCAAAGCGGAGTATCTACCCTTGTCAACTGTTCCATCCATGCCTATGGTAATTGGTGATTGGTGAATCACCGAATATTCTAGGATCAAGCATCGACGTAGGTGCCGGAGCTAGGCTGTATACAGCGATCCGGTATCAGAAGGGACTCGGTCTTATTTCCTGGAGCAGGAGACATACTCTCTAGCTTCTGCGTTCGCTGCGCCCAGATAAGGCAGGACTTTAATTTTCATATTATGCAGGATGACATTTACATCGAGAAAATAGGCCTATTTCAAGAGAGGTAGAATAACTCTGGGCTTAAGGCTAAGTCTTGTTTTTTTATCTTATCCCTTTATTGGGTTTACTATTATATTTCTCTTCATGTTTCTCAGCAAACATGGCTGTCGCACGGGCTATTATAAGGAACAATTTTCAATACCATCTGGGTATACCCAGCAGCAGTATGTCAAAGATGACCGCCCTGTGGTCACCTCTGGCCCACATGCACTTCATTATTGCACAGCGGCTCGTAGCTAAATAGTTGGAATTTAATCAAGGCTGACTGTTGTTATGTTCCATATGTGTGCATCAAAGAAGCATACTATAATACTTAATGTACTCATGAAATATTATTTCTTGATCTCTATCCACAGTTGTCTCTGTATACGAGATTAGTAGGTCTGTCTTCTAGATAATCTTTCTCTCAAGGTCTTCACCCCAGACTACCTGGCATTTCTCTCCACATTTTAGATTTCCGGTTCTAGCAAGTGTATATATAGCTCCTGATGGAAGCAGATTCTAGAAGCTCCCAATCAATCAAACTTACTAATACTCGATCGGATTCATTCAACGCAGCAATCGTCAAGCCAGCGCCGGTTCACATACGGGGACTATGCCACCCTCTCTGATGTTAGGCGAGACCAGAATGGCACCCGGGCGATTACTGAATGATTAAGTAATGATAGTGTTGCCTAATCTGTCTGAAGCTTTTGAAACCTTTTTGAGAATAGAGAGGTTGAAGGCAGCTTCAACTTGTTGGTTGGTCAATGCTGTTCTTGTCAATCAAGAATTCTTGGTCAATCAAGAATTCTTGGAGCAGCGTGCACTACAGTTGGGCGATATCTATAGATGCCTGGGCGAGGAGAGTTTCGAAGCAACGCGGCTTTGCGACTCATCTGTAAGCTCTCCGCCGTCAGCGAAGCAAGTTGCGGCAGTCAAATTGAGGCCTGCCTGCACAACGAGCCGAGCTTCTTGGAAAATAGTGTCTGGCTGGCATTTCATGACTAGGTAAATATTTTACATCCCGCCTATTTAATTAGTTGCTACCAACGCTCCCCCTATAAATTAAAAAAAAAAAATTAGCCTGTAACGCTCCCCCTAATTTAGAAAATCAGCCTGACAGCCTAGCACTATGTCTAAGTACATCAGATATAAAACCAACGCTTGTACCCAGAGGCCTAAGGCGTGTTTGAACACAGTTGGAATTATTACGATCTCACAATGGGACCGATCCTGTCTACGCTTCTCTCTTCAGTCTTCACAATTTTGTGCATCTGGGGGTGGTGGTACTTGACGGGAAATGTTCGGTCAGTCGCTAATAATTCATTTCGTAAGTTGAATGCCCTGTGTGCTCCGGATTGCCCTTTAATTGACGTCTTATCTCATAGAAGCGTACGACTCCAACACCGGCTGATCGGAATCGGAGCGCTGTATTATTGCCTGAGGGGTCATCCCTCTATGCCAACCTTAAAATATCAGGCAGGCAGATTAGGCTTCTAACGATCCTGTCCACCGAGCCAGAAATTTCCTGCCGGCTGGAGGTCGCCGAATTGAAAGACGAATTGTCGTTCAATGCGCTATCCTACGTCTGGGGGGATCCCACTGTCACCAAGGCCCTCCTCGTTAACGGGCATAGAATCATGGTAACGATAAACCTAGTATCGGCTTTGGAATATGCTCCCTATCATCTGCGTAAATCAAAACACGCAACCAGCAAAAAACTATGGGTCGATGCTATTTGCATCAACCAGAGGACATCGCTGAGAAGAGTCGCCAAGTTTCCCTGATGAAACATATCTACTCGCAAAGTGGTATTGTTCTTTGCTGGCTAGGATCCCCAAGTGATATAATACACGCCGCGATGGATAGCGTTGGGGCTGTGGCTCGTGAGCGATATATCCGTGATGCTGATATCGTGTATTACGAACATCTGCATGAACTTCTCGGCTGTTTCGAACAATTGCAGAGTCACTTGAAAAAGTCCCACGCTGCAGATGCCAAAAGTCGTCTGCAATTCGTTGAAGAAAGGTCTGCGATGTCCGGCATTGTCGGGGATGTTGAGATTCATGCAGTCGCGAACGCTCTCCAGCACACGACAAAGGTGATATTCGGAGTGCTGCAACAGTCACATGGCGTAGAGCTCGGAATTTGTCGATCGATGTTACTAAGTGTCTTTCATGAAGTTAGAAACTGGCACGATCAGTTTCGTAAACGGGCTAACAAACTCGATGCCTGTCTTCGGGAATACTCTCATCCCATTGCCTTTCTTCTGGCCTTGCTGTCCTACAGAGTACGCAATTTTAGCCAAATATGCCAAGAATACTGCCTCCAGGTGTGTTGCGATGAGACATACAACAACTTACTTTGGCTTAAACAGTATCCATGGCTCTACGGAGTCAAAGAGGTTGAAGGAGAAAGTTTTACAGGCCCCGCTCAGCCACTTTTTGACGTATTGTACTGGAGCCGCATATGGATACGACTTCTCGCTCATCACCCCGTTTTTGCCTGCGGATCTCGGTCAATTCCATTGGAGACTTTAGAATCCTTTGCAACTTGGGTAAAATAGATAGTAAATCCATCTCATTCTGAAATTTTAAAGAAAGCGTAAGTCTCCAAGTTGGAAAAGGCATATCAGCCTATTTGGAAACTCCTTTATCATATCTTCGAGAGTCGTGAAGCCATAGGTTTCCCTGCACCTTGTCTTTGGCGCCCAGACAATCTCAAAACTAACATCTGGTGGGCTTCACCAGATGCTCGTGCAACAAATCCCAAAGATTATTATTACGGTTTTCTCGGTATCACGAATCTCGACCTTGCCCCTGATTACGATCCGAATAAATCGGTTGGACTTGTTTGCCAGGAGTTCATGATTGAATATATTAGGTCAACTCTTGACCAATCTAATCGCCCCTTAGGAGGACCTCTGGGCCTTCTCATGTTCGCCGGTGTTGGATATGGCTGGGACGTCGATCCCGACATGCCTTCATGGGGCCCAAATTTTCCAGGACAGGCACAAGCAAAACCATCTTCCAGGGGGGATTCGGAGGCAATCCTTTCACAAAACCCACAGGGATTTGATTGCATCTTTAAGTCAAGATCGGATGCAATAATCACGGGCTCAAGAATGGATGTCTCAGTGATTATTCTTGATCGTATTGAGGCTATCGGACCTAGGGTCTCTGACTACGGTAGACCTGAATTGCTACATAAAACAGGCTTGCCGATAACTTGGTCTTTTGATTTCGCGTTACGCCATAAGAGTTATGTAGCAGGGGGCCACCCACTGACCGCATTGCGCTTTCTTCTGGAGCCAACGAGTATATCTCACAGCGATCGAGATAAATTTCCCATCAAAGATTGTCTAGAATTTGCTAAATTTCTAGGCAGATTTGGCCTTCAAGACATGGATGGAAGGTCTAGAGTTGTTTTTGCACGTTTGTGCTACCTGAAAGATCTATTGGACCAAGTTCCTGTCAGTGTCTAGTCTAGCTGCCAACTATCTCAACTAACTTTCCTAGGATCCCGCCGTCCCCGAGGACGAAATAAGCTACTGCGCCAACATTTGCACAACGAGCAGGCCCTATAATCATACTATAGCAGAGACAAAGAAGGGTTATGTTGGAAGGTTTCCTCCGAAGATACAGGGGGGTGACTCGATATGTTTATTGAGTGGGCTTGACCAAGTAGCTGTACTCCGGCAGAAGGATAAGCATTATGAATTTGTAGGCACTTGCTTCGTTGCGGGGATGACATCTCTTGAACAGATTCAACCGATGGTTGACTTATGTAGGCTGGAAACTAAGAAAGTCAGTATAAGGTAGTTAAAATGAAGGATAATTACTTGTTATTAGTTCAGACTAATAGAGCGTGAGAGGGGATTTTATAGGTGTTAAGACTATGTAACTATTATAGTTTAATAATTTATACTAGACAGAGGTCCAGGGTAGGTTGGGATATAACTGAAATATCAGTACTAGGGAGCTAGTTCTAATAAAGGTAGCAGTAAATATAAGAGGTTTAAGTTTTAAATCAACTTGTGAAGGCTCATTAGCCTTAGGGCAGAAATAATTATTCTGTGTGTTTGTTTCGCTTGCAAAAGCCGATTATACTGGGATGAAAATAACGGTGCAGATTACAATATCCTCCTGGCGAAGAAGATCTCGCCATGGATAAATGGGCCTTCTTATGATAGATTGCCGCTCTCCAGGCTCGAGCAACGCTTATCATGCCCAAAATATAGTCACAGCCCTGATAGATGATGTGCCTTTGGAGATCAATAAACCTCAAACACCTGTTGTGAAGTCACTCATCAGCTTCAAGCAGTAACTCAGGGCAAAACAATTAGCGACATCGACACGATATGGGGTTGGTGATTGGCCTCCTGTTTCGGAGAATCATTTTCTATACTCGGGTTCGAATTTTCATATAGAGAATAACTACCAGTTATCCGTGGAAGATTGCATTTAGTGGTAGAAGTTGAACTGAAGACTGGGATAATTTTATAGAAAGCATTTACTTTACGTAATGTATTAAGTAATATCTGCAAGGAGTGATTGGAGATGTTAAAACGTCCATCTGGTGTGGCTTTATATAGGCTCTTCTTAGCCCGAATTCCATTCCCATGTCAAACGCCATGAGCGGGACAGGGTTAGAGAAGTGAAAGAGTTTACATAACAGAGACTTGAATGCATCAGACCTTCTGGTATGGTTCTCAGTATATAGAGAATCCCCGTCAAGCTACTTCAGTCGCTTGTGAGCCTCGCATTTGGCCATTTGGAATGTAAGTGCCGTCATCTGCATGGCTTTGATTAATACTCTGGGAGTCTACAACACCCTGCTTATGTTGATTGCTCGTCACCTGAGCTCTCTGTCTCGGACTACAACTACACTTCCTCGGCATTTAGCTTTTATAGCCAGGTTCAGACCCCCTAGCTGAAACCCATGATGAGATAAGAGGATTTAGTGTCGACGCATTGAAAAGACTTGGTCATGTTCCTGGGGGTAGGCTTGACAAGTTGAAGAGCTCTTTAGCAAATGATCAAGATTTTGGACTGCGCATGCTGAACGTTCGAATAAAAAAAAAACAGCCTCCTCTGAGAGAGCATGATAGAACAGCTCCCGATCTTCTAGAGGTTCTAGCAGGTATTCCATGCCTACCATCACCTCACAGAGAAAACCACTCCATCTTAGGGAACCAGCGAAACTCCCTGGCCTACTGCTGGCGTGAGAAATTATCAGGTTTAGGCAGCGAGGTGCAAGAGGTCTCACTAGGTAGAGCTTCCTCGATTGGCATGATTAGGCATGTGAAACGCCCTGACCACAATAATGAGACAGACGCATGTCTAGGTCTGGCCTGCTTTTGCTTTTGCAGACTATATGTGAGCTTCCACTCTATGACATCATGGTTCCAGCAACTGTAGTAGTTATTCCGATCGCCCTTATGCTGCCAACTTTTTCTGTCGACCGGCCTGACTGTCTGTGCAAGTGGTGTACTGCTCTGAAGACATACATTGACCATAAGTATAAATTCCAACCTATCTGTATCTGACCCTCAATTGCAGCTATATCTCCCGGGACCCGACTTTCAGTCTTCCTGTCGCATCAAAATGTTCGACGTTGTTGTTGTTGGAGCTGGATTGAGCGGATTGCAGGCTTCCTATCATGCTCAGCGAGCGGGTTTGTCGGTCGTCATCATTGAAGCAAGAGACCGAGTTGGGGGTAGAGTTTGTACTGTTCCTATTGCTTCTAATCGCGGAGTTGTGGACCTAGGTGCAGCTTGGTTTGACCAAGAAACACAGCCTCGAGTTACAGAATATGTTCGTCTATTTGGGTTAGCAACAGTCGATCAATGTGTGGATAAGGCGGCTATAATTCAGATTTCATGTACTGACCAGCGAGTATTCCCTTTTGGCGAAACACTTTTTGGGTTGACTGACCATCGATAGTTCTCCATTGAAGATAGAGAAAACATGGCGATGATTTGTGACCATGTGGAAGCTGAGCTGCTGAAGACTGGTATTGGAGGTATCCAAGAAGATGCGGTGTCGGTTGATGACTACGTCCGAAAGATGGGTGCAAATGATAAAACAGCGAAGATGGCTAGTTTTTGGACTCGGGCTTTTCACGGCCTAGAATCAACACAAGTACCAATGGGGTATTTCATTCATCATTGTCAGAATAATCACGGCTTTCCTTCTCTAGGGGCCAATGGTTTGACAGGTAGCAGTCATAAGCGTTTGCAGGACGGTATGTGGATGGCTGAAGGCTTATGCCAAAACGCTAACCGTTATTGTAGGTGCAATCTCATCGCTCGTGGGATCGCTAGCCTCATCGGAGAAAGCAAGATTTTACTATCCGAACCCGTCACGTCTATTAAAAACGAAAAGACACATGTCGCAACCATGTCTGCTTCGGGAAAAGTAACCAAAGGCAGAAAATGCATCGTATCTAATCCGAGTGTATTGCTTGCAGACATCGTGTTCACCCCTAGCCTCCCAGCTTCGTATCGGGACCTCTCTACGCGGATGACCTTAGGACACTTCTACAAATCGATTGTATGCTATGACAGGCCGTGGTGGCGTGAAGAGGGTTATAATGGTTCCTGTGTGAGCTATATTGGGCCTATAAACATTGTTCGAGATAGCAGTATGCCGGAAAAGGGCTTCTATGCCTTGACATGCCTTATGACCGGTGCTGATGGGCAGTCTTGGAGTAGACTGGCCCCTCATGACCGCCGCCATGCAATCCTCACTCACTTTGCGGCTATTTTCAATGTCGGGGACGATTCGACAATTTGGCAGCCTATGGGCTTTTTTGACAAGATCTGGCAGTACAAGAAATACAGTGGCGGCGCGCTTTCCCCCGTCCCCAGACTAGGTTGTCTTGCAAATATTGCACCAATCTATAAGAGTCCTGTTGGAAATTTATATTTTGTGGGGACGGAATACTCCGATGACTGGAGAAACCATATGGAATATGCCTTGATATCTGGTGAGAAGGGGGCTAGGGAAGTGATCCAAGCACTCCGACAGGGGCGGTTGAATTGAGTATCGCGAAAGATCAGGGGCCACTCGTCAAACAAATTAGTAAAAGCAGGAAGACGCAGAGGAGCTAGCGTCTCTGATGAGTTATTCAATCGACCATGCGCAGTTGTACAGACTACCGCGCACTTATTAAATAGTCCAGCTTTGTTACGCGTGGTCGTAGTTTGGAAACTATTGAATTTCCTCGCTCAGACAGCATAGTGACACCTAATGGTAACTTGAAGCCCCCCTCAAGCGCCGGGGGGGTTATCTTCGTCTCATCTCGCACTGTTTGAATGTGGCTGTCCAATGCCGAGTTTGTCAGTTGGGAGGAGCAGGAAGCCCCCAGTCAATCTAGAGCCGGTCACGTATCTCAATTCTCGAGATGTCAGACGTAAGCCGGTTTGTTTTATGTCTACCAAGGTGATAACTGGGAACTATTGCTCCGAAATGCAGTCACACAGGTTTAGTAATCTAGCTGTACTCTTCATATCTAAGATCCTCTTAAATACATGTTTGCGCGATATTTGTATCATGGCTTTGTAGACGAACCCTGTTAACAAATTGTCTAGTTTTCTCAAATAGCTAATGCTCAGATCCTCTGATTAAACAATGTTCTGATAGTCAAGGAAAGCCCCTCAGTGCACGACAACTACGAACATGCATTTCTGTAATGTAGTTGAGGTCTGGTTACCAAGTTAATGCATCCAATGCTGGTTTTACCTCATAGTTCCTATTATTATAATGCAAATACAGGAGATTAGATTCATCAATACAACTTTTATACACTTATTAATATCCTCTCCTTTAACTCCTTCGCGAAATTATCTTCATCTTGTGCATCAAGCAGGATGGTAATAGTAGTGTAACTATATACTGAATTAAAATATAATCCTGAGTGGCTTAATTCCAATTAGAAAGATACCTTCGGGAATTTTTTTTTCAAGACAACGATTTTAATATTCTACTTGAGTTTGAATAGGTGTTTGATTATAAGTAAAGTCCTCGGTGTAGAATATGATTTCAACCCTATTGGTCATTAGATATTCCACAAGTTGGGAAGATTCGGACTCCACGAGCTGCTGTCCGGGCATTCGTTGTTTCCGTTCAAATAGCAAACCTACTTGAGATAAGCATGTTGCAACAGTACGCCCTGCGTGTTAAGATTCTAGGCGCGCTGACAAAATTGTTGCCTTCGAAAGCCTATCATATTTGACATCTCTTGAGAAAAAGATTAGGGGTAATGACAAGGTTGTCTAGTAGCTTGAAGTGTCTAGTAGCTTGAAGTGAGACACGGTATGTAATAGAATCCTTTTGCACTAAAGCTGAAGGGTCGAGCTTAGGCAATAAAATTCTTAACAGTTCAAGCTCTCAGAGAATAACAGCTACGGCATCATTATCGGGGGGGGAAGATGACCGGGGGTAAAGACGAGCGGCTAGGCCCGGAGCTTTAAAATATCAACAGACCTATTCTCCATGAGAGCCAAGTCCATGGCCGAAGCATTTCGAACGCTCTGTGGGTAAGAGGAGCTACGAGGTGAATTGCTCACTGCCCAAGACCTGGAGGTTGTCAGCATAGCTTTTGGGTTCGATGGGAGCTCCGTAAAATACACATTGGAGATAAATAACCTCAAGCACCAGCCGATCCAGCGTTTCTTTGACGGGTAGAACTTTGGTCGGTGGCTCATCATCTTCTAAGGAGATTTTTACTCGTAGGCTGTCCGAGTTGTCCCGCTTGGTGGTGGGTGTATTGGCTTCATCGAGAGAGAGGTTTGCGGAAGTGGGATCGAGGTCATCTTCTGGCAAAGGAGTTCTGGATCTTGAGACCATTAAAGACGGCGAATGACAAGTTTTTAGCTATTCAGTTACATCCCTGTCGGTCTTCTCGTGCTTGACGATCATGCCAGAGGTAATTGGGAGCTTGGCGGCAAGCTGTGCTCAGCAAGAAGCCGTCTCTGCTGCTGGCGTCGCAACATGGGCCGAATGGCTTGTACGTCTGCGCCCGGACGACATAGGTAATAGCTGATGTGGATATCACACCGAGCATAGAGATACCATCGAGCGACGCTGCCGACGTGTAGGACCTATATGAGATTATAACGATCGCGGCAAACAAGGTATTGATATGTCCTTGCACGCTGGATACGACCGCATTCTAAATCGCTATTGCGCACTCGACGATGGGTGAAATCTACGTCAGGTACTCTTTGGGGCTATGATAGGAGTTCTACTGTATTTAAGCCTCTCTCTGTCTGCGTTACGATCAGTAATGTATGAGTCCTCCGGACAAATCGCGATTAATTCTATTCGAGACAGACTTAGGCAGTACTCAATCCTTGACCAACACCCTATCATGCACGAGCGGCTGCCGCTGATGATTTAGGTGCGGCGAGTGCTAACCGTGCACTGCGAAAAACCATGGATGTATTACCAGCCGCAAAGCGACCAATACTCTCCGGAAGAAAAATACGTCTCTACGAAAAAAGACAGTAAATCCTGAGCTACAAGAAGAACCCGAAGCAATTACTATGTCGGTACGGGCTGGTCCATCGTTAATCGGACTTCAAAAACCTAGCTACGTCCTTAGCAAGGAGCTTGTGCATGGGTGAGGTAGGACGGAAGCTGTTAAGCCACAGGTACTGATTTGCCGCGAACTCGCAGTCATCAAGCTTCGTATCAATCTCCTCAGTCCCACTCGTGAACATTAGCATTTCCGATCAAAAATCATAGGATTGCGATACTCACCTCTGGTAAGCCTTGCAGTAAGTGGTGGTATCCTTGTACACAGCTGTCTCCTCGAACTGAGACGGGTCATTGATGACTTTCTGGAAAAGAGGATATGTATCATAAACGAAAACAGTGGCGTTCGGGTAAAGATAATTGATACGTTTCTGAAAGACCTTATACTCTGAGTTCCAATGAGCTGTCGCATTGGCCATTAGTGGGACTCTTGTTGCTGATGCGCTAGATCCAGTAATGCGAGGGGCATGCTCGAGCGGCGGGACAGTTAAGAAAAGGAAATTTCTAGCGCCCGCTTCATAGAGAGAAGCAATGCGATATCTGAAACTCTTGAAAATATTCTCATGAACATCTAGGTCGTCACTCAAATAACTGTTCGCGATGTCGTTGATACCAATCCAAACTGCGAAAAGGGACGTGTTTCCATCGAATGTTTCTCCCACTTTATAATAAGTCATAAATGACTCGATTTCTTGGATTACGTCGTAATCGTTGTTATTGACGATCGAGATGTCAAGAGTTGCTCCGCTAGCAACAAAGTTGTAAGCAAGGAAACCTGACTCGTTGAATGTTGTCGTCAAATGTCCAACCCAGTTAGGATCATTTGCGCTAGTCCTGCCTGGAAACGCTGGGTTACCTAGTGGGTTCGAGGAGGAGGGTTGATCCTCGCTTGAAGGGTCGAATCCAGTTCTGGAGTAAGAATCACCGCTGCAGAAATGGTCAAATACCAGTTAATGATGCGTTTGAGTTCAACACTTACAAAACGAAAAGAGTTTCCAAGGCGGAGAACCCACCCCAATAACTCGAGGCTGCCGGGCTAATGGCGGCAGCGTGGTTTCCAATCGCCACAGAAGTTACGAGCAAAACCAAACTGAGTTGCATGGTAATAATCATATGATTGCGGCTTGATTTTGGCAGGCTGTGAGTGACGTTGAGACCGAGAGTCCTAGGTAAGGTTTGCCTTCGAAATGTAGATCACGGACTACACCTGCTGTCTTTAAATAATGAAAGGGTTGCATGTCCTCCAGTAAATTTATGCCTCTGGTGATCCATCTACCACAGTACTATGTCCATTGGCTACCCAAACTAGGATAAAAGAGCTCAACATACTGATGTAATCTGGCCGGGGTAGAGCATATGTAGATCCCCCATCGGCCGGGATAATTCATCCGCGACAGTTCTTCCGACATGAATATAACAGAATCCATACTCCCCGAACACGGAAAACTCTATTCTACTCTGTCTTGGAATTTTATATAACCCACGAATCATGTATCAGCTTGCGATCTAAACATGACAGCATGGAAGCCTTACTGATGATTTCACTCAAACCGTATGTATACCATGCAGTATCCACCTACCGTACAGCAAAAGAAAATTCCGTGCAAATTTTCACTTACACAGTGGTTTGTCAAACGGAGATATTTTTCCATAGGAAAATGTTTACTGTATTCATTATTGCGTGGAATCTGATTGTTCAACATCTCTTTTCCGGTAAAGCTTGTGGCATGGTGGCACGACACTAATAATAGATGTCGCAAAATGCCGCCTTTACCAACCAGCCTTCTGGAAGCTTCATCCAGCGTTTTCTCCTCCCTAGCTTTCCTGTATCGCTTTAGATATGCCTCAATCGTCTTATGCGGAAGAGGATGTCATCCTGGCCGTACTAGGTGCCATGGATAGTGGCCTCTCCTAGGCCCAAGCTGCCTAGAAGAATGGCATGCCCCAAACCACTCTCTGAGCGATTAAGAGGCCTGCCGTCAAAATCCGAGGTCACCCACCCTGCTCAGCTCCTATCAAAGTCGGGTCGGAGGGGGAGGCTAGGTTGGGTACTGGATGCTTCGACGAAAGGTCTTGGGTCATTCTTCGTCCCACAGTCAGTCCGCGCAAACGTTGCTGCCCTCTTGAGACAGCAAGGCCAGGAAAGGCCTATGCCTATCGATGTACATTTGCTGGCCAGACTCATTGAACCCCATAACGATATCAAGAAGAAGGGGGGTAAATGCCAGGAAGCTACAAGATTCAATTCGTTCACCCCAATGGCTGTCAATTGGTACCCCGTCGTGGCCGTGTGATTGAAACAAACAATGATACGCAGAACTCATGATACGGTTCTCGCAGAGAAGAGAGATATCCAGAGAACTTGAAGCGTTTCCAAAGAAGAGGTTTGGCACTATCTGTGAAAGCGATGAGGTATATGTGCCTCTTTCCGACTCGCCTCATAAGACCCTGAACCTCATCTTTCATCATAACCCCCAGAGTCAGCCAACGGCACCAGGCTCATGCCTTCTATATTTCGAGCAAATGCTAAGTTGAGCTATCTTGCAGTTTCGCATTCTACTCGCTCTTCTACTGGCTCACCAGGCCAAGGGTAGAAGTAGTTTGGTTCTCCGGGATACCTACTACTCCAGTCCCAACCTGGCGATGGCTGCAACAAGCTGGTGGCCGCGATCGACAGCGATCACCATATAATGGAAAGCAACAAAAGACCAACCCATCGCCATTGTAAGGGCATATTATCGCTATTAGAAACGGTTACTATGGACCGGCGACCCCGGCCATTGCATGTCTCGGCGTCGTACGGCTCCTACGGGCTGGCTTTGCCCAAATGAGATGGCATCTGCGAGTGCCAAAATCTCTGGTTCGTCATCCCAAGACGTTGAGTCACTCTCGGCGTCCACAATCCTGTTCGCGAGTACGCCCAGATCAGCGGTTCTCAGATCTACCCCGCTGCCGGCAACCCCAGTTGAGTCCCCTACTCTTACTCTTGTGTCCCATGGTGAGCTGTACGCCTGCTGAAGGTAGGTGACAAAATCAGCCGCATATATGCGAGGCGTGTGATCTGCCCACCGGACAGTGTGAACCCATAGAAACTGACCTGGTGCATCCCTGGCAAGACTTGAAAACACTACGTCACTGAGTTCCTCAAGATCGTACACAGGGACTAATCCCGGTTCATCAGTGCCACCGTCGGGCCACGCGGTCATCTCGCAACCCAAGGTTCTTCCCAGCGCAAGCGCGAGAATCTGACTCTTCGCGTCGGCAAGGACGAAGACCTTCGGAATCCTGATGTTCTGCTGGCGTAACACCGCATGCAACTTCAGAATGGCCTCATTACAAAGCAATTCGGTGTCCCGGACGTATGCGTAGCGACCGTTCATCACCTCCTTCCCATAAGGAGACAGATGAAGCAAAATACCGCCATTTAATATGTAATTCCATCCCCTTGTATCCTTCTCATCTAGAGAACAAACGTGTCTCACTTTTGCCTCACGACAAACCACGGTATTGATGCGAGCAGCAGCGGAAAGACACACTGCGTCCTGGGTGTGCTTACAACCTTCCTGGAGGCGGTCGTTTACTTCATGCGCAACGCTTAAATCACCAGTTCGCACCGAAAACCACGCCTTCTGATAAATGCCAAGTAGAGATTCTTTCCATTCATCAGAACTGGCTTCCAGGTAATGCAACGCATCGGTGAAGTTCCCACTCCTTTCCAAAGCCGCTATGGCTTTGGCCCGGTAATGGCTGCTATCTGGATCGCACGCGACCGCCCGAGTAAGCATTGTTGCAGCTATGTCATACTGCTCTTGCCCCATCATGGACATCCCGAGAACGAAAAGCGCAACAGCATCATTCGGAAGGCTGGCTGCACGAGCAGCAATACTCGCGGTGTCTCGCGAGGCAATACGGCCTGTAATCTCTGCCAGTACGTGCAAGGCTGTCTGGAAAAGCTCAGGCGATAGGCTGATCGAGGCAGGATAGCCTAAAGCGGCCCTGAGGCTTGGGTAGGCCGCTCGCGGATTAGGGTCGCCCAACAATCTTGTCGCTTCGTCGATACAAGTGTTGAGTTTATCGTTTCCCGGCATGGTGAGGTTGTGTAGCAGGGGTAAGAAACCAAATCAAGAATGAGGCGCAGAGCAGGCGGATCAGATCCTTTGGAGCAGTTGTGATTTTTTTCTTTCTTTGAGTTGGATTTTGGAAAGAGAACCTTATCACAGGGCGAACTCGGCTGGCATGCGTGGCGGCTGCTTGTGGACTTTCTATGCGCAGCGAACGAAATAAATAATTCTTCCTACACCCAAAAGTATTTCCACGCAATGAGGGTAGCGTCGAGACCAACTACAACTCCTTGGTCAGCACTGCCCCTTTCGTATTTCGTATTTGCTGTTCGCACAATTGTGGCCAGTTCACCGCTAACCTCGTTGAAGCAATGACAAACGGCCCCTTTCGATCTAAGCAGAGTTTTTGACTACTGCGCAGAGATATCTCGCACCCAAGTTCATCTCCAATAAAGTTCATCGTTCATTACGGGGGAGGATTGGTCCTTCAATCCTTGGTACCTTCTCGCTGGCGGCAAGTGAGCAGGCAGGAAATTACACGAAATCCCGGCTTCAAGTCATGAGTGCGTTCACAGAAGTCTCGGCATGACAATTTCTTTGCCTTTGCTTCTTGGCTGCTACCTAGCAGGTCCTATATAGTTAAGAACTCTTTTGCCTAACACGACTCGTGTTAGTGATTCAAATAACTTTCAAGCGTTGCAAAGCGAGGTAAATTTGGGCTCACTCTCATGTTTCTTGCCGTAAAGCTGGAGATATCTTGCTATGCCGCGGTTCGCAACGGCGGGCGGATGCAACGGGGGATATGGCTGCAATAGCGTCGAGGATGCATTTGCGACGAAATCCGGTGACAAAAGACGCTATTACGATACGGCGTAACATGGGACCAGAGGATGTTGAGGTTAAAAAGTAACCCTCGATGGTGTTAGCGCGACACGCAACGCTTGCGTGTCAACCCTTGGGTTCGTAATGATCGTATTTCACCATGGCACTGACCAATGTAGTTTTGGTAAAGGAGTACTATAAGATAGTTTAAGTATAAATTGGACAGAGAAGTATCCGTCTAGTTAGTAGAAATACCACGAACAGAATGAATATTGGTCAATAAAATAATCCAAAGCCATGAAGGTCATCTCTAGTTTCTACTTATTGTTCACAACGGTGTTAGCCTCTAGTGGAGGGAGATGCCCGCCAACGGGTCCGACTCTCCCGCGTCCAGCTATACATCCGACATTCAGGTTGCCAGACGTAGTGTCCAAAGTCAATAGCCTCATCCGAAACAATACGGTCTCGTGGAACACTTCAACCACATCATTTTCATTAGAGATAACCACAACAGAGGATACTCTTCTTTCATTCCATCACACCGCCGCTATTAGAAACGAAAATAGCACAGCTCAAGTTTCCACGAACACCATATATCGTGTCGCCAGCATAACAAAGGTTTTCAATACATTGTTATTGCTTCTTCATGCTGAAAAACACCTGGATTCTCCCATTGGACAATTCGTTCCCGAGCTACAGGTTGCTCCTCAATATGGAAACATCACTTTGAGAATGCTCGCCTCTCACGTGGCTGGTATTCCAAGAGACAGTTAGTTGCCTGAGAGGAAAGTGACGCAACACAAGCTAATCATGCTAGGCAATCCTTTCGATCTTTACGTTTCGGGCGGCGAGGGACTCGAAGATGCTGGGTTCCCCAAACCCGATTCTGCGGATATACCGGGCTGTGATGTTCCTGGTGGCCAGCCATGCACTAAAGAAGGTATATTAACGACCTTTCAACTTGCGGAGACTTAACTAATATCCTTAGATCTGCTAAACATGCTCGTATCGGAGCCATTGGTATGGCAAGCTGGCGACAGAGCCGCATACTCTAGCTTGTCGTTTATCTTATTAGGATACGCGTTGGAGAATATCACAGGTAAGACATTTATCGATTTGTTGAAGGAAAGTGTGTCAAAGCCCTTGGGTTTATCGTTCACTGGGCTCGATCCTCCGGTAGATCTATCGCAAGCAATTATCCCTGCCGGTCAAGGAGGGTTTGTCATGGGATATGATATTGGAAGCTACAATACGTAAGCGGTTTCTCTCCGAAGAACTAGAATCATCGCTGACATTAGCACAGAACTGCGGGCTTATACTCTACACCGGCCGATATCTCCAAGTTTCTACGAGCTATCATGGCCAATGCCCTTGTGTCGTCATTACAAACGCGTCAGTGGTTGAAGCCGTCCATATTTGCCGGATCCTTCTCGACAGCAGTCGGGATGCCCTGGGAGATTTTCCGGCTATCAAATCTCACTCCTGATAACCGGCCTATCGATCTCTACACGAAGTCTGGAGGCATATTCGGCTATGAAACAAACATGGTCCTCATACCGGAGTTCAATGTTGGTATATCGGTTCTTGCTGCTGGGGACGACGCCGGCGATGGCTTGATGGGGCTGCTCGACATTGTGATCCCGGCAACAGTATCTTCTCTTGACCAGCTAGCCAGGCAACAGGCAAAAGAGACGTACGCCGGTAACTACCAGTCAGCGAATGGGACAGATGCAATACTTTCATTGGACGTAGATGATGGTCCAGGCCTGAAGATTACGCAGTGGACCAACCGAGGTAAGTCCATGCTCGAGTTCCTGGCGTCTCGCGAAGGTACAAACGTCATGGACCTCGACGCGAGACTGTACCCAGTGGGCGAAGGACAGCGTTGGAGGTTGGCCTTGGAGAGAACGGAAAGAGTAAACCCTTCGGTTTTCAGCGACGCCTGCATCACATGGCTTAGGGTGGATCAGATGAGATACGCGAAACAACCGGTCGATGAGTTCACGTTTGACATTAAAGGAGGGGCCATTATTGGGCTAAAGAACAGTGGTCTGCGAGCGAAGCTTGTCAAAACATCTTGAGGGGGGACCAGGTGGTCATCCCGGGCACGATCCGGGACTTGGTCGAGGCGGCATCAGAATGGAGCTCGGCCACCCGAGTCGGCGCTGCTAGGGAATCGAATGGTACTGTGTATATGCTAGGAGCTACTTGTGGTTAGGTCTAGTCGTATAATTATTTATTATAGATTTTAGCAGTTCTCTTAATCCCGAGGATAATGGATATTATTATTACTAGTGCTATATTGATAGGAAGTTACCTAATACTTTCAAAACTGCTAGTTCGGTGTATACAAGAGGGCTTTTCTAAAGAGAATACCTGTCCATAGGACTGGATATAATAGGAACCAAGACTTTTAAAGACTCTGTATCTTATGAATCAAAAGGAAGATAGATACGAAGCCTCTATCAAAACTACTACACTAGTTTAGTAGATAAGGGCATCATTACTCGAAAAGATAGAGATATAGCACTTATTAGGCTAATAGATTAGGGTTACTTCTGATAGCATTAGTAGTACTAAAAACAGATAAAGGGCCTGAGATTATACTGTGGTTTCTAGAGTAGGGCTATAGGTTCCGTACGTCTTTAATAGAGGATCTGCGAATTGATATTACCTCCCTCCGGACGAGCTTCCCTGATTTAGCTGAGAAGTTTACTAGTATCTGCGAAAACCTCTAAGAGTTAGCTACTTTAAGAATTGATCCTAAGATAAGGCATGAGTTTGAGAACTATGAAGAAGCGTGATCGCTTTTTCGGCCACCCTCTGAGCTAGCAGGGTAACGTAAGGCGATAACCGCATCCTTCGTTGTTTTGTTTTTCTTCGTGCTTCTATATACGTAGCCTTAGCGACTGATCGTGGGAAACAATAAAGCCCAGACGTTTCACCTTCGCGTGCATGAGTCCGATAGGGCGAAGCGGTGCTGGCAGGTGTCTCGAACGTGTGTGGGTGGACGGGGCTTCCGGGTCGGGCGTGGAAGCAGTTCGGTAACTAGCGTTCAATCTTAAGTAAATACTACCACTACCTCGTGTTATGCTTGGTATGCTCGTAGGGCAGTAATAAAACCTTGTTTAACCCAACTATTAATAGACCCTAAAGAATCCAAGTTCATTATATAATAGCACGTCTTGAAATGCTTGTAATAAGAGGAATATAACATGCCAAACAAGGATATATATATCTCCAGCCTTGCGACCCTTCAATGGCGGGTCGCAGTGCAAGTCTCGACAGTCTCAGACTCGCTATCCTCAGCGATAACAAATTCCTTGGGCTTGGGGGTCTCCTCAACTTTGGAAAGCATCTTCGATCTTAGCAGCCTTAGCATCGGCGACAATCTTGCTAGCCCCAAGGTAAGTTGGCTAGAAGAGAGTTGATCAGACCTCTGCCAAGCCTCTCGTGAACACTCTTAATCTTGTTTTACCGCTAGGCCTTGGCGCTTTCATACCGTATAATTTCGCAAAATTCGGGCGAGACGAGCCCTATAAATCGTGGGTTTCCGTGAGCTTCTAAACTCCTTATAGTAAATTACGGGCCATGATCTGTTCACAGTGCTGTGAACAGAGGAAATCAATTCGCAGCTGCACTCAATTTAGCGGGGCTTGCCTCGCCCGGATTTTGCGAAATTATACGGTATTGCCAACATCAAGTTTCGAATAAGATCCCTGCTCATTCGTAGTGACCTGATTAGACGAGATATCACTTCATCCACATATGCAAGCTCTTTAGGGGATCGGCTTGAAACAGTGTTTCCTCAAACACATGGATGTTGGCTCTTAGGGTCCACCAAAGTTCTTAGCTGCACCGCTGTAGGCATTTCATTAGCGCCTAACCCATGTCAAAACATGCCGTTTTTTAAACCTTACCAATTGTAGACAATCGCGCTAGCTCGTACAAAATGGGGAGACGTTAGCCCAAACTGATTCGCGGACAATACGTTTTTCTGTCCAAACGTAGTGATGAAGCTACGTAATAAAAGCTAAGTAGTCATTGCGGTCAGATTCTTGTGTTGGTCAGGAGCTGTCAGACATCGCGGTATCAGTTACAACAATGATAGAGGAAGATGGGAGTTATTATAGCTCTTAAGTATTTATATATATATACCTATTACTATATCCTAGATCTTAACTATCTTATTACTAGAGCCTGATATAAGCTACTAGCTATCTACTAAGAAAACTACTAAGTTTACTAAAGTACTATAGCTCTTAAGGGTCTATATATATATACCTATTACTATATCCTAGATCTTAACTATCTTATCTCTAGAGCCTGATATAACCTACTAGCTATCTACTGAGAAAGCTACTGAGATTACTAAATTATTATAGCTCTTAAGTATCTGCAGATATATATTCTAATCTGATTCTATACTCAGCTTTAGTATAATTTAGTTTAGCTCTTCTTTTTTAAAGAGCTCTCTAACTAAGTTATAGGTAGAACTAAATATAAGTACTAATATATAGATCTATAATAGAGTAATCTCTATAGCCTGCTTATAAGAAAGAATAAAGTAATATATATTATAAAGTAGTTCTATTAATTATTATACTTTCTTAGCTTTTTACTAATATATTAAACTATCTAGTTTATATATATTTTTATAATAACTTATAATTATTAAAGCTTTAAGCTTCTATACTATTATAACTCTCTCTAATATACTAGATAATAGACTAAGAGATTCTAACTAATATAGATACTTCTTTTAAAGGAAGTTATAAATAGTTACTATATTTTATAGATTCTTATCTCTTATCCTTACTATAGGTTCTAAGTTATTAAGATAGTCTATCTAGAAGATATAAGAATATTATATTAAAGCTAATAAATTAGGATTAGATAGTAAAATCTAGTTAATAGGAAGTTCTAGAATATCTAGTTTATAAATATTATATTTAAGAGTCTCTAAGAGAGCTTTAAGTAATCTTATAAAGATAGTATAGTACTAATATATAGTACTAGAGAGTAGGATTTAGTTAGATATCTTATTTAGTAGGAAATCCTTAGCTAATTAATATATAAAGTAGATAGTACCTTCTTAAAGAGTTAGAAAAGAACTATAGAATCTAATAATTTCTTTTAAGTTATTCTAATTAAGGTTCTTAAGTAACTTAATAAGAATTTTTAATTTATCTAAAGTTATAGGTTAATATATAACTAAAGTAATAGTTAGAACTTTCTTATAAAGATCTATATCCTTTAAATTACTAATATATTCTATTATTTAGTTATAGAGTAAATTAAGCTCTAGAGGGAATAACCTTAATATATTAAGTATATATTATTTTTAGATCTTAGGATCTAAAGCTCTTAATAGACTAAAACTACCTAGAGAAATATATTATTAGTATTAAAGGTTAAATAATTCTTAATAGAATTCCTTATTTTCTTATTATATTTCTTATAGTATACTAATTAATCTATCTTATATTTAATATATATATTAATAGCCTTTAAGATTAAGTTCTTATTTAACTTAAGGGATAATCTAACCTTCTACTTTATATTATTAAGTTTATTTTTAATTTCTAGCTAGTTATAACTAGATATAATCTACTTAATATAGGATAAAGATATTAATAATAATTAAATCTAGGGTTAATTAGTAATATACTTATTAAGGGTATTAATAACTATAACTATATCTTTTAAAGTTAGATCCTTTAGTATATCTATAAGTATCTTAACTAGAGATATCTAGATATTAATACCCTGGAAGAGTTTCTTATTTATAATATACTTAAACTAGAGATATAAGATAAGTAATAGTTATTAGATAATAAAAATATATAATAGTTAGATAACTTATACTAAATAGAGTCTAGAGTAAATTAGGATTAAACTAATTAGAGTATTATTCTAAATAGTATAATTAGATTATCTTAAACTATATAATATAAATTACTATTAATATATAAGTATTATAGAACTAGTAATAATAGATATATAGATAATTATATTAATAACTATCTAAAGAAGTATTCTATTTAATAAAATAAATATATATATATAATAATTATAGAATATAAAGAGTATACTACTTCTAGTAATCTATTCTTATTCTATAATAGGAGTATAATACTCCTATTATTTCTATTCTTTAGATAGTAGGATATATATAACTATATAATTTATTATAAAGGTTTTTATTTATAATATAATACTCTCTCTCTATTAGTTTTATTTTTAAGATTCTATATAATCTTAGTAAGTTCTTTCTTTCTTTATATATAATAATTATATTATAATATTTATTATATCTAATTATATCTAGAAAATAGTATATTCTAAGACTTATAAATAAGTTCTTCTTACTATTACTATTTAAATATTTAGTTTTCTAGTTAATATACTATATACTCTATATTTTAAGATAAAAAAAGAATATTTTATTTTTCTAAATAGAAAGTTATTCTAATATAATAAGTATATATAAAATAGTTATTATTATAATAAAATACTAGTTATATTTAATTATATATATTCCTTTATATATTTTACTTATATTCCTCTAATTTCTATTTTTAATAAAAAAATTAATAATATAGTATAAAAAACTAGCTAAAGAAAAATCTAATATAGATAAAAAGATCTTTCTCTTATATTAGTAAATAACTTAACTTTAAAATAATCTATTTACTATTCTAGAGTATATCTAGTATATTTATAAAGTATATAGATATATTAAGAGTAAGATATAATAGAAAATCTAGTATAGCTTTTAAGAGCTTAATAAGAAAGAGTAACTATTTTCTAATTAGATTCTTAACTTTCTTAAGGCTTCTAAGTAATATATTCTAAAGAAAATCTAGTTTTTAAAAGTTATTTCTAAAATAGATTTAAATTTACTAGATTTTAAAGAGAATTTCTCTAATTTAGCTCTTTTTTTCTCTTTTAGTAAAACTAGTAAATTAAGTATTAGTATTTCTTTAGATATTTAATAGATTTCTATATATTTATTATTATTAGTATATTCTTTCTATTTAACTAAATAGAATATTTATCTATTTTTAACTTTCTTTTT